AACGTGAATTGGACATGAAACTAGGTGAGTCGGTATTTTGGACAGATAGCACTGCTGTATTACGCTATATAGCGAATGAAAGCAGAAGATTTCATACATATGTTGGGAACAGAATTGCAGTGATACACGATGGGTCCAGTCCATCTCAATGGCGATATGTTGATACAAGTTTAAATCCAGCAGATGATGCATCCAGAGGTCTCAGTGCTGACGGTTTAATAAATAGTCGTACATGGTTATATGGCCCAAAATTTCTGCAAAAGGAAGAGAATGAGTGGCCAAAGGGCGTGTTTATTGAAGATTTGACTGAAGATGACGTCGAAGTCAGAAAGGTTGTACTAACAAATTCAGTGCAAATCAACTCATCAAAAGGTATGACAAATCAGATTTTCTTGAAGTTCTCTGATTGGACCATTCTAAAGAAATCTGTAGCTTGGTTATTGAGATATAAGAACTGGTTACTGCAGAACATTAGAAGTATCAATGAGACACAAAGTGGAATCAAGAGTTACAGACTGAGTACAGAAGAGTTGCGTGACGCCGAATGTGCAATAGTGAAATGTGTACAAAATGAATGTTTTACTGAAGACTTGAAGTTACTGCAGTCACCCCAGAAATCAGTAAGAAGATCAAGTTCGCTTCGCAGATTAGATCCAGTCATAATTAATGGTGTTATGAGTGTAGGTGGCCGACTTAGCAATGCTCCGTTTAACAGTTATGAAGCAAAGCATCAGATTATTCTTCCCAAGCAACATCATGTAAGTGATCTTATTATACGACATTTTCACCTGCGATCTGGACATTTTGGCCAAGAGTATGTCCTTGCCTGTATACGCGAAAGATTTTGGATCATTCAGGCAAGGATATCAGTGCGACGAATAATTAGAGGTTGTTTTGATTGCAAACGTCGATGCGGAAATTTGGGAAAGCAGAAAATGGCTGATTTGCCAGAAGATAGAGTGACACCAGATAAACCACCTTTTTCATTCGTTGGAATAGACTGTTTTGGTCCCTACCTGGTCAAAAGAGGAAGGTGCATGGTAAAGAGGTATGGAGTTATATTCACTTGTCTCACTATAAGAGCAATTCACATCGAAATTGTTTTCAGTATGGATACAGATTCATTTATAAATGCTTTACGAAGATTCATTTCAAGACGAGGACGTCCCGAGCAAATAAGGTGTGACAATGGCCCAAACTTCAGAAGTGGTGAAAGAGAACTCAGAACTGCAATTCAACAATGGAATCAGAACCAGGTGCACAAATTTCTTCTTCAGAAAGACATCAAGTGGATATTCAACCCTCCAACAGCTTCGCATATGGGTGGTGTATGGGAACGAGCAATAAGATCAGTGAGGCGTGTTTTGAATGCGATTTTGAGAAATCAGACGGTCGACGATGAAGGTTTGCATACACTTCTATGTGAAGTTGAAGCGATACTTAATGCGAGACCACTCACCAAGGTATCAGATGATCCTCAGGATTTGAATGCAATCACACCAAATCATTTGCTGCTTCTAAGATCTAGCCAACAATTTCCTCCTGGTGTTTTCAAAGGTAAAGAGCATTACAGTACCAGACGATGGAAGCAGGTCCAATACATGACTGACATATTTTGGAGACGATGGACAAAGGAATACTTACCTACACTGCAAACAAGACAGAAATGGCATTCAATTGAGCGTAACCTAAAGGAAAATGATTTGGTAGTGGTTATGGATCAATCACAGCATAGAAATCAGTGGCCTTTAGGGAGGATAGTTGAAATCTATGCTGGGAGAGATGGCCTGGTGAGATCAGCAAAGGTGAAGACATTGAATTCGGAATTTCGAAGACCTATAACAAAACTGTGTTTGTTGGAGGCATCTGTCGAAGATTCAGGATCAATGGCAGAAATAAAACAGTCTCTATAATTTCCTGTTTGGGCGCGGGAATGTAGAAAACAGATTGTTTTTAATCTTATTTACTTGTTGTTGTTTTTCAGTAGAACTATTTTGGACTTTTGACCCTGCTATTATTAGAAACTTTTAGCATTGTTTAGGCATGTCCTCGGGGACACGTGACATTTCTTCTCGTTATAAGCGTGTCTTCGAGGATTTGCATTATAGCCCTATATAAGCTTTGGGCGTGTTTTACCCAGTAAGAAGAGAGAACAACATCGATATTAGTACGTGCGATATTAGTAGTACTGTTGCTTAGATAATGCTATGCTACGAGGTCAAATAAATAGTAAGTTGAAATTAATTTGGTTAACCTGTAATCGTTTATGTTGCTTTTTCTTCAAGTTGTTATTTTCATTTAGTTGCATTACATTTAGATCTCGTTAATTAATTATGTATAATTTTATCAACTATTTCATTTAGCGAACAATTATCAAGATAGAAAGAACGCCAGCGTTGTTTTTGCTTAGTGGAAACTGGGTTCATTTCTGATTAGTTCGTGCCCTCCTCAGTAGCAGATTTGCTTTGAAGCTACAATCACTACCAACTTGGATAGCTAATAATTTTTCAAAGCATGAGCGCAATACACATAACTGAAGACCTTATATCAATTCCACGTCTGTAAAGGGTGTAGAAGGGGTTTTGACCAGATGAATAGCAGGCCTTTTTGTCAACTGACTAATGACTAAATTTGTGTAAAACCCTAGACTGATGACTAACGATATTCTTTTTTGACTTATTACTAATGTGAATAATTTCAGAGGCCTCATATCGAATAACTGAGAGTGTTTGCACTTTGGAAAAGTTAACTTAGCAAAGACCGACAATGCCTGCCAAAAGTCTTGGAACACTGACATCAATTACCAAGGTCAAAATCAATCACCCCCCTCTCCCCTACAGAGCAATGTTGGTTTACTATCAAACGGATTAGGATTGTGCTTCTTTTATGATATTTCTCTAAATTATCAATATTGTTTTAGGGGCAAGGGGCGGAAGTAGTAATTTTTTCATGAAAGGAATGAAAGATATCGAATGCAGCGTAAATTGCTGGGTGTTCCAAGTACTTTTGGCAGGCTTTGCAAATACAACTTTTTGTTTGGGGGGGGGGGGCAGCCCTGATAAATTAGTTTCGAAGCAGCCATACTTTACAAAATAAATGTATTTTGCTTATACCAGTTAAGTTTTTGGGGGGGGGCAAGGCCCCCGTCCCCTGGTATCTCCGTCCTTGTAACTTAGTAATACCCTGGGCTCTTTCCATTCAAAATGGTTTCAATTTGACAAAATTATCTTCGTGTTGGAAACGTTCACATATTACGTAATCAAAGATGGATGAGTAGCACAAACGGTAACGGTCATTGTGGCCTATTGTAAAAGCTTGTGAAAATGATAATTTAGGGAGAAGGGGATTTTTCAAAATTGCCTATTTTTCATTTCGTAGTATGTGGATATCCCCCATGTTGTCTATTTTGAATTATAGTGCCCTTTTCTTTGGACATCCAATATTCCTTACTAGTGAAATCTGCTGTACGTATGATTTAAGATAACAATTTCTAAAAGTCCTGTGACAGACTTTTTCATATTGCAATTCAACTGAGAAATCATCTTGCTTTTGCTAAATAAAACGTTTTAACCAGGTATTGGGTACAAAAAGAATTTTTGACTAACTGAAGCCAAAAAGCTTGATTAGTGAATAACGGGACCTTTTAACCCCTGACTAATGACTAGCAGTAACCTTCCTTCTCTCTGCATGGTACTTCGCAGACACCCTTCAATAGCTATTCCTTGACTGCTATAGCAAGAATCTGGAAAACAGGAACCACTTTTTACGAAAATCTTTACTGACTTTTTTAGAAATGGTGCCCTTATGTGAGAAACTTTCATAATATATTTCGAAAATCTTTCCTCAGACTTGAAGAATTTTTTCCCTCAATAAAGTCTATGCTTTTTCTTACTAAAATTCTTTATTCTTTTTACCGTGTATTCGCACAGTTTCTCATACAGAAGGAACTGAAGGAGCCCATCAACTAGCAAAATCATCAATTTCCACAGAACGGTTGGCATTAGGTTGTTATCTGATATCTTTTGGACAAGTCTACAGTTTTCAAGCATTTGTTCAATGCCTGATCATAATTCCGAACACTGATGTACTGGCATCATATCTTTGTAAATGTTTTTACAACGCTAGCAGGAGCTAATCCCTTTTTACTTTTCATATCTGCTGCAAAGCTCTCAAAAATTTATAAATTACTGAAGTCATATATTGTGTAAAATTTCGGAAAATTGCAAGTAAATCGAAAAGATTCTTTTCTCCTAGGTTGGAGAAGTTATCTTCTCTGTGAAATCTTGGAAGATAGTGTCTCGCACAAACTGGTGATCTGCTACGCAAAGTTTTTCCCGACCCGCTCTCCCCCCCCCCCGTTTTACTAACCCAAAAATTAAGCATCCTGAGCAACAATTAGCGCCCTTTTGGTTGCTTTTCCCGGTGGTTTGAAATGGTAGCCAGTCCGCTTCTGCCATATTTTACATTCCTAACAAGTATTAGATATATATGTAATGATAAAAAGTAATATTATTTCAAACCAAATAACAACAATTTTTTTATTTCTGCTTTGCCATTTTTTTGCTCGTATCAATTTGATCTATTGCATAAGTAGCGGGGGCAGCTGGGATGGAAGGACAAAGAAAGGAAAGTTTACTTATATTTCCAAGTGCACCCATCATTAACGCATCATTCAAAGATAAAATGCTTGTATGGTAAAAAGTTGTACATTGGATCAAAAGTACATTGTTGTCAAGAAGAATAAAATGTCAGGCATCAAAGCCACCCCCTCCCCAATTCAGACCAGGTAACCCTCCTGCGTAACAACTAGTGTTGAAGTTGTACATCTTTATGCAGCGATTTTGCTATCACTGTTCTTTGAAATTTATCTATGCGAATTTTTACTTTAATACCTCTGCCTGGTGTTGTAGAAATTGTCTTCAATTAACTGGAACAATGTGAATGTTACCAAGCAAAAATTTATTCAGGGGGTCTAGACATTCATTATCCGAAAGCGAGGATTGCCAAAGATGGTAGTCTGAAAAACAACAAAACAGCGAAACCTAGCGTGCAGAGTTGTGGGAGAGCAGTTGGCAGCCGAAGCACCATCTATTGCTTGTTGCCTTTAAAATGTCTTGTTCCCACCTTATCGCATTCAAAGATAGCAATGGAACAGCAAATTACCAAACAATATACTCAAATTTTGTTGTCTGTTGCTCGAAAGAGGCTCAAATACGCAAGGTACGTTGATAATGAGTTCCGGTAAAAGACACATGCCGGTAATTGTAAGAGGTAGCATCCAGTTTGTTTTGACTCTTGTTGCTTCTTTTCAGTTGAAAAGTTTAATAATAGACTTGTACAGAACTTATTTGTAAAGCTCTGTTATTAAAATTAGTCCGTTACTTCACTGAACGTTTTTAGGCGAAATCTTTTCCTTCAAGGAAATGCAACAGGAAGTGTCATGTTTCAGATTTGCAGGTTCCCCGTATCCTAAATATAAAGGTTGATAAGGAAGCCGAATTGTTAGAATTTTTAACTTTCTGACTAGTTTTAAAACATAATCTCGCGAAATCTTCATAAAATGGTAACTAAATTTGTAAGCGACAGGTGTGCTTTTGGTGTAGTACCTGTTAACAGGGACTTCAAACAAATTTTCAAGTACAGGAATTTTCTCTTTCTTCAATCGGTCATTTACCTAAATTTGCGAAATTTAAAGAGTTTCTCCAACGAAGCTAAATTTTGAATGTTCAGTTTTGTGCCTTCGCTTCAAGGAATTCAATGGCAAATAGAAGCTTTGCTATGTCATTTATTATTTAGAATCACGACCACATGATTTAGATTTGATATTGATATGCCTTTTATTATGAATCACAGTTGGATGTTATTGTAAGTTTTTGCTTGTAAATATACGTATCTTTATATCACAACCTAATTTTATCATATCATGATATCATATCACATTATCATGAACTCCTGTAAATTGACAAGCGTAAACAAATTCATCAATGCATGCATCGTCCTGTTGGTGCAAATACAAAAGCTTTTGAAATATCACTTGCTTAATATGACCCAAACTTTGTTTAGTATTAATTGAATTTTTTTAATTACTATTTATTTATTTTCCCAAACAACCCATTGTATACCAACCCCCCCTTTAAACAACCTACAGACTCTAAAAATTGTTTGTTTTTGTGACATTTTGTGACAAGAAATTGCACTGTAAAATCTGTTGTGTTTGACTCAGTATTAAGCTTGTAATATTTTTTCAATGAAAAGGCATCTATTTGGATTGGAAAGCATTTATTGAGATAGATACATTCAGGAGCTTTTCAAATAAAATTATGTTGTAAAATGTTATTGCATAAATATATTGACATCTTATGATAATGCAGTTGTTGATTAACTACTCATTCTTCTGCTGTTCACACCCCTTCTTTTCCTTTTGCTGTTCAGAATGTATATGATCACACCAGGCTTATGTTTTTAAGGCCAAAAGATTTGTCTTAATTGGTCCTTAAAGTTATCTGTTGTCAGATTTTAAATTTATGTTGGTCTCAGTAGATTCGTGCAAATATCATAATTGAGTAGTGGAATTTTCATCAATAATTCAGTAATAAAGGGAAAATTGTTATCTTTCTCAGTATAATCTCCATCTGCAAAAAAGACAATCTTTGTTGGAGAACTAATTCTTCTTATTTATGTTTGTTTTTATATATCTGTTTATTAAGAAAGTTTCCTTGAATTATATCTTTTGCTTGAATTATCTTTGTAGGCCAAGTGGCTAAAATGCCATCAATGTCACACATACTCTAACAGACTTCATGCTTGTCTTCATTGTGTTTACTTTGGATGTTACAGTGGTGGAAGACATGTGTTTGATCATTCAAAGAAGAAAAATCATATACTAGGTATAAATTTCAGTTGATAGAAACAATTATATTCAGTTTCATGAAAAATAGTTAACTTTTCACATGGCTTAGATATTAAATTATGTAATAAATGTGACACTTACTTAGTATTTAAAGTATTTTCTAGTTTTTATTGTCACCAATGCCCTTAACTTGGCTCTTTTGGATGATATATTAGGCTAAAACCACATTTACTTCTGCAATAATCCTAAATGCTTTGTGTTAATAAATTAAGGGTGAAGCATTTTAGCTGAAAAATCTGGTTCCTTATGAACTGAAGAATTTTATTAGATGACTTTTCTACATATGGTTTCAGTGTAGAATTTTTTATTGATTTCTTTCTTTTTGTCTCTTCTAGCTGTAGATTTACTTTATGGAAATGTTTATTGCTTTTTGTGTGGTACCTATGTGTATGATGATGAGTTGGATCAAATAGGAAAAGAGGAAGCTGATAAAGCATCAGTTTTAGGATCTGGGAAAAGAAAGTATTGTGAGTGGCAACCAAATGATCTAGAAACTGCTCTCCTTTCAATAACATCAAAAAGAAGAAAGATTTCAAAAACCTCTATTGTTGGTAAGTTTTGTATTGAGTAATTGAAAATCTCTGTATATCTATAAGGATATTCTCACATCTACTTATTTTGTCACAATCAGTCTCTAAAGAATTATATGCTATAGTGGAGAGATATATGGCAATGAAATTTAAAAAATACCTTAAAATCTATTAGATGTACCAAACCTATCTATTATGGACCTTTCTGGGGTTATTAATTTTTGTAAGTTTCGTAAGTGTAAATAGACCACAAGTGTCAAGATTTCATTTTGATTTTATGGTAATTATCTTTGCTGCAATTTGAAAAATGTTTGTAGAGATTATGTCCTCCCAGGGCCCCTTATGTTAAGGGGTGTTTAACAAACCTTAACATCAGTCAGCAACTTACCAGATGTTTTAATCTTTTTAATGAGTATCTAGGTTTGAAGATGGCTAATATAGGGGAAGCTAATTTCGTAGGCAACAGGTTTGCTTTTGGCCTTATACCTATTTAAAGAAATTTCACAAAATCTTCATGTGCAGAAATTTTCTTCAACAGGTCATTATACTAAAGTTGCGAACTTTAAAGATATTTTTCTGCTATGTTTAAGTGCCATCTTCAAATTTTGCAATACAAAACACTTATTTTGCTATTTCCTACAGAGGTACACAAGTGCAATAAGGCTGTAAGATTGTTTATCATGCTCAAATGTAAATAGGATCGAAATAAAGAATAAACTTGTGCAGTAGAATGTAGAGATTTCATTTCAATAAACATCAAGAAATTCCTTTGAGTTTAACTGTTGCTGTTCCAGTTCTTTGGCAGTTTTCTGATAGTCTCAAGATTGCATATCTTCAATATTTTGTGTCTTATTTGCCTAGAGGACTTCATCAGGGAGGTGCCCTGTTTACAAATTACCAAAAATGCAATCTGTCAAAAGTATAATCTTGTTAGAATACAGAGAATAATTTTTAGGCTATGGTTTTTAAAAGTTGTCATTTTACTCGGAATCATGACAATCTATTTCTTATATGAATTGATTATTGTGTTTATTATGAAAGTCTTGCACAGTTGCTTGGGTCACAGGATAAAGATTCAAGAGTGTTGCCATCAGAAGGTGTGGTTGCATTGAGTGATAGGACCAGGATACTGCTTGATAAGCATAGCTTCCCATTGCTCTGATTAAAATATTTTCCAGTGGGTAGGCACTGGCCCTGTCATTTCATTATCCAACCCCCAGCAAAATGTCCAGTCTGATATTGAAACTTTCCCTGTGAATTGATCATCAGTGGCAAACCTCAACCACTCTGAATTGGGTGCCAGAAGTAATATTTCTCTGCGAAATATTAATAACAGCAACACTGTCCCTAATGTACCTGACTTGAGGATTTTTACACACCAACTGATGATAAAGCGAACCAAATTAGCAAAAATTTGTTGTCACATTCTGCAAAACCCACCCAATACATCCCTGGCAACTTCAATTAACAAAGGTAATTGTAGCCCAGGAGTAGTAATTTTTCAATAAAACAATTCCTTCTCTATTTAAAAGTTTTGCGATCGGCCAGTATTGTTCTAATTATGTTATTCTTTCTTTTTGTTTTTAGGATTACGTGGGTTGATCAATCTAGGGAACACGTGTTTCATGAATTGTATACTTCAAGCTCTGATTCACACCCCGATGCTGCGCAGCTACTTCTTATCAGATAAACACTCCTGCCCCTCAATAGAGGACAGCCTGAGCTGTTTGATGTGTGAAATGTCATTACTATTCCAAGAGGTATCTATTAAAGCTATTTTGATAATATCTCTGGCTTTCAACTCAAGTTTAACAGAGTCAACTTGTTATGTTTGGCAAATCTAGTTACGACACCTGATATAGAAAACCTTATCGTGTATTGTTAATAGCAGTGAGACATTGACTCTTAAAGCTCTTCAAACAGTTATTTTTGCGTAATTATCTAAGTATTGTAATTTATTAGTACATTGTCGTGTTAATGACAGCGGTAATATTTGGCTTAAAGAGATATTGTGTTTGTCCTTCTAAATAACTTGCAATTATAGTAATTATTTTCTTGAACCTTTGAATAAAATATTAACCTTAAAGATAATCTTATAATATCTTAGCGAGAAATAGACTTTTTGGATTTCGGCGACATTTCATCAAGAGTAAAAGAGCTTTTTAGGCTTTCAATAATCTTTTCCGAACCGCACCGCTCTGTTTTGATCTTGTTGTGGTTATATCTAATAGTAATTGAAATAGAGCTAAGCTGTCAGTGACTTTAAATCTCTTTACCTCGATTACAATTTTTTTATTGTTCGCTGATCATTCATTCTCTACGCAGTTTTACTCTGGCAAAAAGGCACCCCACACACCCTACCGCTTACTTCATAAAGTCTGGACCAATGCGAGGCACTTAGCTGGTTATGAGCAGCAGGATGCCCATGAGTTTTTCATCGCAGCGTTAGATATACTACATCAACACTGTGGAGGTTGGTGCTCATTTCCTTTGCATAGTTCTATTTTCATATTTGAAGTTATTCGTGTGCAAGGGCGTGGTTTTCGTTAGTTTACACGTGATAATTCCTGTGCGAAGTAATGTGGTATATGAATATTCATTTGTACTGTATCCAGTTTGCAATTTCGTAGCTTTTTTATAGCTGCAAGCACCCCCTCTGACAATTTTGGGCAAATGTAAATGATTACAATACTTTTGCCCGAAGCGTAAAAGCCAGAGGAGCAGCTTAGGCCCCGCCACGCACGAATCATTTGCACTAATATTTTTCAAACGAAAGCTCGATGATTTTCCTCGCGTCTACAAAACAGTGATGGATCTGTAACAATAACCACGAATATTGATAGAGAATTCCCAAAATGGAATGTACTTCAAAAGAGAGTATTTTAAAGAAACCTATTAGAATAATAATGCAATATTTTGGAAATATCTACTTGTAGCTGGGCCTTAGTTCTGTCCTGTTTTACCCACCAACACGTCCAAGCTATGTATTGACGATGCAATGTGCGCCACGACAGACAGAACGTGTGCTGTAATCTTTCTTGACTCCTTAATGATGATCAAATGTAATGAAACTGACCAAGATTTTTCTAGATATGCGCACTACCTTTCTAAAGATATTGGCACACTCTCTTGCCTATGCATTTTTTTGAAATGTTCTGGCAAAAGTAAGCGTCTCTCTTCTCTTTCTAAAAATTTTTCAAAAATTATCAGACGACAATAAATTGTTAGCTATAAGAGAATTATCAATTGAGCAAAACCTCGAGCAGCGAAAAAAACACAAAACAACTCTGCTTGCAATAGGAGATGGGGATGCTAATGAAAATCAAGTTTGTGTATATCTTCAAGGAGTTTTTGCAGCTTTATTTTACACGACTCTACGTGTTTACATATGTTCCTTTTTGTTTCTCAACGCTTCCATGCTCATTCTTAAACGCTCTTTTCTAGACGATGGTACAATCCCATCAAATAACCATAATAAATGCAACTGCATAATTGATCAGATTTTTACTGGTGGTTTGCAGTCAAAGTTAACATGTTTTGGTTGTCAGTAAGTCGCTTCTTGATTTCATCATCCTCAATAATTGAAGACGCAGATGTAACATGTAGTCCAAGTTGGTTGCGAATAGAAATTCTAGGGAGAAGCTTAAAGCAATAATTATTGATGACATAATGTTAAGTAGGTAATAACTCTATGCATTGTGATTTTATTTTTTTAAAACCTAGCATAATGGTCTTTTCAGTAAAAGAGATCTTTCCTTGATGTGTATATATGATCGATTCGGTTCTTAATCTTTTTTAATTCCAAATTGGCTTCATAAATATTTCACGACCAGACATTCGAGATCGTGTTTGTCAGTTACGCTTCAAGCATTTCAGCTGAAATTGTGTATCTGTCCTACTGTGTTCCATCGGAAGAGACCATGTTTACATATGCTGGTAAACATGGGACTTCAGAGTTCTGAACATGACTTTTTCATCCAGTAGCTGTTTACCGAATTTTCAAGCTACCAATCCTTTGAGTCCCTCGATGCATCTCTACTTGGGAATCGTCTTTTTAAAAGTTTTATGCAAATCATGTCTTTTTGTCAATTGCTACGAATATATTTTCTTGAAAATTGGTTGTTCTTCTTCTATAGGGGTGTTTCTACAACGATAGATCCCTTCTGGGACATATCCTTAGATCTTGGTAATATTGGATATCCACTCACAAGTGGTAAAAACAGTCAAAGGTCCACTTTAAATATCAGTTCGACGCCTGAGGGTAAGGCATTGATCCATCTTAAATCACATCCATGTTCCTTAATTCACATCCATGTTCCTCAGCCTTCTTTTACAACGCATATTATCATCAAAAAGCTTTCGTAGTAGTTAAAAGCCCTCCCTGTATTTTGGCTAATAGTTCTAGAACTCTTTCTCTTCCAAAACATTGATGGGCATAGTTGAAATTTCATTTACAAATCTTGTCGCATTTCTTATGCCATGAGAGTGGAATAGAACATTAAATGATTGTAGTATTGTAGAATCATTCCAAATAGGTTGGCTGATCACGATTCAAGTTTACCTTTTGCACATGGTTGTTAAATTTCTGGGTTTCTATGTGTTTGCCATATAAGGAACCATAGCCCCTTCCCTCCCTCCTAACCGCACTCTATGTTCAAGTGATATGCTAGGCCAATCGAAAGTTTACTTCAACATTTGACAACAAGTCATCCTCACTTTGATTTATCATTGATTGCATACTGCAGATTTAAACTCTCAAGATTCCGATGTTAGTATTCAATCAAACTCTGATATGACAATTCCGCAATCATTGATGGCTTGCTTAGAAAGGTAGGAATGGTTGCTTATCCATTCATTTGCTCTCTGTAAAATAATACACCCATTTTTTACCAATTGTAAAACAATCATCTATATTTTTGTATTAAATTACTTTACAATCAGTGTCTCTTCTCTGTGTTTTGCGATTAGAGACAACATTTTCCTTGGGGTCAGAATTCGACATTTATCTTTTTAGAGTCAGAAGAGATGGCTTTGTTTTGAAAAGTTTTTCTCTAGTTATTATTTCTTTATCATTCTGTAAAACTATTGAGCGCCAGATAAATTTTCTGTTGTTACTAACGTGGCCCTGTTGTTCCCAGAGTATATTGGAATCATTAATCCAGAGTTTGTTTGTTATAATCCATTTAGTTTTACGAGGCCAGAAAGACTTGGGAGCGAGGCGAAGATTCGTTGCAGTCATTGTCATAGCTACCAGGTATCGTAGATTTAGCAAACATTTATTTGAGATTAGAATCTAAAAAAACGTCGTTTGTGGGTCGATATTTATGTCCGAAATTCTCAAACCACTGTCTTTTTATGTACAGCCCTGATTTCAGATATAAAAGAAGAATGAGAAGAGACGAAATGCTAAAACTCAAACCATTTTATTATATGCTGCTCAGGCATTATTATTTTTTATATTTTGAAAGGGTGATTGTTGACAATTTTCAATATTTTAGGAATCAACAAAGCAATTGACTATGAGAAAATTACCGATAGTTGTCTGTTTTCATTTAAAGGTTTGGTTATAATTTTGTGTTTTATGAATTTGAAAAATTTAGAATATTTTTATCGTCAATTGAGATTGTGATCTTCCTTCACTGCTTCTGACTTTATTGTTAAAATTTCAATTTCGAATTAGAGTTAGCCATCCTACTCAATGTTAGAGAATTCTGTAGTGTCGATAATTGTTAAGACCAGTGCATTGATACATAGAGTATATGTATATGTTGTGAGTAAAGGTAGTCTTTTTATTAATAGTATAAGCTTGAAATACGATATCTTCAAATTTATACATACCATATGCCAACTTTTGTTAACTTTGTGTTCATGCGTCCCCTATTATCAAATCTGTTACTTTATTTACTGCACCACACGTAAAAGATATTTTGTGGTCTTGACATATGCTTCTGAAAGTATTTTTTTCATTTTGATGCTGAAATTCTTATAATTTGAAAATATATATGAACTTTATGACGTCCTTGAAACTGAATATACGAACTTTGATGTAGCAGCTAAAACAGGAGCTCTTATTGAAGCCTTACTTATGATGAGAAAGTATTGGGACACCTTGCAAAATAACGGAGGCTTTTCATTCAGCAAAGGGTGTTTTATATAGCAAAGAGGAATTTTGGTTTTTGTCTGATTAGATACAAATTTGATTTTTAAAGCACCTTTTTATTCCTTACACATTAGGTAAGAACGACACTAATTTCTACAAATATAAGAAGGATTTATTGTTTTTGAAAAGTAGTTTTTGATATGCCATACTTATCATTGCTTTTTTGAAGACGGTCCATAGACTAGATTATTTTTGAATGTCCCCTTTTAAGATCAAACTTATGGCAATCAATCGTGTTTCATTCTTAAAGTGGTATTTGAGCCTTAATAGAAATTTGATCTTGCCTTCCTTTAATCGATTCTCTCCAGCAAAAAGCAATATTCTTTGTAAATCACAAGATATTTTGTCTTCAAAAAGGAAAACATTTTCGAATTTGAGCCATCGTGATTCAAAGCTATCTCTCACTCACTGGTTTTTGTTTTAGCGCTTTGAGCACTCTAAAAAATCAAAGAAGATATCAACGTTTGTCCCGTTTCCCGAAGAGCTTGACATGACGCCATTCATGGCATCGACGTAAGTTTTTTTAAAGTTGACTTCGTTTTTCGTTGTTTCTGAAAAAAAATCTTCTGGTCAGTTTGGATAATTTTGAAGAGCTACAAAACATAAAGATAGTATGATAGATTTCCAAATTGTGTACGAGCCCTTTCTATTTGATAATCTGAAATGCGTGTCATTTTCAATGGCAGGAAAAGTATCTGTTAAGGGTCGTTAAGGACAGAGAACGAGTCATCTCTTTAGAATTTTAGAAATAGCTACTCGTGAGAAACCAAGAAGAGATGTGAACTGTATTTGCAACCAAGTGATTGACCAGGCTTTGGTCATTCCACGGCAACTAATGTTATTCATCGAGAGGATTGTATATCAATGTGTTCCATTTTATTGTCTTGTACAATATAGCTAGTACAATATAGTTATATATGCAATTTGGTGTATAGAACTGGATGTTGCAATCTTGAGTTTCACGCTTAAACTGTTCCTTTGCCTGATGGTCGCCTTGAACAATTTTCTGATGATGCCATTAAGCATAAAACTTGGGGTTTCCCCTCAAAACTCAATGCGCCTAAATACGTACCATTATGTCTTAGTTACATTGAGGACTTTATGACAAACCCGTTAGCATTACTTTTTGTTTGTTTTTGTTTTTGAGCTATCAGTGTCGATTTCTAAACTAAGCACTAATTTATGCTTTTTAACTGGATATTACTTTACAGCTGTAGATTTTTAGTTCTTCCTAATCTCTTGTCTATTTTTTTCAGAAATTCTGAAAATTATAATTATTTGAATACTGAAAGATCGCACATTTGTTTGGATAATAAGTAAGTACAGCTGCGGTAAAATCAAAATCTGATGATTGAATATTATGATATTTTCTTTTTTAGAGAGCTGTTTAAAATCTTTAATAATTTTAGACTCGGAACTGTAGAATCAATCCAAGGAAATCAAGGCATTAAATATCAAACCAAAGAAACAGTAATTTTCCTCTTTAGATGATTTAGAGAATAGGTTTAGGAACGAGTGTTTTCGAGTCTTTTCGAGTGACCTCCATAGACTGCCCTTTCCAACGCTTGTCCGGTTCTACGTGAAGAGGGTCAGAAAGGGTCGAGACGTGTAACGACGATCTTGATTTTTGAACTGAACTGAACTTAATTTCCAAATTAGCATACTTATAGAAAATTATTGTTTTCTAAAATTAAGAAGAATTATGTTGGGAATAACAAGTGATAACAAGGGGAGGTTAAAGTAGCGAGTGAAATAAATCTGCGTTATGGTGTGGTATGTGTAGGAATGAATGAGAAGGAAGGATAACGTAAACGGGCCTAAGCAGAGTCACTACAGGGGCATTTGTTGTATTCGATGATAGATAACTGAAAATGTTTGCAGCAGAACCAATGGAGAAGGCCAATCAAGACCCTGAACTGCCACACCAATGCCCCGCCTTGTTTTATTGTTTTCTTGGGAAGGATAAAAACAGGATATTGTAAGACCGGGAAGAGGATAAAAATAAGCCTAGACTGTTTTCCAAAATCCATAGCTAAATAGAAAATCAGTTTTGAGTTGAACTCGTGTAATGAGAATTTTCCAAAAGATGAGCCAGCTGAAGCCAGTAATACATATTCGACTTAGATCAAATTTGCGTAAAGTACAAGTTCAAATAGTTGAGCAATCACAGGCAGAAAAATAGGGTACAAACTTTTACTTTTGATGGAGGTAATTTCTTTAAATATTCTGACAAAGTGTTAAATATGGTTTTTATAGACAAAGGGTTTTTTTATCTCACTAAATTCTTTAGTGATTATGATATTTTAAACTGTGACATTTGTCTTTATTTGCTAATGGTTATCAAATGACCTTCAAGTCATAAATTAGTCTTCTTTCAAATACAAAATCTAATTCGACAATGCCACAGTTTTTTTCTATTTGTACCTAGCATTCATGCAAGTTATTTTTACCTTGTATAATTTTTCAGATATTCTTTGTTTGCTGTTGTTATTCATAATGGAACTTTGGAAGTTGGCCATTACATGTGCTATGTGCGACAAGAAAAAGATCAGGTAACTAATATAGTCTATTGTTGGGGAATCAAATGAGTAAAAGCTTCAAGTTCGTGCGACAGCCCTCTGTCCTGTAGTCAAAGAGCATGGGCAAAAATTACTTTGTTCCATGCACATGCTCTTTCACTCTAGGCTGGGGGTTGCCTCACTCATTTAAAATTTTCTCTTATTCGTCTTCCCCTCCCCAAAAAACTCCTGTCAGAGGAAGCTTATTGTTTGTTATTCAGCATAATGTATACATTTAAAAAAAACATTCTTTGGTATATTGATATCCAGTGTTTAACAAGCCGGTGGCTGGGTAAGAAAAAAAATTTGATGATAGTATTGAAAAAACTATTTTTAAACTTGCATAAACAATGTTAAAATTATCGTAATGCCCTTTATATGGGAATATATCTAATTTAGCTAAAAGTACCACAAGCACAACAAAGAAAAACATGAGTTATGTATGCCTATAATGTTCTGCACCCCCAAAGAGCATGGAAGAAACAAACCTATCCACAAACAATTTGAGAAAGTAACTCTAAACTTTCTATTGTACATCAGCAGAACAAATTAAATTTCCCTCCGCATCAAAAAGTTCTTGTTAACTCCAATTCATAGAAATCAGTTTAAAAAAGAGAAAAAATGGCCTCCTTTTTTGCTAAAGGAAAATAATTGAAGAAGGATCATGTATGCCTTTAATGAGCTCAAGGGTAACTATACTCTAAAATATCATTTCTCACTTTTTAGTGGTTCAAATGTGATGATGCATGGCTTACCAAGGCTTCTTTAGATGAAGTGTTACATAGTGAAGGGTAAGTATGAACTTTAAATACATGTCTTGGCAAGCATGGTGTCTTTATTTGGAATACAGATACTTTGCCTCAAGACTAAAATTTATTAGAAATGAATCAGTTTGCCAAGAAATGTACTGCAAAAATATATTTGTATTGCCAATCAAAAAAAATATCCCTGGATTTTTGTAATTGTTTTGTTTATACAATTTTCTATCAATTTTCTGTATTTATCTAAATTAATATTCTGATTTTGATCTTTTGTAATCTTGTTATATAATATTTTGTTAATTGTTGCATGTTGTATGATTTTTGTATGTAGTGGAATTTCAAAATTAAATTAAATGAAAAAATGAAAAAAAAATTTGCAGAATTTAAAGTATTTGAAATATTAAGAATATTGTCAGAATATAAATTTGTGTATTAAGGTTTTGTTAAACAATATTAGCATTTTTTAAGTACCTCAAAGAGAAAACAAAAAAGGACCTTCATATATCATCATGTTCTAAGACTATACAGGACCTCTGACAAGAGGCCTGTACTGCATTGATTTTAATCTCTAATTGGCTGTCTTCATTTGCAGGTATCTATTGTTTTATCACAAGCAGATTCTTGAATATGAATGATAAAGAGAAGATAGTCAAATACATTTATGAAAATTGGTAGTGTAATATTTCTTTACTAACTGAAAATACTAATTATCATTTATGATAATGTAAATAAATAACAAAAGTATAATTGAATCAACTTTGTTTGACTTGTATGACTCGTTTGCTATAGTTATGCCTCCCTTCAAGTGCATTTGTAACTAAGCTATTTTGTTTCATTTGTACCAGGACCAAGAGAATTAAAAAGTTCAATTCTTAGCAATTTTAGTATCAAATAGTGTCAGATAGCAACTTTGTTGCAAATTCCTGGATCGGTCTTTCTGGTTTTGGTACTGGATCGGTATAGTTGTTTAGAGAGTTTATCAATAAAAAATATTCCATTTAATAGGCATTTATGGAATAGTTTTTACTTTTGAATTACAATTAATGTTAATTCATCTGCAAATGAATAGAAAAAAAAATATTTGATTGCATTTTTTTTTGATAAATTGTATCTCTCAAAATTTTAGAATTCTACATCTTTGTTTAACATTAGTAAAATTCTTTCTTAATTTCATAGGTTTGAGTTCTAGAATTCTGAATCTTTTATTAACAGCAGATAGTTTTTCAGTTTTAAAAATGGTTTCAAAATTAAAGCATAGTAAATCATTTGCCAACAATATATTGTTGCATTACAAAAATGTCTTCTAAATCGCATATTTGTATCCATGGGAATCTTCTTGAAATTTTGTTAAACAAGTAGCAGAATTCTTCTGTTGTTTCAAATATTATACCTTTAGCAGCAGTACCCCACTAGAAGAAGATATTTTGTCCTTTTAAGACAGGCCTGTCAATTTTAAGTTGTAGGCCCATTATGTGAATCCAGAAAATCCTTTGCGTCTCTTGTCTGTTTGTAAGCTCCTTGGAGAATCTGAATCAAATGAAGTCTACAAAGGAACATAAAAGTAGAATGTTAGCATAAAAGTATAACATAACATAACATAACATAACATAACATAACATAACATAACATAACATAACATAACATAACATAACATAACATAACATACATAACATAACATAACATAACATAACATAACATAACATAACATAACATAACATAACATAACATAACATAACATAACATAACATAACATAAAAGTAAAATAAAGGTAAAATAAAAGTATAAGATTCATAAAAAAAAGGTACATAAAAGAACAGTTGAGTTTTATTTCTATTCTTTTTCAAAGAACTTTTACATCACAATAAGCATCTTGACACAAAAAAACATTTTGACAAGGTTCATACCTGTGTAAATCCCAAATTATGTCGGGTTCCAGATTTTCTTTCTATAACCTATGGATTAAATTATTTTCTGTTACGATTTTTTTGCCAAAGATTGATTTTATTTGTCAGATATATGCAAAACCTATCAGTAAATTTGAAAATTAGGTTTGACTTCACTTGAATTCAAATAATCTGAAATTTTTACTTGCTTCCCATATGCTTAATTGACTTCTTTGACTGGTCTCTGGTCCTTATCTCTAGATTTTCAGTTGAATCATTGCAATATTAATTGTGTTCCAAAATACAATCATAATTTTGCAATCAGTTACCTTGTCAAAGAAAGAACTAAATTTGTCCCAGTTTTGTGATCCAATTGAGAATGACTTCTTCTGCAGACAATCTAGATTTACTTGTGTTGCTCTCAGCTCACCAGCTAAGCTACAGTATGAGGAAGATGCTCTAGTTTCAGGAGCTTGGTCCTAGCAATGAATGAACAGTGGTCAAAAAGCAATTCTTCAAATGGTGGGAAATAGTATAATTATTGTACCAATAGTATATAATTTGTTGCTGACTGCTGTTTCTTGGTTTCAAAAATGAGCTGAAACATCAATATAAATTATATGATAAAGAATTTTCAGTCACATTTTGAGCATTATGTACACTACAGAAATAGAAACCAACTTACAAGCTTTGTGCCAACAATAAGCACTGGAAGCTGGTTTCCAGAAAATTGGTCTAGATCAAAGTCTATACTCCTGTGGAATGAAAAAGTAAATTTAATGTATAAGAAATTAAATTTATACATAAATAAAATGAAAACTACTCCTAACTGGTCTTTCATAGAGTTCTCAAAACAAAGCTTCTCAGTATTCTTAAAACTACCTTTGGAAGCTAAGTAGTAACAAATATAAATGCAAATAAATATTGACAAAGTTGCCTGAAGATCCAAAAATCAAGTGTAAAACTCTTGAGATGCAACTTACTAACACTAAAGTGTACAATACATATTCACACATATGCTAGAAATATATTTGACCAGTGAAGGCTTGCAAGATATGGTTCAGGATATAACATACATGGTTCATTTATAAAGATGATAATTTGTTCTGCTTGTTGTATGTCAAGTAATGAGTAAAAATTACTAAATTGAATAACAACTTTGTATCACAAATGAAAGATAAGTACAACGTTTTGAGCATAATGAATGGTTATGCACAAAATGTCATACTTATGTTTCATTTTTTTATATAGTAATTACAGAATATCAAACAGCATTAACATTATGTTGTCAAGGATATCTAAACATATTACAAGAAAACTTACTTACCCATTGTATTCAGGAGAAGAACCTCTCACAATGACACCTGCAAATTAAAATAAATGAAACTGACCTTTTTATAATTCACTTGCTTATCATGGAGCTAAAAAATCTATAAGATGATGATTAGCAGATTTATATAAAGTTGGAAGTAGGGGTTCAAAGTTTGCCATTTGTCAAACTGAACTCTAAAAGCCTCATACCACTCCCCTTTGTCACAATTCTGTGGAGTATACCAGGCACAGACAGCACTTATAATCATGAATCTTGGTTCACAGGCTACTCAAACCTAGCAAAAATTTAAACTCTTGAGTGGAGGGCTGCATTGTCTCAAATCAAAACCATAGTAAAGATGTTAAACACAACATGGTCTACCAACTATGGCAATCTTTGGGTAAAAGTAAACTTTCAGGAATTCTACCTACCAGTGAAATCCTGTTTGCCACAATTTAACAGCTCAGCAAACCATTTTCTTAAATTCTGAATAGACTTCTTGTTACTAAGATCATGTACCAAGATGACACCATTTACATTGTTATAAAAAATGCTTCTGCTGTTTTTATGACTCGTTGATCCCCCAACATCCCATAATTCTATATATATTGATTTTTCTTCTGAACTGCTTCCTTGTTGATATTCATACAGCTACAGGGAGAAACTACAATGTCAGTTATATATCCAAAATTTACTAAAGAAAATATAAAAAATTCTTCATTATATAATATGCTACAATTGTCACCAAAATCAATTGAACACTGTGATTGTTATTGTGAAAAATGAATACATTCCCCTTAATTTCCTTACTTCTAGCAGGCAGGCCGCCTTCACTGTTAAGCATTGTTGGAAATGAAGATGAACAGTTGGCTAAAAATCTATTCTCCAACTTAATTGCAAGGTAATTTTCTGTTAGGAATCTAATATTGCTTTTGACAAGAAGAAAAGATGAAGAGGGTAATCAAAAACTTTTGCCAGGCATTGTGTAAGATTACCAGGTGCTATTTCAAGCAAGTATGGGCCAAAGAGACATGAATATTACACCTTACATCTCTAATTAGACATGTCTTCCCTCAAGGACCATGCTTGGAACTTCACAGGGGAGGTTTAATAGTACAAAAATGTGTTTGTTTACCATTATAAACTAAAAATAATTGAAATGCAGGAAAAACTCTCTATACGCCAAGAAATTGAGATGTTTACCTCCTATGAGAAAAATCATTTAAATGAAATTAGAAACAATACTATATTATTTTGTATCCACTTAATCGTTTCAAACTATGTTTAATGCGATGAGATATGAATTTTTATAACTGAATTTGTCAATCAATAAGTATCTTTAGATAAAATATTAGGTCAGCTTTTGCAAAAAAGAGTGAATTACCAAAACTTCGACAGAACACCCAATTGTCCAAGGAGCACTTGGTAAAACCTCTCCATGAGCTAATGCATGAACTAAAGATGTTTTTCCAACTCCTAAAATAACACAAAATGATGATCATTTACATATATAAATAAAACTGGTTAATTCATTCGAGCAAAAAATTGTTTAAAAGCTAACTCAACTTTAAAAATTTTCAAAAGAGGTTAAATTCAAATTTCATGGGATCAAATTTCCGGGTTTTTATATAGTAGTATAAAAATCAGAAGGTTTCTCCACTTACCAGAGTCTCCAAGTACCGCGATCCTAACTTTTTCTATGGACCCAGACATGTTTCCTCATCTCAAACCCTTGTCGTCCGCCATTTGCAAAAAAATACTCTCCGATTCCAAAAGAGGTTGTAGTTTCAAAGTGAGGAAGTTGTTTCCATGTGCTGTTTAGTAATGGCGGATAGAATTCTGATCACTCACCGAGATTTGGAAGCCAAAACAAAACAGTTTTAGTCAAGTTATATATCTTGTGTGAAATTATCAAGATGGGACTTGTAAAGACATATCAACGATACAGTATTATTTCACAGTTTGGTGTTATTGGTAGCAGCAAATCAAATGCAATATTATTCGAGAAAATTGCAAACCGGCCTATTAGGGCACCAACAGAGCCCAACGTGCCATACTGTGCTGCTACTGCAGCTAACGAAGATGTTATTATTTGGGACATGAGAAAAGGAGAACAGGTGAATAGTTTAGATTAGTTTTCACCGTTCAGTATTAAGTTTTCTTGTTAACGAGGAATGATCACTACCAGTAATTAAAAACCTTGTTTGTATGGTTTGTTGTATGTAACTTTTAGGCCTTCTTTTTTTAAGAGTATTGGTCTGCTTTTCCCACAGATTTTGGTTCTGCGTGGTGAAAAACATGAAGTTACATCAATCACGAAATCTCATGGAGGGAAACTTCTTGCAACAGGGTAATGAATTATTTTTGCTTATAGTTTTTAATTGTTTTCGCTTATTAATTATTTTTCAATGTATAAACGCTTACCAATCCGGCAGTGCTGACCAGTTTATTTTCTAATATTATCGCTTTTCTATTATTAAGACTAACCTACTAACCGCTAGTTCCCAATACCCATTATGGGGACTGTACTATAACATTTAGATTAGATTAGATTGTTTGTTTTTGGTTCCATGTTCCGTTTCATTTGATGCAGTGAGACAAATATAATTATTTTCCCCAATATATCTATATACATTAATTGTTTTATAAACAAGTCATTCATTTGGCCCTTTTGTAAAGATTGGATAATAGCCAAAAACATAACATAACTTAATCCAGGTAATCCAGGGTGCATTCCATGTAGTTTACACCGGAGATCTCCGGCGTGGACTTAGCTTTTAGGGCGTGAAATTTGCTATTTGCGGCGTAGCGGCGTGAAATTTGCTATTTGCGAGCCTTGGCGCATTGGCGTACGTGATAAATTTTCGCGATCAGCGTAGCAAAAACGGTACTTGTACAGAATACGTGAGCAGCCTGATTATATTGATATGGACAGTAAAAGCAATGCAAACTATAGATTAATCGAAAGCTTGTATGTTTTACATTTGGCGTAGCAACTAGAATAGGTTGAAATTTCTCTGGCGTGGGTCTAACATGGAATGCACCCTGGAAGGTAATAAAGTGAATATTCATGTTTCGAACCTACTACAAAAACATGACACTTGCATCTTCAATATAATCTAAAACATAAAAAATGCACACTCAGAAACAAGAACAACAACAAGAAGAGGTCTTGAATATATAAAATCATGGCAATGGAAACTTTATTTTACATACAGGGTTTGGATCTGCATCTTAGCAAGGCAAACTTCTTCACCCTGGTATTTGATAACAGTTTGCAATTCATGTTCTCTCAACTCCAGCAATAGCTCTTAAATATTTGTTATCTGTCAGCTGAGCAGAATTTTTGTTTGACAGTCCAATCTTAGCTTAACTGAAATTAAACTGAAAACTGTTGTGGGCTGTAAATTTTCCAGACCTGGCTTCTGGGTATGAAACATAACCAACTTTTGGTCCTCATAGTACAGCATCTCATAATGTGTAACTGCTGGAAATCCACTTGAAGCACTAAAACACTGAGTCAAACTAAATGCTGTCACATTTTAATGTTTAGTAATTAGAACATGAAACAGTTTCCTTTCATTAAAATCCTGTAATAATGGGCTAAAAAGTTTTCTGTATCCTTCTGTAAAGATATGCTGATGGAGCAATTAAAATCTGGGATCTTAGAAATGGAAGCAACACTGTAACTCTGAGGTTAGTGTATTATTTGTTTTTGTTTTTGTAAACATCATTTTATTTTGGTAACTAAAAGTATGGTTGTTATTACATTATTTAATGCCCAGATTTCTCTTACAAGAATTATTCCAGTTTGAGACAGGTATAAACCTGTATGCACCTCAGACACTTCCTACATCACTTAAGAATGCTATTAAATGACCCAAATAGTGTAAAAACTACATACCAGATTACTATTGAGAATTATGGCTATCAAAGCAATGTTAGCAATAGCATTCTTTGCTCCCCTGATTCATTGTAATATCTTCAGAATAAGTGTTGCAAGATATCAAACCTTCTTATTTAGAACTTTATTAACCACTGATGAAAAATTGAAATTTGATTATATTTTCAGTGGACACAAGTCTGCAATAACCTCTCTAGCATTTGATGCTCTTGGCTCACGACTTGTTTCTGGAGCAAGGGTAAGGATACAAGTACTTGTTTTTATATTCTTTATCTCCAGAGTAAGTTTTTATGTGATCCCTTGACTGCCTGTTTTGAAAAGAGACTTAAGGGGGACCACTAACAATTGGGTATAACCTTGGAAATGATGGAAACCTTAAAAATTTTGATAGCAGATCTTTTTTTCCACCATTATAAGATAAAGCTAAGAAATATGGTGATATTGTAGTGTAATTTGGTCTATTTTGTAAATTTACACTAGGGTTGCAAAAGTATGAAAAAATAGGTCAAAATGGTTACTCCTAGTGAAGAGTTTGAAACATTTCTTTTCTGTGGAGGTGATGCTTTTGCCATTCTACAGAGTTTTAACCCTAAATTTTGTTTAAGAAATTTGTCAAAAAAGGCCCTTGGCTCTATGAACCTCTATTTTCAGCATAATGCCCATAGGTTTGCAATGCTGCTGTACATATGTATCATTGTTCTCATTCATGGATTACCCAACCTTGTTTATTATGTTACGTGGATACGAAAACAATGGAATGACAGTGACACAATGGAGGACATGATTAGGTTTAGACAATGGTCACTACAGTATCTCTGTTATCTCATGGATCACATAACCTTTCTTCACCGTTTTCTCAGGATACGGATGTAATAGTATGGGATGTGGTCAATGAGTGTGGGCTATATAGGTATGCATAATGCATCTTTCATGTTTGATGAACCTTCATTATTTTTATAAACAGCTATCTATTTGTCATTTATTTACTATCTTCTTACTGGTAATTGCTTTTACTATTTCTGTTTTTATATATTTATGTTTCATTTTAAATTGGTTGTGTAAAGTGATATATGTAATTTTTGAATCTCTATTTGTTTACTTCTTTTTACATTTATTTCTAGACTAAAAGGACATAAGGGAGATATAACAAAATGCATTTTCTTGAAAAAGTCCAATGTACTGGCTACAAGGTATGCTAATTCAATGCAGCTATTTATTCTACAATATTTATGTTATATCACCATTGATTCTTATTGATCATTGTAAGTTAACATTTTTTCAGCTGAATGTTTGCTGATTACAATAACACAAGATCCATGCAATATTTTCTCTGCATACAAGGCTGATAGTATGTGTTAACCCATAAATATATTTAGTTCATTTTGTAATTTTTTTATAGCTCGAAAGACACTCTCATAAAACTTTGGGATTTAGATACCCAGCATTGCTTTCTTACATTGGTAGGGCACAGAAGTGAGGTATGTTATGGATTTTAGTCCATAGTCCATAATGCAGTTATGTTGCTATCCTCCAGTATTTTAATTAGCATTTGATTTTTCAGCTGCGATCTTCATCATTCATTCAAAAACTTGCTTCAATTTAAAGACATGTATACTTTCCTGAAAGATTAAAAGTGGTTTTCAAAACATCAAAGATATCTACTTTTTGTTTGAAAAGTTACTTTTTTTGTTAAATTAAGTTATATTTTTTCTGATTGAAGGTTTGGAGCTTCATTATCACAAAGGAAGAATCAAGATTGATTGCTGGATCCTCAGACAGTGAACTTAGAATATGGGATATTGAAAAGAATGATAAGGACGTATGTTACAAATTTAAGATTCACTTTGCAGGTTATTATCTTGCCTGTTATTACATTAGGTTTAAATTTAAGAATGTGTATTATAGGATGGCTCTTAGTTGCACTTACGAGTTTCATCTTTAATGCAATCATCAGGCAATTGAACAGTACTCTGCCTACATAGGAAAAGGATCAAGTGTTTTATGACAGATTTTTAAAACAGTAATATTCAGTTTTGAGGTATATTATATATTGTGATTCAATGTCGTTTCTATTTACCTTTGGTATCCTTTCACCATTAGGAAGTTTCTTCAATACAACAAAGCCAGAAACGAAAGGCAAATGAATCAATTATAGATGGAAGTGACAATGAAGAAGCTCTAGAAGATGAGAGACTAGTAAGTTTTCTGATGAAAGCTGCATTTGAATTTATTTTAATTGGAACGCTCTTGCTTTGCTACTTTGCTCTTGCTTTTTTTATTTTGAAATATTTGTTCTGGAATACCAAATATGCATTAAAATGAACTGAAATGAAGTTTACAGAAACTAGATAGAAACTAGATAGATAGTAGAGAGTTTCATTCAAAAATGATCCGTCTATTGTATGCTAAAGAAAAACGCAAGCTATCTCAGTTGCTGACTTTAGAAGACGAGTTCTTTACCTTACGAGCCAAGCAAGACAATTAAGTACATCAAGTCCTATAAAAATGATAATTTATTGCTAAATATTGATTTATTATATTGCATTCATTTGTAGTGGATTGCTTTTCGTCATTCATACTTGTAGCTCTAGCTCTTGATTTCCTCAGTAAGATTCCATGTTTATTTTATCTGTATTAGCATAGTAATACTCTTTAAAACCAATTAATACTATCAATTTAGGTTGACAAAAACGACAAAATGTCACTAGTACTATAAAAGTAGCACTTTATTCTGTAACTTTTTTCATTTAATTGATATTTCTTATTTCGTCAGGGTCCTTTGAAATGCAAATATTTAGGATCGATCATGCGAGAGAGTAGAGACCGTGTCGCTGGAATCATAGTTGACCAATCAGAACGATACATTGCATGTCATGTGAGTAACACGTTTTTCACCAGGAATCCAAGTTTTGTTGGATTTATTGCCCTTAACCTCCTTTACTGATTCTTAATCTTTGAAGGCGATACATACTACTCTTTTGTTATAACCGCACTCTTATGGAGGGATGACAGCTACCCTGCCAGTAGTCTAAGAACTCCAATTGCAATTTACAAAAATAGTCGAAACCAACCATCCCCATTTGCATTTTACACAACGGGGGTTTACTAATGTGCGGGGGTATGTGAAACAGAGGTCGCAATGTTCAGCAGAAGAAATGAAAATATAGAAACAGCATTCCAGGAGCAACAAAATTGACAATATTGAAAATATAGAAACAATATTGACGCTAATTTTATTTACACTAAAAATTTGTCACAAGTTACTCAGCTACCACTCCGACTCCTAGTATATTTATAATCTGAGAAGGTATTCATGAAGGTGTTGTTGTCAAATTGTCACTGCATCAAAGCTTCACATGGTCTCTCTTGATCAAATGCTTTTCCATTTGAAAAATTTCTTATACAACTTTATCTTTCATGACGATTCTTTTTATGATAGGGGACCGACAATCTTCTTGAAGTGTTCAGGATTTGTACACAAGACGAAATAGCAAAACAAATAAAAAAGAAGACGAAAAAGCTAAAGAAAAAATTGGGGTAAGCGCCCACTTGTTGATTAAATGAGAAATCACATTTGCCATGTAAATATCTGTAATTCCCAATATTCCCAATATTATTAACTTTCTAATTAGCTGCTAGTCGAAATATAAGGTTTCCCATAAACGTACACACGTTGATTTCTAGTGTCAGTTTAGTAATATATTGAATATGTTTGTTGCAGTGCTCCTACCAGCGTTGGTTAACAGTTCTATGGTAGACCTTATTAACAGTTGAGAAGCTCGCTTAATATATTTGGAAATCAACGACCGTGGTAACCTACCATGAACCCAACAAGAGTCCCCTGTTGAACAATAGATTGAAACTTGTAACTCCTCCAATTGGTTGGTTATCTGCTTTTATAAGATGTTATTTGTGAATAGAAGGTTATGTATGAACGGTCTTGTATTGTTCTTTGCAGTGATAAACCTGATGCAGATCAAGAAAAGGTTAGATAGTTCTTTAAGTCTTTAATGCTTATCTTTAAAAACCTTACTTTATTTCCCTTATTGCCTGGTTATTACCGTATCAGCCTTCCCAACCGTTAATACTGTCGCAATTACCTGTATTTCTGCAAAAGTAGTAAATGAGGAGTACCGTAATGCGACGAGAATGAACAACAACAAACACACATAAATCAGTTGTTGCCAATATTTCACCCCGGCATACGGGGCTTCATCTGCGAAAGCCTATTGCCAGCAGTTTTATGGTTTTTGTGTTGCTTTTGCCTACTTTCGCAAAAGGGTTTTATGCATTAGAGAAAAATCTTAAGATTTATTCCAATGCTAACTTATTTGGTACTCCTGAAGGCCAATGAATCGTTGAACTATTTTTGAAAACAATATTTTTTATGGACGCAGACACTTAATGTAAATTACTCTTTGTTTTATAACATCTTGATTTTCAGGAGATAGTTGTCCATCAAACGTTGGAAGACGAAATACAACGGATTCATACTTACAAAATGAAATCTAAAATCAGGTTGGAAAATTCAGTGAATATGCCTTTTATATATTTCACATTCATATATTTCTTTGAATGTATAGTGGCGTCTTGCTTTTTATATATATTATAACAAGGAATCAGCATAAGATAATCGACCGACGTTATTCCGAGTATTTCAAAGTGTGAAGAATTTAAAGAGGTCTTCTGTAGTAATAAATCTTCACAATGGTATTTGCAACAGTCTTGATTCCTTTCTTTTCCTGGAAGTTTTATTCCTGCCATAAGATAACAGATTTCTTGCTGCCGTTTCAGAGCTACTAAGTTCTCGTTACCTATATGTAGCTCAGTTCAATGAGCTTATGACTGCCTTTAATGTAGCATAACTCAACCACGTTCTCAATCAAATTCTTCGTTTTTCAGGTCTTGTGATATCGCGGTTGATGGATCGAAAGAACTAAAAGTGCGTAAAATGGATATCTCTTACAGTTCTTGTATTTTTAATTAATTCCATTTTAAAACTGAATTAATTACTTCAAGATGCCCTCTAGACCTCGAAGCCCTGGGACAATTTGTCCCCCTTTCTTGGCGGCTTTTATCACTGCTTATGTGCTACAACTTCTCCAAACAGTTCAGAGTGCTGATTACATGAATAAAGTAGAGTGGAATAGCATTCACTCTCTCAAGAATCAAGGATTGTATGTAATCAGCTACCAAGTTCTCTTATTTGTTATTTCTTCGTTGTTTTATAGGTTCTCATGCTGTTCAATAATAATTCGATTGGCCTCTACAAGGTCGATCAAAGACAGACCTCAGATTGTACGAATATGTCCCTTATTACAGGCCCTGGACATCGATCAGACCCAAGGTACGTCATCTGTCAAAATTCAGTCTCTTGTCATTTGGAGGACTTTGATTTGAGTGCAGTTTGGGCCCCACTGAGTCAATTGTCTTTATCTTCGTCTCAAAAAGCACTATTTTATTAATGTGTTTGTTCAGTTTGCATGTGTTTTTGGCGTAACTTTTTAATTACGTTTTGTGACATCCACGCTTGTCTTAGTGCTTAGAAACTAGATACACGATAAATATAGAGTCATATTTTTACAAGGATCATCGTTATATAAAGCATATTATAAAGAACAAAGGCACTACTATAAACTCTTGTGAAAGCACCAAATTAAACACTGGAATTTTACCTCGGCATTTAAACTCTGTGCTTGTCCAATCTGAGATATGAATTCCTTTGAATGACGATGTATATTGGGTACATGAAATCTTGATGTTCTTTTGTAGATGTCCAATGCTATTCGTATATCAGCCAAAGTTTCATCTCTATTTGAATATCCTATGCACTTTACCAACTTTTATCTTGTATCAACTTATATCAACTCTTAAAAGAAGGTTTGATTTATATGTTTCTACTAAACAGGACCGTATGTTTCAATACAGATGGCACTTGCATTCTAAGTGGATCTGCAGAAGGGGTGAAAATCTGGAACAGGTGATTATGATTCATTTGACGTCAGGTCTACAATTTATTTGCTCTATGTATTGGTTATATATCCGAAAGACCCATACAAAAATGACAGTGTAAACTTAACGTCGCAAGAGAAACTTCAGCTATGTCTTCCCGAAAAGCGCAATACGCTGGTAAATCCTTCCAATATCAAACTTCTTTCTACCTGAATGTCTTCTACTTGTATAACTTTATCGATCCAAAGATTCACACCTGCAGTGGGCACTCGATAATACGGGTGACTATTATCTGCTCAGCTAATTAATTGTTCCAAACATAATGTGTCAATGGGACTAACATGATTCGAGAAGTTTGTGGCACTGTTTAAACTCATAAACATTTCAGTAGCTTGGTATGAACCAATCATTGTACAAAAAGCTTAATCTAAGCCAATCAACAGACAGTAGCTTGGTCTAGACCAATCAAATCTCAGACAGCTGTATCCCTGGTATCATTTTATCAGCAGTTTCAACATTCGTGCATCCAACTGCACTTTAAATGGCCAATGAAGAATTATGATAGCGTTTTTGCTTTAAATCATTACATATTGTAAAGTGAAAAGACCGAATTGTGAATATGATGACGAGATTCATGTCTTTCCTAATGCATTTTTAATCAGATATAACGATTTGTGCTATTTAGACTATTATTTTTAAAATTTAGCTTAATCATTTTTCTTTTTTGAAGATCATCTCGAAAATGCATTCGCACATTTGAATCTGAGTACTCCTTGTGTTCATTTTTTGTTCCTGGTGATCGGCATGCTGTTGTTGGTACCAAGGTGATTTTTTATGCTAAATTTTTCTTTCTTTGCTGTCTGTGCTGCAGAACGTCACCTATTTTAATACACCGTGCGTGCTTTCAAATTTAAAAAAAATGAGCTTGGTTTTTTCTTTTTTCGTGTTTTTTATCGTTGTATCGTTTATCTTCTTTATCGTTCCATTTTAGATTCGTTCCTTTTATTTTTGAATTTTTTCTGACAGCTTTGTGAAGTACAAATAAGTTAATGAGGGCATTGTCAACATCTGACTTTCAAACTGCAGACAAAGTGAAACTGTCTGGAACAAATCAGCCCGGGTTGAAATCTTAAACTGTGGAAATGAAAATCATTTAAGTTGAAATTCTTTCCGACTTGAAAGTCTAGCGTGAACAAACGCCAAATTTTGCAGCACAAATTTAATCTGAGCCAGGGTGATGTAAAACTTAATCTGGTTTCCTTTGCAGACTGGTAAGCTAGAGCTGTTTGACATTGCGGCGGGTGTTACCTTGGAAACTGTCGCCGCCCATGAGGCAGCTATTTGGGGATTAACACTTGCGCCAGATAAGGTAAAAAGGGTTTATTTTTCTCTCTTCTTTTCTTTAAATTTTGTCTTTTAATGAAATCCATTAGTTTTAAAAAAATTATTAGTTTTACTTGAAAAAATGGCAAGATTTTGTTTCAATGTCTTTGAGGATTTAAAGTCATTATCATACCCGCTAACAACTATATTTTACGAGGAGCTAACAGTCTAAGTTTCCTGACAACAAAAGCACCTTCTAAACAAATCCACAAGCCTTTTGGGGAGGATGATTTCCACAGCCTGTGGTCTTCGGCTAAGTAGATATTTACCGTATGAAATTCCTCTTATCTTCGACAGAAAGGCTTTGTTTCTGGAAGTGCAGATCATGAAGTGAAGTTCTGGGAATTCGAGCTTATCGACGACTCAGAGTATTCGAAAACTGCGTGAGTACCCTCATTGAAGTTCAGGCTGCATTTAATTTCAATGAATAACATGGTTTGACACAATTTTGATTACAAATGCGAATATTATGATATATTCTGGCAGTCTCAGTGAAGAAAGCTACTAAGAAAATAGGAAATTTGAAGAGTCGAAAGATTTGAAGGAGATATTTTCTCATTTTCTGTGCAGTAAACTAATTTAAGAAATGTTCAACTAAAATTTGCTGATATACATAATTTTATTTATTTGTTGTTTTACAGCAAGAGATTAAGCATGATACATACTCGCACCTTGAAAATGTCTGAAGACGTTCTTGCGGTAAAGTACAGGTAAATGCTATTTCTCGTGTTCGTATGACGTTAGTTCAGATATTGCCTTTCCCAATTGCTGTCAAATCTCTGTATTAGCTTGGTTCGGTCACTAGAACTTCAGCTTTGTCTACGTCGAATATGGCTGTATCTTCGTAATCTCCAGATAAAAGCTCCAGATAAAAACCAAGCCAAGATTTTGGAGAATATATAGCAGCTCATGTAATTGTTTTAGAATTGACAAGAAGAGTTCACTTTTCCCCACCAGGGAACCGATGCACCGGTCCTACCTTGGATACCCAAGGTATAAGAAGAGTAGAGAAACAGCTTACTGAAAGAGCCCAGTTTATTCTGATAAAAGCATAAGAACTGTGAAATCCAACTATGTAAATGAGCCCTAATCTCTAAGAGATCAGTAAAGCTAATTGCTTGAACACTTGCTGTGTTGCTTAGTATTAAGTTTCGGTATTCAACCTACCCTATATATTTGCTAAATAGTCTTGATATTTTTATATCCATGATAAAACCTCGTTGAGTGCCGTTTAAATTTAACAAAATCTCATCGCTAAGGTTTAGCTGTAATATCTTTAGTATAGCTTTCCACTCGGATATAAACCTTTGAAAAGCAAATCATTTCTTTCGAATTTTTCTTCATGCTGCTAAAGAAATTGAATGGTAAAAGTTCACTTTTACTTGTAGCCCTGATCAACGTCTGTTGGCTGTTTCTCTTTTGGACAGTACTGTTAAAGTCTTCTTTTCTGACACGCTCAAGGTACAGTGAATAAAGTGATTTGATAGTCGTGTCTTTGAAATCTTTTGTGCTAGACTATATTATTTACGATATAAATTTCAAAACTTGCTACCAAAAAACATTGGACAGGGTATCTGGCTGATAAAGAGTTTGGTTTCAAGTTCTAATACTTTTTTTGTTATTGTCAGCAAAAAATTATTATTATTGAAGGTTACTATGTTTGCCAGATAGAAAAGCAACTTCACCTTTGATAAATAAATTTAGACAACAAAGAGAGTACGACTCAATAAGCAGCTTCTCAGCCTATTTGCTAAACAGAATCACTGAAAAGCCAACGCAAGATTGGCTGTCGTTTATGAATCCTTTTACTTAGACTGCTATAAGGTATTTGTTTTCTATGCAATAATCTAAGTGTGAAAATCGTGAAAATTACTGCTTACCGGTTTAAATGTGAAATAATGTAGTTTTAATTCTTTTTCAGTTCTTTCTATCGCTGTATGGTCATAAACTTCCAGTCTTGTGTATGGACATTTCGTCGGTAGGTTTCGTTTCCACCATCTTCAGAATAGTGAATAAGATTAGCTATTTTTATGAATACCTTTATATATTTTTTGTGACTTTTTATGAATCTAAATTTTCTTTGCATTGTTGATATTTTATTTTATTTCGTTTTAGGATAGCAACTTAATCATAACTGGCTCGTCAGACAAAAATATAAAGATATGGGGACTTGACTTTGGCGACTGTCACAAATCGATCTTTGCCCATGATGACAGGTTTGATCGTTTTTTATTCCAATCAACTATTATTTGTTTCAACAGATTTCTGTTTTGATAGATTTCTGTTTTGTTTGTATTTTGAAACAAGCCACATATCCCCTTTCCTTGAAGTCTCGTTTAATTAAATGATTAATCTCATAGAGAATGTTTTTGTGTCCAAAACTTTTCCACTTAAATTTTCCTTTCCTGGAATGATAGATTGAAACCAAAATAAACTATTATTTGTCAGTCTCTATTCTTGCTTGAAAACACACGATTTTGAAGTTTTTATTGTCTCAGGAATTTGGAAGTTTTAACGTATTTGATTGTGTGTGACTATCTTTTCTTTTAGTGTCATGGATATGAAATTTGTTCCACGTACCCACTATTTCTTTTCTGTGAGTAAAGACAGGACGGTTAAGTATTGGGATGCTGACAAATACGAGAATATCATGGTCTTACAGGTACTACAGTATTTTTCATACTGTATTTCTGTATTTGTATTTTATAGGATATCTCAAGTATTACCGTCTAAGAAAATTATTCCCAGTTATTACTGCTCAAGACACATATTCTGATGTGATGTCGCCTAAGAAAAGATTTTCAGCAAAAAGGCTGCAAAAAACCTCTTGGTTTCCAGTTTCCGAAACGCAATAATTTCATTCTTGTTATGTGGTTCTTAGCTTTGTACCTCAGTAACAGTTTTGAATTAAGAAATATTTGCAAGGAGCAATTCAGTTTAAACAATCCAAGATATACTTCATTGGTTATTGCATGATTGCAATAATTGTCCTCCAATTTCCAATCACTATGACCGAGGCATCTAACAAACGGGAATGAACCGCATTTTTTTTTTAAAATGGGGGCCACAATGTCAAGTGATCACAAGTTCTATCTTGTTAAAGTTCGTATTTGTTGAAGCCCGCATTTCGGAATGCATTTTTGCATTGTTTAATCTACGAAGCTGTTTTAAACGTATTATTTGGTTTTAAACCTGAGATCTGATTGCAAGCGTTTTGATGTTTTTCTGTCCATTCAAGGGACATCAAGCAGAAGTTTGGTGTTTAGCCATCAGTAGATGTGGATACTTTGTGGTGAGCAGATGAAACATTTAACTTTCCCTATTAAGGAGTTATTGCTTCCTATACCCCATTATGTCTTACCTTAATTTTATAAGATTTCTCGGCATAAGTTGAGCATGGTTGCTTCCACACCAAACCTATCTTTGTTTAGCTGTGGCAATGATCCGTGCTAGATCAAAAGCTTCATTCCCGTTTTTCAAGCATTTGCAGTATTTTCTGCAACATGCTCAAGGATAGAAGCTACATATAAGATTTGCATTAGTCGGTCATTTATTCTATTCATTTGGGTATACGGACTTGGTATAAAAAGTACTACTTTATAAGGTCGAAACTTGGAAGTTTAAAACAAGTAACAAAAGCTTTATGCTGACTATTGACTTTTCACAAAAATGTGTGGGGTCATTTTTTTAGCTTTTTTTATAAACATTACCATTCTTGTTGGGATAAATGTTTTTGCTAGCCTTAGAAAACGGAAGGCATTTCATTTTCGGTACTTAGTTATGAAGTAACGTTTAACAGAGATACCTCGTTGTTGGTGCATTTAAGATTTTTTCAAATGAAATGATAGATTTGTACTATTATTTTTGTCAAAACACTCACTTAGCCTATTTATTACCAATCACACCTAGGGAAGATTTGTCGACTTCTAGTTTTGTAAATTCTGTAGTTTTCGTCGAACAGCTCGAAGTATTAGATATTTAGGATTCAAATTGCAGCCTAAAAACACTTTCTTTTTATCTTTGTGTAACCTTTTTTATCAAAGCCTTTGTAACCTTAGCCTACTTATTTTTCTGATAAACCCAGAATCCTAGTATTATCCTATATGATGTAGGTTTCTGGATCCCACGACAAGTCTTTGAGATTATGGGAAAGAACAGAGGAACTCCTTGTTGTTGAAGAGGAACGTGAGCAGGTTGGAATTTTAACTGGTTATTTGAAAAAAGGCTGGGGACTTAAAGATATAGAGTTACACAGTGATGACGTCATAAGTATACCCGTGTCACAAATATGATCCAACAATTCTATAAATTCTGACCACGTAACCTGAAAATACATCGCTAGTGAAATATGGCTGTAACGAACGGGTTACTGTTGATTTGACCTGACTGTCGGTTCGTCTAATGAAAAATGTATTGAAAAGATACGCTGAGAAGAATTAATGCTGTCCTGTACTCTGTCTTAAAATACTCCATGTTATTTACACACGAAACAAGTGATTCGTTTTCAAGAGCATAGTATATTACATCGAATTTCTACATTTCACACTTTGTATAATTGTTATGCGATCGTTTACTATTTTTGCTTCTCAGTATTTTACTGCACACATACAATAAGGTTTTGTAATTCAGATTCTGTCAATGCTATCCTTATATCCTGTGCTTAAAACATTGCTTAGTGTCGCTTCAAAAATTGCTGCAAATATGTTATCACTCATTACTGAAAACTTTTTTTCAAGGAACGTGAAGCAGAGTTCGAGAAAAGTTTAGCAGAAGGCGGTGAACCTGTTGTGGGTATTTTTTATTTTCTCAGATCTGATGTGACCCCTCACCTGACATTGTTCTTATGGTCAAAGATTTGTACATCTGTGGTAATAATTGAATATCTTCATGAGTTATTCAGAACCGTTTAGTTTTTAAAATGTTTATTCTAGATCCCTGGAGAAAAAGAAGCAGAGGCTGGTTTTGCAGGGAAAAAGACCCTTGAGACCATGAAAGGGGTAAGAAAAGGCACGTTTACCGTGCAGATTTTTATGTTAATGCACTCCTATCAATGGGAATATATAAATGCTATCTAAGCCATGGTTTCATCAGCAAAAATTGATTATATCTCAAAAATTATGGAATTGGAGAGGTATGTAAAACATCAATTTTCTGCTGTTGCTTCCTTCAAAGACACGGGGACTATCAAGTTTTGGATTCACGACGCCCTAATAACAGTTATGCACAGCACATGTTTCCAATCCCTTGTGTTCTACATTTGCACACTAAAGCATGTTTTAGATGGTCCGGGGTACAGGCTACTGACTGTTCTTATATCCTTGTTTAAAAAAGTATATAGCATTATAATTATGAGTTACGGGTGTTTGGTCTATGGCGTTACGTAACTCTTACGTAATCGTTACGTAACTCTTACGTAATCGTTTCGTACCTCTTACGTAATCGTTACGTAACCGTTACGTAACTATTACGTGATACAGCACAAGAGAGAAAAAGTTTTGCAAAATCGCTCGACAGAAAGGTTTACTGTATTGAATAATGGACGAAAAAGAGGAAAAAAAGAAAAAAGAGGACGGGAAGGCTGTAGAAGAATTTGGAAAATGGGGATTTTGAGTTGAAGGTAGAAAAGGACAGAAATGGGAAAATAAACAGGTAAGTGTAAGAGAAAAATAGGTTAGAAAAAAGAAGGAACAAAAAAGCACAGAGAAGGGCGCAGAAAGGAAAAGAAAGGAATGGGAGAATGGAATGAAAAGGACCGAAAAATTTTTAACACCAAAGTAAATGCAGCGTCTCGCTCTTTTCCCTACTTGAGGTATTTTAAGTGATTTTCGATTATTTGTTTCTCCTACCATGTCTAATATTTTATGCTACAACACATCATCATTTTGCTCTTTAGGCAGAACGGATAATGGAGGCCATAGAATTATTTAAGGAAGAACAATTCAAAATTGATGAGCACCAAAAGCAGTGTGAGCTCACTGGAAAGGAGGTATAAATTAATATTTAACGTTAGTTTGAGTTCAAATTCAGAGAAACTTTGTTATTGACATCATTTGTAGACTGTTTTGAGATTCGTGAATTCACCCTCAGTTTTGAAACATTCCCGCCTCTGTTTGTAAACTCTAAACTTATGTTTACCAAATCGATGTCCTGAAGTGGCCCATGTTTTTGTGCTTGGAAGGTCTTTCAAGGCACTCCTTTAATGAAAACCTCATATACTGCTTTACAAGCTGTACCCAAGATCTCTTGCGCAACCAACCTATCTCTTGTATAACTTGACTCAGCTCTACCTCCATCCCCCTGTGAAGCTAATAGGTTTTTTGTTATTTGATGTCTTTTTTCATCGAAGAAAACGTTTGAATGAAACTTTCAAAATGTACTCACAATCAATATTAGCAATACATTAATTGCTTAGAATTAAAACCACTGTCCATCAATAAAATTAGATTTAGCCATGTTCTCCTAAATTATTACAAACTTATTCCCCTCCGTTTTATTTTAAGAATTGATTAAAACCTCTTTTGTATGTTCCAGATCCCTCCTCCACAGATGAATCCCATTCTCAAGGCATACGGAAGCGTTGCTGTGAGTTTTTAATAACTTCAAAGCTACAGTCTAATTAAATGCTTTTTAAAAGGATTGACAACTGAACTTAAATCAACTTTTGTAAGAATAAAGTGAAACTATAAATCATGCAATTTAATCGCTTATCAGTTATGATAAAGGGTTTCTGCAAGGATGGAATTTCAACGAGCAAAATGCTAAATATAGATGAAGCATATTATCCAATGGCGGAGCAGTATAAAACACAAAATTCAATCGAATCTAGGGAAGCAAACAACCCACATAGCCAAATGATATTGCCCCTGTTTTCAGTTACAAAAGATAACGAATATTCAATGCGTTAAAAACAGGTAAAATCATGCTTCAATAGCTCGTTCTTTTAAAGATCATCCATCTTACCTTTTAAATTACACACACTTGCCTTCAGTAGAAATCTGCAGTATATTTTTATTTGTTTTTGGAATATGTTTTCTAGCCGAATGAGCTGATGTGACCAACATTAGTAATCAAACCAAGACCTCCCTTAATTTTGCTGTATTTATAAAGAATATTTTTTCTGACATTTGTGAACTTGCTAGATTCAAAACTTTCTTGCTTGTCCCGTTACTGATATTAGAATTGTTCAATATTAAATATTTTGTCTATACAATATTATTTTCAGCCTCGACGATACGTGCTAGACATAGTAAGAAAAGTCAAATCGAGGTAAAGTATTCGTACCCATTACTGCTGTGCTACAGATACTAAATGTTTGAAGTAAAACTATTGGGTGTCATCATAATGACCTCTATGACTGCTAGCATCACTTCCATCATCGTGTTGAAAGACTAGCAGTGTCACAAAGATCTGCTATTACTTCTTGTGCATTTTAGATTCGAGGAGATGCAAGGTGTGGGGAATCAATTTAGTTTGAAACCAATTGCACATGTTTTTTTAAGAATCTGGAGTTCTTCATAAAATGTATTGTAAAAAGGGTGGTTTATTGAATTTAAAGATTTTCATAAAGATTATCCAAGTAAAAATGGCACGATTTTACCGGTCCAGCCTACTTGACATCAAATAAGGCTGTATGTGGCCCCTGAACTAAAATGAGCTGGACACTTCTGACTTTGACAGACAGATCAATGAAAATTATGACATTTTCGATGCTTGAATTTCAGTGAATTGGAGGAGTCCTTGCTTGTCTTGCCTTTTTCATATGTCATTGACCTCTTGAAACTGATCAACAATTGGATCATGGTGAGTTCAGATTTCATTTGCTTGCATCCATGACTCGTCTTTGTCGATCTGAGTGCCATAGTTTTTTAGGCCCTACGACGTATTTGTTTACATAAAGCCCTTATAACGACCCAAGTTGTTGGCCACTCTATTTCAAATCAAAGCCTCTTGTAATTCAAACAATTCAGTATGTGGTGAATGCATTCCATGATAATTCTATCTGCTGTCTAAGCCGCCAATTGATCGCCCAAGCTCCTTTATTTAATAAAGAGCTTTTTCAACTTGACCCACCCCATTTGCTATGATCTTTTCAGCTTCTTTTCTTTTCGCTTTTCTTTTTTCGCCACTTCCATTTTTACCCTTACCTTTTACCCCATCCCTTTATTCTTCCTATCTATTATCCGCTCCTTGAATAACCCTTCCAAAAAAACTGATCATCTTTTTGGTTCAGCTTAGGGTTCAAAATTTGTTTGCGTTTCTTAGTCTCTTGATTGTATGACTCTGCATGGTATCGACAGTTGAACATTGATAAATTCAATCTGTTTTTCGTCTTACACCGTATCAAGATATTATGGTAGCATAGATTTTCAAAAGCATGTTATGAAAACAAAAAGACTTGTTGTTTTGTTTAACATATTTCAGGTTTCTGCGTGAGAAATATGTCACGTATTGACAACTTTCCTTTATCAATGAAATACATTTGCTCATGTATCATCTATTTTGTAAACATTTTTTATTTCAGAATTCCTGGGAAATCGAATTGTGTGCCCGTTGCCTGTTCTTTCTGCTTAGGTGAGAAGTGTAGATTTTGCAAGGACAATGCCTGATATACTCATCCATAACTTTTGATTTGTTGATTGATGATTTTGAAGGGTCCATTCCAATAAGCCTTTCTAGTCTTTTCTTCGCATGTCTAAGAAACCTCACCATAGACAACACCAGAAACAATGTTTCAAAATTTTTTCGGATACCTCAATTAATTTGTCGTTGACATTCAGTAAATTTGTTTCCAATTTTTCATCAAATGTTTCATTTGTGAAAATATACCTGCCTAAACTTGTCTTAGAAAACCTGGTAAGCTTGCGGAAATTTCATTGTTGATACTGAACTACTTCATGTTCTCAACACGAGTTATTTGTATATTGAAAAAACACCGATCAAAAGCTTGAACTTTTAAAAATTTGTAATTCTTTCACTATAAACTCTGTCCTCTATATGTTTCTTAATTATTTTTAGGGTGCATCATAACCAAATTGTCACATCCCAAGTTCTTTTAGACACCATAGATGCTTCTCGCAAACTTGTAACCACCAAACTCAGAGAAAGAAAGGTAAAGTTTTTATCAATTGTAAATATTTATCAGCTAGCTGAAGATTTGATGTTGTATTATTGTAAGAAACTTTGGCAAAGCCTTGGCACTGTAAGTTTGTAAGGTCATTGCGTTCAAAAGGTCAACCAGTGAGGGGAAAAGAAATATGAATGCTTAACCCGAATCTTACCTTCCTTTGCTTTTTTCTGAAAGGGTTTAAAGCGGTAAGGTTGACGCTTTGAAAGGGTTTAAAGCGGGCATCCTATCCATGGAAAGGTTGACACTTTTCTAGACTGTGAATTTAAGTGCAGGAACCATTTTGACAGAATCTTGGTGTTGGAGCTAGTACTATCGTTGAGGAGACGACTCTAAATTCCTTTTTTATGGCCGTTATTCTTTTAATTTGTCTGAACCAATGAGAAAGTGCATAATACAAACATGCACATCTTCACAGCATTTAGTCAAAACTGTTATATATCATAGTTGCATATGTAAACCATAGATTCGTTCTCACTCTTCTCATGACACCCTTTCCTCTAAATTTCCTTCTTCGTTTGATGCGAGACAGTCTAATTCACATGAGTGTCACGAATGTTCCTACCACAGGATACATTATGCGATGTGAAAATGACTTTAACTGCGCGTGTGCATAATATGCAAAATTTTGAAAAGCCAACCGACCTTCAAACAAATGCTGGTTCGTCTCCTCAACCAACTAGAAAATAGCCTCAAGGGTTTGAAAATGCTAAGTGTATAAGGAAGTCTGTATGAACGGACATTTACCAGTAGCGGATAAACAATGAACCAACTTGTCTTTTCCTGTTGTCGAAACTTATAAAAATAGCCTGCAGGTCACCAACACCTCCCTACAACGAATTTCAGATATGGTGCACTGCAGTTACTCGCTATATGAAATGCTCACTGTACAACATGTTAAGATTTCAATGAAACGTAATATTAAAGAAAAAGATCCAACTTCTTGTTCAAGTGCACTCGATATTTCACTGTACAGCGCAGGACTCGTGTGCCGTCTTTTGGCGTAGTTTTCCATTTTAGGAGCTGGGTAGTCAAGTAATTCTCCTATTATCGAGGACAATAGCTCAAGAAGTTAATTTAACAGTGTAGAGTGTTCCAGGTTCGCAAGGTATTTTCATGTGGGCCACATATTGAAACAGAAAATTATTGAATGACTTCTCTTGCCATTTTGATGGATGCTTTTTATGAAACAAGGCTATAAACTGCTAGAATTGTTAGGGTTCTTCCATGATTATAACCCAGCCTCAAATTATTATAACTGATGAAAAGGCTCACGCCATAACGTTCTTTTCTTTAGGATCAAATTGGTTTTAACATTGCCGGACTTAAGTTCATTCAGTCAGAAATGGAAGCTAACAGCACGGTGTTCTTCGAGGATGTTACTGAGAAACTAAGAAAGAAGAAAAAGAAGAAAGTCATTATGGCGTACACTTGAAACAAAGTAAACATTTAGATTTATACGATGCAATTTTTAAGTAACCTGCAATTGATCAAAATAAAACCAATTTATGATTGCCACTGGAGATATTTCGTAGCTTTTTGCTGTTTTCTGCCAAAAACACTAAATGGGTTTGAATGAATCAAAAGACTTCACTGACGAAATAATGGCTTATGTTTTTATATATTCATTCTTAATTGATATACAACAATGTGGCTTTGCCAAAATTCTTTGGAAAACCTGGTGTTTAAAGCATGTTTTTAGAATATTGACAGTTTCCTAAGTATTCGCTGTTATATTTTCGGAATAGTATCTAGGACAATGTCAGTTGGAAACTTACAACCTAATCATTGCAATAGGATCCCATTTTGGAGAATCGTGAGCGCTGAACTGTGTCCCAGTCAACATTGTTTCAAAAGAAGGGGATGATGTAATTGGAATATGCAAGTTAGTTGCCTCGACTTTTTTGCAAGGATGATAAATTTATATTGCTTGTGCAAGCAATGCTTTGTAAGAGTTTTTGTTTTCTATATAGGGCTTTCATGAGTGAATGGCTTTTTCTACTGCGAGCAATTTCTTAAGTATTCGACACGGCTTCTGCCTTATTTGGTAGACGCCGCCTTCTTTTTTCCCATTTACAGCTAAATGGGGTCATTGCTGATTTTTTTTGTTTAGGCTGTCAAAAAACCTTGATTCAACATTGGTTCATATTCCATTCATTCTGTGGCCCTATTTTTAAACTCTGACTTCAAATATTGAGTCAGACATAAATAGGCACCAGATCACCTTAACAAGTACTGTTTCATGGCTTAAATGCCTCTGGTTTGGAACTAAAATGTTCTCTTCATTGCCCATCTACAGTTTGATTCTCTGTTTAAAAGGCCTTCTTAAAGCAAATATTTACTTCAGAATGGTTTATCACGATTTGCTTAATTGACTGAAACCTCATTTACACTGTTCAAAAAGGAATCGTACCAGAACGAAATTAGATAGGCTTCCCATTTACTCTGGACCTGCTGGATCTGCTATCTGTGCCACTTTGGGAATTTTCTTCGAAGTGTACCTGTTTGGATCTTTTCCAGCTCAGGTCTAGTTTAAACATGGATCAAAACGGGTACTTACCGGGTACGAAACAATGAGGGGCCAGAGGTTGGTTCCATTGTTTATCACCTTTATAGGCCATGCAAAAAGCAAATTATATTCTTAGACATCCTAACCATAAATTGTTATTCTTTGAAAATATCTCGCCAAACGGTGACGAAAATGAAAAGTTACAAAGGATGCTTCCTGACATGACGACTTCTCAAAACTTTGGTCCAGCTCTCAAAGTATGAGATTTAGTAAACCGTTCCGATAAAGTTCTAGTGTAAACGTGAACTTATTTGGATCTGTAACCATTTTTGTGAGTGTTTACACTAGAAAGGATCCATATTGAATCTGTACCGGTGAACCCGGGCTAGTTTGTGTAGTGTAAATAGGGCTTATGGGCCGATAAAGTTATGTCATGCTTTCAAAGGGTAACCAACAAGTCTTTGTGCCATTTGCTTCATATCTACCATTCCCAGATAATTAGCATAAGAAATATCTCCTTATTTTCATTTGGTTCAAGATGCAAGTACGAGGGCTTAAATTAGCTGAAATCAACTAAGATGTACAATGTTTTTTATCTAGCTATGCTATTACCAATGATGCAACGAAATAAACTTCGAAAAAAACTTCGAGTTTTTTGGTAGTGTTCTTGTTTGAATCAAAAACATTGTTAATCCATTTTTTATTTTCCTACCACTTTGTCTGCAAAACTCCTCTGTATCATTAAGTATGAACTTGATCTTGGTCCCTTTTTCAATGGTTCTAAGATTTTAAACCAGTGAACCTGCTTGAGAACTTAATACCGCTTTATGTTAACTCTCTTGTGAGAATCAAAATAACAACAGGCAAAATTACAAGCAGTTTTAAACTTTTAAGTGTCTTTTTAGATGCTTAGCAGTAGAAAACATAACTTTATAAGCAGGATTTTTGCTTTTTTACCCCTTAAGTGAGTCACTTTAAGTAATCTAAGGCATCGTGATTTTCATCTCTACGTAATAAAGAAATTCTCACAAAACTAAGCACAAAACAAAAATATGTTATAGAAAGACAGATAAGTTGCGTATGAAAATAATGTGCAGATTTACATAAACTTCTTTTCCCTAACAGTTAATTTCATACTAACGTAAATTAAAATTAAACCAGTAAATCCAGAAACAATTGGAATTGCCACCAAAGTTTAAATACCACAATTCAAGGGCGTTCCAGGCCCCAACGACAATATTAAAATAGAATTTCCGTTAGCCTGTTGTGTGCGACACAAGCCTTGACTGTTTCTCGATTGCTTCTCTCAAAGCTAGATCAACATTTCTGCCTTATTTTTACAAGACTTCCTCTTTCACCGTGATGACATCTTGCTGATTTTCTTTTTCCGCTGTTGGTGCCTTGCCCTTTTTCTTGTTTTTTGTCAACATTATGTCTTCTCTCACACCCAGAATCATTTCCAATGCTTTGATATACGCAACGGCTCCCCTTAGTATGGATAAGTAGGTAATTTTTGTATCGCTGTCGAAAGGTATCACTTGTTGCAGAGAATCGTAAGCCTGCGAGAGCGCCTTTACCCGTAAGCGCTCTCTTCTTGTGGCCTCTCTTCTAGTTTCAGGCGTATGTCTAGGCTTCTTACCATAACCAAATTTTCCCTTCCCAGTAGGAAACTTAGAGAAATTAACAAATCCATGGTATCTTCGTAATGGTAAAGCCATCGTTTGCTGCACCAAAAGCCAAGCAGCTATCTCTTAATCAGCAGCTTTCACGCCTTTAGTGACCTCCAATATGCTTTCAAAGATATGCATCTGACAGTTTCAGTTTCCCGATTTGAGGTCATGTTTTTTGTAGGTTTCCTTGTGGTTAGAATCTGATTGATAGATGATTTGTAATCATGTACATTTTCCATAGGTTGTATTTCAAGTTGTTTGCAGAACACTTGCAAAGTTTACATATGTTTTTAGCATCCAGTTGGCAGTTCTCATGAACCTCCATCCATTTGGTATAAACGACTTTTAGCTAAAGAGATCCTGTTTGTTGCCTGTATAGAAGGGAATGAAAACTCGAAATCTTATTACGCTTCTTTACGTTTAGAGATAAAGAGAATATTAGAATGCGCTGTCACTTTTTCCATCAACTACCATCGAGATGTGAGCCTAAAGGCTAAATGTCTTTCTTGTAGCCCTAGCGAGAGTTTTTCTCTTGTTGCTTCTCGTTTTGGCTAGAAATTGGCCAAGGTTTCTTGCACACAAATTTGTGACCAAAAAGATGGCAGCCAGATATATTTCATCATTTTTCTGCGACGGTTAAAAAGCACGAGAGTTTAAACTTTCTTTGCAACTGATTTTTCATAGAGCCACTCTTAAAACTAAGAGTAGTTTTGAAACATTTCGTTATCAAAAGTGCCAGAAGCGTTTCCCAGGCTGTAAATCCCCGTTAAATAACTTGTCACGTATCCATTAGATGAACTTCTTATGTTGTTGAAAGATGATTTCTCCAGTGGCCGCAACATAGAAGGTGATCGATGTAACTTACATTAATGATTGGTTCTTTGGAGAGAAAATTGTCGCAAATAGTGGAGGGGATTGGGATTGAGAGGGAACGTCTGTCGCCTACGCAGAGGCTCACAAGTCGCAGGGAAAGTCTGCGCAAATAGCGACTTGACAGTTTTTGGCTCAAAACCATTTTGCTCTAGATATTTCTGAACTATTTCATACAGAAATCTTGGGCAATATGAAGGATGAAAAGAGTGGCTCCAGATTGGGCTTTGCAAGAGTGGTTCCTCTAACTTTGCATATATTAACTAGGATTAAAACTTATGTTTGGTATGTAGGGCCAAAAGGGTAGATATTGCCTGCAAGGGAATATCAGCATAGGCTTTAGCACTGCTACTCCAAAGCCAAAAGTTGATCAAGACGTATGCGCCAGTATAACTGCATCATTGAATGTTTTTTGCTCCAAAATAAGTAGTAATGAGAATGTAACGAAGTTTGTTGTAAAAGTCGCGAATTTTATGTCATCACAAGGTTTGCGGATTTTTAAATGGATTATAGTGATCTTCTGTATCATACAGAAGTGCGATGGTTTAGCAGAGGAAATGTTTTAAGGCATTGTGTGTCTCTTAAAGAAGAAATTCGTCAACTACTTGCAAAATTTAATACTGAAAAGCAGAACTTAATAACACCTTTCAGATCTTCCCACTTGCAAAATTTTGTTTCCGCCGGAAGAAATTCAAGATTGTTTGTCTTGATTTGACAGAGTTGGAAGGGAAATTCAGGAAAAATGTTTTCGGCTGTAAGATGATCAACCAGTTTTTTACTTACTTGTTTTTTGTTGCACCAGATGAGGCTGCAGAAGTGGGCGATAGTTGAATTTCATTGAGCTACGGTTCCCTGATCTCCACAAGAACCACATCCTGAAAAACCTGAAAAATTTTTTGCCGATCTCAATAACTTTAAATTTCTTGAAACTACAAGCAATAAAGAATTAGCAACTTGTGTTCGAGCACTCATTTCTGTCAGCTGACAATTTCTCTTATGAAGCTGGTCAAGTCAAAATAACAATCAAGGCGAATGTTTTTCATGGCTTACTTTGCACGTCAACTCAATCTGTTTATAAAAGAGTCTTAATGTTGTTTTTCTTTCAACATTGATTGCTGTTAGAAGCTGCCCAGTTTTGTTAGCATGAGAGAAAATGTTCAAAAACACATTTTTTTACTTCTACTTTCCAGTTGAGGCTGGGCATTGCTAGGACTGTTCTAAAATAGTTTTTTTTTGTAAAGACGAGTCTCGGTATTCTTACAGAGCGTGTTCTTATGAAACAAAGAATGGATAAATTTTCTGCAAACAAAAATATAACATTTCACATCAACTTGTTTTAAGTAACTCTCTAATGCTGAAGCAGTTTACAGGACATTTCCAAATTTGCCGGTTATTTCCATTAACTTTTGTTTGGCCTTTCTGTGCAGTAAGGTTTTGTCTATTGCGCAGCCAAAAAATAAGCTTGACGCTTCTGCCTTTGGCGAGTAATTCAGACAATTTTACGACCTTTGGCGAGGATTTCGATTAAACTTTTCTTCTCTTTATTCTCCTTATCAATAAAAGTCATACAATCATGCTTTTCCTGATCTTGCACTGTAAAGAATGGTACATCTTACATTTTTTGATCCTCAAATTTTCTGGGAACGTGAATACAACAACAACAGAAAGTTTTTTAATGAATTCAGGCTTCTGGGCCTAATAAAGCCCATTGCCAAATCTGGGTAATAAAATTGGTCTTTCAATCCAGCTTATTCAACCAGTAGTATGTCACCCATGCCATCCGCCCTACTTCAAAAAGGCGGCCCCCAAAGCTGTTGCCTTTGCTATCAGATCTGACAACTGCATCCTGGGATTGAAGAACAACACAAAATGATCCCAGATCATCAGCAAAACAATTCGATAAATGGGAAATAATTGATTGCTAGAATGGCAGTAGATATCTAATTATTAGCAAATAAGCAGTGGATACATTCTCGTACAAAACAAACCGAAATTAATCGCTTTGTGGCTATTATCAGTAATGAATTGCATTAAATGAATGAAGCTTTTTGTTGAAAGCAATACTTAATACAACACTTGAAACATTTTCACCCCAATGCATAAATTAAAACTGATAATTTTGAATCGTTCGGCGCTTCACTGTCCAGATTTCTGTGGTTACTTGTGGGCATTTGTAAAGGAATACTTTCTAAGAGTTCTTGACCTAGGGCCTAGCTAAGGCTAACAAACGAGCAACGACGTCATATCAGGAGGATGATCGAACAGTCATGAGCACTGGCCCGTTTTTAAGGCAAGTTCACTTTTAGTACAGAAATCTTGAAATAGACTCAGTGCTTAAGAGAAGTTTCCGGTCGGCCAAGAAAGAATTGTTGACACGTCTGCTTACTGGCAAAGTACCTCAAAGCTTTTCAAATTGCTTTTAAATGACTTTAAAATGCACATAGAACTTCCCTGGAGCTCACAGGCAATTTTCAAATAACAAATTATAGAAAAAACAGACTGTATTCTTTACATGGGCTGTATCGAGGTTTTAATTAAGCAAAAATGTGTACAAACAACAGCTTCATTCGCGAATGTAACGCAAAACTGACTTAAAGATCGGCTCCTGGCTTCAAATATTGAGAACTGATGTAAAATAAAAGGATAAAGGATAAAAGGATAAGTAATGACGTCCTGAAAATATATTTTTCAGAATATTTGGGTTTGGATAATAAAATCCAAAAGAACCCATGAAAATGTACAAATAATTTGAATGTTTTAATTTGGCTGAGGTATCTTTACATAGCACAGCAAGATGGTCTTGGATTTGAAAATTTTCGAATGAGGCCAAAGTAGCAGGAACCAACTGGCAAAATCAAACGGCGCAATTTAGGCCATTCACTGGCCATACTCTGTCGAATTTTCATAGCATTTTATTGTATTCTTGTAGGTTATGCGGTCAAAATAGATTTTTATTATTGTAACTTGGCTAAAACAAAGCATGAATTTCAGATAAAACAAAAGTCTGGAAGGAAAGAAAGCAAAATGATCCTGAAGTTAATTAGTCTTGTTTTCCACCTTGTTTCGAAATGCCTTCTAAATTCCACCAATTTTCCGGATCCTAGTAGCTGTTTATGGTTGTGTCCCTGAATAAAGTAGATAGTTTAATCTTCTTTTGCTTGTGTTTATAGAAAATGTTGATGATCGGTCCATATCAGTCTGTATGGCTATTTAAATAATCTATAAACTCTCAAGACATTCAAATCAATTGAATTGATAAGTAAATAAAGAAGATAGATAAAGAAACTTGCAGCCAAATAGCTTATACAGATCTTTACGCTGATATCCGGAATGTTCTTGAAATATCTTTGGTACTTCAATTCCAGATAAACATGCTGGTATTTGCTAAAGAAAATCGTTTTTTTTTACAAAAATTCACTCACGACCATTACAATGCCAGATTCTATTGAAATCATCTTGGAATCCAGCTGCTGTTGATTTATGAAACTATCTCAATCTGGGGTATGCGCAATCCTAGCCAAATTCTAGCATAATGAATATCTTGGCTAACAAAAAACCAAATATCTAGTAAATTAGCTTGTGTACAATTTATCGCCAAAGGCTACTTCTCTGGCTTACACGCAGTCTATTAGTTTGCTAGCTGCAGGTAGCTCAAAATTTGAAGCTGGCTTGCTGACCAAGAGTATGCAAAGGCTCAGTTTTGGCATCATATGTGACATTTGGTATCTAGGTTCCCTTGCAGTTGGCACTATGTGTCTCTTTCTAATGTATTAATCAATGATCGATCAAATGGTTTCGCCGGTCAAATCTTTAGGACAATGTTGTTTGGACGGTCAGAGCAAGTCTGAGGTCCATGTTTGTCAAAGGTCTGTAGGGACGAGATAAAAAGTCGATGAAGTCGAGTCAGAACCGAGAATTGTTGTTCGTACTCGGTCTGCATGCTCTTGAAACTAACCTATCTTTTATCTCAATAACTAATGGGACAGTTTTTACTACATCTGCCTCTGGGACCTTATTCAATATTTTTCGTTTCGATATTTATTCAATATTCAGTTCGTTTAGAGAGATTCAAAATCAAATAATTTCGGATATATTTTTTCCAGAAACAGGCACCGCGCATCAGTCTTAAAGTGGGGTGGCTGAAAAGGATGTGACAGGAAATTTTTGTGGCCATGCCCTTTAGAATGCCGGAAAATGTCTCTTGTAGAGAGTACTTACTTATTTCCATTTATTGTTGATACACAGCCTGGTTATCAATTACGGTAAAAATAGATATAATTAGCTTGAGGATACTTAAACACCAAACCAACCAAGTTACAAAATACAACTTTCCATAAACAAGATATAACACCAAGAAAATGAACAAAGAAGGGTTTCCAGTCAAGAAGTACCTGCTACTTCTTAGGATCCCGTTAGAGTGAACTTTTCAAAATTGCGTTAGAGTTCCAAAAATTTCTTACCTATTATTGCAAAAATGTGAGGGAGCTATAGCCCCTGCTGCGTGGGGCCTGTCCACAAGGGGGCTTTTTAAGGAGGCAAGAAGCCCAGGTTCAATGTGCCCTAGGCTTGACAATGATCATGCATTGCTTCAACGCATAGTGTACCCTGGGTATCAAATTCTCCATGGCAAAGTTAATGATTCGAGGGCAATTTTGAAGCGTTTGTGTAAGTTAGAGAATTCTTATCCGTGTTGTATGCTTTTTATGTATTTTAGGAAACATTCAGTGGAGCAGAAAATTTTTACCCAGCAAAAATTGCTAAATTAAAAGATTTCCACATTTTCCAAACATTAAGCTAAAGTAATGATTTACAAAATGTCGATTTCCTTTTACTGGTTACCAAGCAATCAATCTATTTAATTTCACGCTTAAATTCCAACACCTGAGAAAGGAAGACTTTCTTCATCACAGAACCTTTTTTGCTCTAAGAAAGGCACTTGGGAGGAGGTTTACCGCTGACCAATTGTAATAGCGTCCAAGAACAGAGGTGACAGGATGAAGAGCAGTGGGTGAAGTAAAGATCAAATAACTAAAGATTTATGCAGTAAAGTTACGAAAATAGCGGATTTACTGTCCTTGGAACGGCTATTATTTTATATGCTCTGAGGATTCTTTTCAGGAGCACTTCGTCTCCGTGTATTATTTTTCCGATGCTGCTTGTGTATCTGCTGGCCTATCTACCAATTCGTTACTTTGCTCAATCTGTCAATAATTGGAAGAGTAAATCGTGGTTCATGCCAGTCCTTCGAAAATTCGGGGCTCACAAAGGCGCTGTAAGGAACATAAAGCTCGCAGAAAGGTATAATAAAGCTTTTTACACTGATGATTAATTGTCATGTTTGCCCTTAGGCCATTGTTATTGTGATTTTGTAGACTAGAAAGATTGGTTCTGTTGTCTAGGTTAGATCTACAATATGCCAGTCGATTCAAGGCAGTGTACTTTACTTTGCCGTGAAACTCATTATATTGATGTGTTTTTTGTAAACCCTCCTGCATCAACAGAAAATAAGATATAGTTTATTGTTATTAAATAAGCCGGTCATTCGATAACCACTACAAATTTCATCCAGGATTCTTCGATTCTGCAATGTTAGATAACCCTTTATGTTTTGAGTTCTGTGTTATAAACCATTGCTAATAATAAACATCTCAGAGACTAAAATGCAGTTCATATTACCGGTTATGCCTTTCTGTCGATTTTCATTTGATGTCTTTGAGATGTAGAAATACCAATAACAGTTTATATTGATACATGATTAATCAAATACAAACTTTTTGTTTTGTAACAAGACTTATCTCGTTTTATTATTGATAATCCCTTTACCAACAAAGAGGCCAACAATACACAATTTTGTGATTCATAACACTATTGGCCTATCAGGGGCAAACTGCAAGCTGATTGCTTCAAAAATGTTTTGAACCCACATTTTCAATGGCAAGGCCTCACTTTATTTCCTATTCATTAAATTTTGATATATAATATTAGCCTTAAGTATCACTAAGGGTTTCCTGATCAAAATTTATCATATTATAGCCTTTTCTCAACATCAATGTTTATGAGCCTGCCTCACTTGATGTCATCAAAGATTATAATTCAGTATGGCCTTGTAAACCCTAGAATTGTGTATGCCCTGTGATACTTGGTGCACCCATATTATATTTTGGGTGATTTGAATCTAAGATGTTGGGCCTAAGCTGCTTGCTATTAGTATCTTTCTTTAGTTCTATTTCTTATAGTTAATTGATAAATTTAGCTGAGCTACATAAAGCTTATTCCATTTCAAGTATACTCTGATAAACTGTGAATGCTGTTTATGCTTGCATCTGAATGTGATCCATTTTCCCCACTGCAATTTGTCATAGTTTTCAGTCTAGTGCTGAACAGTGTAAGCATTTCCCAACTGTGCTAGGCTAGAAAGAAATCAAATGTGATGTGCCTTAACCAATTTTTATCTATACTTGAATAACTCTTTAACAACAGAATTTGATATCTAAGTTGGCAAGTCAGTTTTATGACCTAAGATTTACAGTCTAAACTTAAACTTATAAAATGTTTTTGTGGCCAGTATAAGACAATATAAGTTATTTCTAAATATAAGTTATAAATTTTACATCTCTTTATTCTCTACTTTGCACCTTTATCAAATCTTTTACAAAAATGAATTTCATTGCAATAAATCTAGACAGTTATTGGAAATTCATTTTCAACCCTTTTAATCTTGCAACAGCAATGTAGTGCCTGAGTTCGATTATTTTTGTTTAGTTAAATTATTCCTATCCAGACTTTAGTTGGATCATATCTAGTTTCATAGATGCAAATCATGATTATGTCTAGAGCATATCTTTAACTTTATCTGCATTTTGTTAATGGGCACCTCTCTTTTAGATGAATACTACCTTAAATGAGTTCTCTTGTTCTTCTGTTACATGTAGTATTATCTCTCAAACTTTTTTCCAGTCTTTAGAAAGTCAACAAGATACTGTATTCTGTTTAGTAATATTTACTCAAATAGCCCCAATTGTACGATGCCAGGATTATGAATATTTATGGGTTGTTGGTAATACAATCTGAAAATCAAAATCCACAAGATGACTTTTATTTTTACATCACTGAATTTCAGTAAAAGAGGCTGAGCTTAGTGTTTGTTCTGTACCTCCAATACCATGAAAACAAAAACAATGGTAAAATATAGACAGAAACAACAAACAATGTATCATTTGCAAAACCTGTTGTAAATGTTGCAAATTTACTGTAGCTCAGCACATAAAGTACCAAAAATTATACTGAAGAAGAAAATGTTGCTTCATCTAAATTTGCTATATTTATACCTTCCCTTCAACTCACTTTGAATTTTAGAATTGAATGAGAAAATTTGAATGCTTTTGGCATATGGAGTTAGTTTACTTACTCTGTGTGCTTTTCCATTGTCTGCTTGTGTTTTGTACTATAGTTTCTATGGTTCTGACAATATAAATATATAATAATATATAAATATTATATAATACAATAATTATGTATTATATAATTAATTATTAAATATATATCATATTGTGTAGAAAAAGTTCTCACCTAACCATACTTGTATTGATATTTAGGAATGGAAGTATAGCAGCATCTCATGGTTCTGCGGGGGCTACATTAGCATCATACCTCACAATTGTGCCAATCTATCACAAACCAGTACCAATGCTGCCTGAACTCACTCCCATGCAATTTGAATTAGCGCTATTTGGCTATCTGATGGTGTCAATGTTGATGCAATTTGTCAACATCTACAAAACAGTGAGTATTTTGTGGCACCTTATCATAATATTGTTTACACAGGTTTAAATATTGATATAAATTATGGAATTGACAAATATTGAAACACTGAACATAGTATTGAATACTGTATTTATATACTAGGTATTTTAAAGGATCTATGATATCAGTTGAAGGTTCAATGACAAAGACTAAGCAACTAGAGTTTTATTGTAATTTAGTGATCTCTACAAATTAGAATCTATGTCAGATTTTAGGCTGGATGGGTTCCTATGCAATGGGGGTCTATAGATTTCATAGTTTCAGCCTGTAGTCTTTTAATCCACTAGATTCTTTTATGTGGGTGTTTACTGTAGCTTAAATATTTATGCAATGAAAGCTATTCACAATAATGTTTTTTTAATATCTATCCCTTATCAGTTCTGCTTTAGATATTTTTACTGCCAAAAGCCCATAGTCTGAGCAATTTCAATGTGTATGTTTTTTACTATGTTTTTCCACAAAATTCTGACATATTTTAAAAAAGTATTTGTTTCCAAGTTTCCAAGTTTTTATTTGTTTAAAGTTTTCAAGTTTATAGCAATTTGTTTAATCATGCAATCCTCTGCATATCAATGGTTTTTCTGCCCAGAAATGGTTTTTCTGGCTCAAGTTTCTTGAAGTATCAAAAAGCCAGATTTCTTGAAAGCCCTTGTGTATTTACTTATGACAAAAAGTAGAGGATACAGAATTTTTTTGGTTATATATTTAGTAAAAGTTATTTTTGTTTATAGGAAAAGTCTAAAAAACGAAAAAAACATTTATGCAGTAGCACTTCCAAAATGCTGTTAGTGATTTGGTGTGATCTCTCTATATATGCACATCTGGTTTCTGAATTTTTAGGCATACAGATGCTATGTGCTAAAGCAATTTAACAACTTTTGATTTCTCTGTGAAACTTTTGGATTAAAGGCACTATGTCCTGTCAGTCAACCATCCAGAGTTAACAATAGGCTTTGCAGCATTTTTAAAATCAAGAAAACAATGAAAATTTGCCTATTGGCTCCATAACAATAGTTCTATTGTATAGTCTAACCAATGGGAATTTAAATGGCCAGTGAAATGCATCAGGACATATTGCCTTGAACATATTGCAATATGTCAACCTGCAGAAATGAAATTCCTTTTATATCTGAAAAATCCTTTCCCTGTTTAGTTGGGAAATTATGCGCAAGGATTGATTTTACAGTAACAACAAATGTTGGCATACATTTTTTTTAATATATGCTTTTTTCATAAAGGAAGAATAGTTTTTAGTTTCTGTCAGTGCTCTTTTGTAAGCTATGGTTCTATTCCCGTCTCTCTTTCTGTTTTTTGTGCTATTTATACCCAAAGATTTTAAGCTACCAGTAAAACTGTGACTGTTTTAAAAGGGGATCTACACCTCTAGACATCCATCCTAACAGCCATATTGTATAATGGCTGCATTGTATATTGTACAATCTTGCTTTAAACAACATGCAACTACATGTTATTGGCTTTAATGTTTTTGTTTTTAGAATGCATATGTGATTGATTTGCACTTGGCACTCTTCATTGTTATCATTCTCTCAAGAAGGATTTCATGGCTGGCTGTGAAAAAGGTGATCAACCTTGTTGCTTTTTATCTCCCTATTGATTGGCAGGTCAATTCAGGTAACAGGGCCAATACTTGGGAACGTTGGCTTAGGGGTTGTTTAATGGCATGCAAAATTAAGTAAAAATACCCCATTACCTATGGTCATATACTCACCCTTTTTGGAGACTATGACAAATTATCACAGTCTGGTATCTGTTTTTCTAGTCACGTGGTGTTTGGAAACGATTTTAATTTTCTTGAAAAGGGTGTAATTTCCAAGAATCACGTACAGGCAAGGTGTTGATAAATGGAAATGAAGGGCTGTATATTGAAGAGTTGAAAAGGTTGTTGAATGTTTAAAGTGTTCCTTGGAAAATACGAAACTGAGGCTCATCATAGATAATTGTAAATGATACCTATATCAAACATAAAAAGAAATGATAAAAACAACTAAGGCTAGACCGGTACCAACATTTTACTGTTGGAAAGTATCTTTGTCAGAGTTCAAGTAATGGACCAGTTCAGTCCAGGAACAAGTTCTTGGAAAATTTGATATGTACATTGAAGAAGTATCTCCTTTAAGCCCTTTCGTAGAAGAAATGAATTCTAAGGTCATCGCCTTTACTTTCAAGTATTTTATTACCAAGTTTACGCTTTTGGTGTATAGAACAGGATGGTTATCAGTTGCATCTCCGAGTTTCACACTTAATGTGATCATCAAGCATTTTATAATAGTTTCTAGAATTCGTCTGCAACAAAATTGTCTTGCTTGAATAGAAGATAAAGCTATAAAGATCCTTTACACAACCAGACCATACTAATATATAACCTTATTCGATACCTTTGTCTCTTTTATCCACCTTTGATAACCATTTCAATCAACATGTCAATCTTAATTACTAGACATTGGCGTCTGAAGTAGTTCATTCATCTGCTTATTGGGCCAAGATCGTTTTGAAGACATTGTTTTTTGCCCTCATGATTGCCGCCGGTATTTGGTCTTTTTGCTGCGTGGTGCAAAACAGCTCGATTGAAGATGTGCTCTTTTTATGCTATCCGTAAGTGATTTATTTTTGTGTCGCAATTTTTGACAGTTTTTCTCAATTCTTTGCCAAGTAACCTTAACAGATATTCAAGAAAACACGATGGTCGCACGGTCAGTTACTTTAAAGAGTAGCCTTCACTTCAGTTTTTCTAGTCGTTCGCGCATGCGTTGTGCGTTTTCAGATCTGATTGGCTCCTCTTATCGTACCTTGTTTGCGCAAAGTCACTTTGGGAGTAGGAACACAGCCTACTAACAAGGGGAGCGAAATTTGTTTCTTACGACCAGCGCCGTCTCAAAATAGCGTTCGCTCGGTCGCAGCGTGCACATGAACAAAAAATTGAAGTGAAGGTTGGTCTTTTTATAGACCAATGATTAAAAAGGAACTTGAGAAATTGTTTTTTAAGGACTCAGTGTTTTTGGAGCTCAAAGATACTGTCCGGAAAGATGGGTAGTTTTCCAGACTTTGACTTAGCATTTCTTTATAAAATCCAGTTATCCTTCCTATTCTTGTTGCAGATTTGCCGTCTATCTCGGAACTTTTGGCTTCACTCTCAACCCCTATGGTCATAAGGTCTTGTTACGACTTGGCTCTCACCAGTTACAAGCAGTCCAGGATTTGATCGCCAGTAATACCTCATTGCTAGCTAGACCCACTCCGCAGTCGCTAGGGAGTGAGCTGGGCAGCATATCACCGACGAAATGCGAGCAAAAGAACAAGGTCGAAGAAACGGTACAAAACGGTCAAGCTACTAATCAGAATGGTAATATTACTAATAATGGTCATTTGAAACGAGAAGACAGCTCGAGATGTGTGGAAAACCACTGCACTGTGTCTCCTGACAGTGTGCGGTACGAAGCCGAATGTTTACGAACGGACTTTAATTTGAGAATCAAACAAGTCATCTTCAGCTCTGTTGTTAGTGCTTATTACGTTGGATTCATCCCAGTAAAATTTACTCAGGTATGTCTTACGACCTTGATATGTTCTCCTTGTTTGCACTCACTAAGGCAACCATGTCTCTAGCGTGGCCCCTTCTGGCAACACTGGCCTCTCAACCCAGTATAACTCGAATTTGCTTCCGCCTCAAGGATCATGCAACTGTTAGGCTGCAGGTTGCTGCAACTTGTGTTTACATGTGAATTGCAAAAAGTCATTGTTTATACATTTTTTTTTCATGAATGTTTGGCAATCGTATTTGAAGTCTCTCCTAAAACTCTTAAGCGAATTTCCCCAGCTTAGAATCCTTGCTTTCTAACACTCGTGTAGGGACTGCTATATGTTATTAAAGATAATACTTTATTTGATTTAGAATGGTTCATTTTATTACGATCCTCACTGGGCCATACAGTACGTTCTTTTTATTTGGTGGAATTCATTCGTACTTCTTATCGGCCATCTGATGCCATTCGTATATATTGACGCCCTGCATCGGTGTGCGGTGCATCTTGGGTCTTGGAAACGATATTATGGACACAGGGAAACACAACACGTGTAAGTATACACGAAATTTACTGGTTTTCCTTCTTTTTGCCCTTTCCTATTCGCATGTTCGCGCCAATTTTTCAGAAATTAGCAATTCAGAAATTATCTTTGAGACCTTGATTAGATTAAGACCAAAAAAGGTAATCTTACGTTTTGGCAGATTTTATCCAGTTTTACAAAGTTAACAGTTTGGCAGAAATTCTGATACAAAAGTCATTAGTGAGTACTTGATATTAAGAGCTCTTTTCAACTTGAAAGTTCCTTTTCAGCTTGAAATTATGAAATATTTTTGTCTCAAAGAACAAGCAATTTGCTATGGTATATAGCAACTGAACTGAACTTGTATGTAGAAAACGTCCTAACAGCAAATATTTTCTATTTAAAGGAGATCCAAGTACAGATATCAATAAAGTCTTTAAACACTAATATAAATTTCCAAGGGGGTCCAATACTTCATTGTTGTAAAATGGATGTTGTAGGGTGTAAGTTTTGTTAATGTTTATAACCCCCATGCCCGAATTGCGTATATTTGAAGAACGAAAGGCGTGCTGCCGGCAGAAGAAAAGGGTATCACTATTAAGGGCAAAAAATTGCATAAGGAAGAGCATAAGTTTTCGAGAAAAATTGTTTAAAGACGGATTCTAATCAGGTGCTTTTGCAAGATTCTAATCAGGTCTCATAGTGTGTCTGAAATATTCTTCGGCATTATTTGATTTCGATGGCTTTGCTTGCATCACCCTTTCATTAGGAGAAATGACATGATGCATAATCGGCTTCGAGTATCGCCTATAATATGACCAAATTGCAAGAAGATAACCGCTGATGAATTAAAATAAATGCAGAGTTAATGAAAAACTAATATCACTGTCTCTCGTGATTGGTTTATGCCCATGTTTTGATGGCCTGCCTTAGAAATCGTTTTGTAATCCATTTAAGTGATATTATGATATTTTGTACCATTTGCTGAAACCTAAGAAAATTTTTAATGTATAATCCACAAGGAGCAGGGAATTACTAGAGAATCAATGCTTGTTAATATCGTTGGATAATCTTTCCCCATTGTTCAAAAGCTACTCAATCAGTTGTTAATCTACTTAAATGAAAGTAGGTTTTTCGTTGCCGATCTTGGTCGTAGCAGAAAAGTTTTGTCCTTTCTTGTGCTACCAGCTTTGCTACACTCTCTACAAGTTTAGTTGGACTTGGTCGATGTATTCTCTGCTTTCTGCTGTCCCTATATGTCGTAGATATTCGCTGTCGCTGACCTTTCGGTAGAATATGGTGCCCGACTTGTATTGTCTATTTTACAAAGCAACTTTTATGTTATAACATGTATTGAGGTTGGTTTTTGGCCAGAGAATAGAACTTCATTTAACATTTTCCATAAGCAAAATGGAATAGTCAGCAAGAAATAACCTCACTTTCGACTTACTGCTGCTAAAAGATCAGAAAAGATCTGCCAATTAAGATATCAGTAAGCAAGAGATTAATGATGGTTCTGACAATAATGATAAAAGGGACTGGGCACTATGTGGGCTAATAAAGGGACTGGGCACTTCCTGTTGCATTATGCTTTGGACTTGCACATGTCGCTACGTCACTTTTAACTCAAGATCACGGAAGGGTTAGCATTTATAGAAAAGATCGTGCATGGAATTAAGATTCTGGTACCTAAAAAGTCCTGATTTTTTGTTCAGGCGCCTGTTATCGATTTCGCTTTGCTGAAAGAATATGTTACTATTATTAGATTTAACAGGGCATCATCGTCATTAAATGCCACTGGGATGATAGAATTGATAAGATTAGTAATTTAGAAAGATATTCTTCAAACTTTAATTAGACAGCAGGTCGGAGGAGGGAGTCGAATTGGTTTTTACAATCTTAACGAAGTCTAGGGCAAATGCGCCTGCCAAACATATGTCCGGTTATCTTCCATAAAATGGCCGAAACCTCATTGTGCTGGAGATAGTTAGAATAGCAACGACTAACGCGACTATAGATTCTAGCTCAACTCACCACCATTAGTTATTTTATACCATTTCATAACTTTACCGCCTAACTGATTTACCACCATTCTCTTTTTAAAGATGGTCGCCTCTAACCATATGGCCCCAGGGTGTTATAGTGAAACACTACAAAGTCTCTTATAAAGCTGTTGGCAAACAAAACACAGCCGTACCAGGAGACGGTCCTCAGTCGAGACTCTATGTAAGTAAACTTTTTAATTGTTTTAAGGCATCAACACACCAATTGCTGAACTTGTAAGAACGTGTTTATATGGAGAAAGCTTCCCGGGGTTTTACCCCGGTGAAGTAGGAATCTCGGCCAGCCGGGAAGCATCCATTGACGCCTTGCCAGGATAGCTTTACAGCCATTTTGAATGATTGAATGATAAGTGTGGATCGCAAATGTGCAAATTTATTTTCTTGCTCTACCAGGGAAATCTGTTAATATCAGTTGATGTATGGGATAATATTTCCCTGCTTAGGCGGGGTTCCGGCAGTGCCTGAGTGAGATCTTGCCTAGCCAGAAAAAAATCGTGTGAACGCTTGTACTATTTTATGTAATAAAGCTTTATGTGACGGGATTTGGCCTTAACGGGGTGTTCTAAGATATCTTACAAGGACAGAAGGGTCGAACGTATGAGCATGTTGGTAGTCAGAGAGAAGTGTTGTGTATTGACATCACCTACGTAGAGTTAAACACCGAATACCTCATGTAGAAGTACAATTACTGTAGCCATGGAGAGCAAATGTGCCTTTGCTCAGATCACGACCTGTCGTATTTGTTTCTACCTAGCATCCGAAGGTAATTTTAGGACACTGAGAAGCTTATGCTTATCGAGCAGTGTCCTGGGCCTTCCTTTCGATGTAACCACACATGATTCCTTCGCCTGGAATTACAGAGAGCTGGCGACTCTCCTCACTCTGGGTGAAAGTTTGGTCATGCCAGGAGACTCGAACCACGGACCCTTGGGTCTGTAGTCAGCTCCTCTAACAACTGAGCCATCCTCGTACTCGACCTCGTTCCCAGCCTACTAAGATTAAGACCTCATTCCCAGCCTACTAAGAAATCCTGTACACTAGAAGTTGTAATATTTGCCTAGTCAAGTACATTATCTATGGTGAAATAGCTTTATGACATAAAAGAGACTTTGTCAACAGCAAGACTTTGCAATCGTATTGTATCCGACCATGTTGACCAAAACTCTCTGTTGTTGGAATCCACGCTATTTGGTGTATAGAACAGGACGGTTCTAAGTTGCTACTTTGAGTTTCACGCTTAATGTGATCATTAGGAAACTGAACTGATGTTGGAATCAATATAGAGAAACTTAGGAAGCTTTTCCTGGCCTACATCGTGATTTGCTAAGATAATTTAGAGTTAAGGTGAAAAGCAGTCTCTTATTAATAGTAAATGATGTTATTGTGGTCATAGTAGTTATGCATGAATGACTCTTTGCTAGGGAGATCCAGTCAGGGTGTAAGAATCAGCGCTAAAATAAGTTTGAAATCACAAATTCATGTTTGTAAAAGCAGTCAGGGATATACTGTCTGTAATCTAAAGAATATTGATTAACTTAAAGTTTGTTTACTCACCCAACAGTAACTCAACCTGACTATTTGATGATACTATATCCCGATGCATTTCACTGGCCATTTAAATTTCCCATTGGTTGGACTACACAATAGACCTATTGTTACGTATCCAATCGGATCGTAAGGCTAATTCTTAATGTTTTCTCAATCATAAACACGCTGCAAAGCCTGTTATTAACTTTGAACGGTTGACTGAAGGAAAATAGTTGCCTTAAACCAACCATGTTTGCAATAGTTACCATAGACTTTTCAATGGTATTTGTTTTTCTTTAGTTTCTCTTTGGAAGTCCTTTGCGATTGATAAACTGGCTGGTGCTCTTTCAACTGACGTCAGCGATATTACAGTTGTATCTTTTATTCCAAGCCTCCTACTGGCACCAGATAATGTCTGTAGTCGTTATGCTGTATTTCACGTATGCCGTCTTATTCCGGCTTTTACGCGAACGATGGGCCGTTCAAGCCACCTTGGAGGAACACGAGGCATGCGCAGGGACGTGACACCGGTATCGGTAATGTTATGATAATGTCATGGCTGTGGAAGCCTTTCATTGTGGTATCTTTATGCATAGATATATTGTATTAATGTAACCTATTGAGCTCAATTTGCAAGTGTCATATTTTCTTTGGTTGTTGCTTGAACTCTAAACGCTCATCCTCTGCAAGAGCCGGTCGGATATCCAGCTTGAAATGGCCGGTTCGGTCATATTACGTCTTGAAACCAATTCTAATTTTGTGGTTGGAGTTTAAGATGTTTTCGATTTGGGGGCTAACTCATAATAGGAAAACGATAGAACTAAAAACAATTTGTTTTTCAATGTTGCAAACGACGTTTTTTGGGTTTGTCAACAGTCAAAATGAGCCACAATCCAACTCTGAAGGCGTTAGACTCGCTCTTTGGTTAGCAATGGTTTATTAGGTGGTAGTGGCTACGAACACGAAATTTTCAAATGTAAAACCTTTTTGTTTACATCGCTAAGGACACCAAGCAAAACCAGTGTAAGAAAGACTTTGCATAAAAATTTAAGAATGTAAAGAGTTTCAGGTCAAGCAGTTTGTCAAACCCAGCTGTGAGACATTCGGCTTTTTTCCACGAAGCAATCTTGATTGACCACAAATATACTACAGAAGCAGCGACACCGTATGGTGCTCGTCGAAGACACCACCAGCAAAGCCAGTGCTACTATCTCTGTTGTTTAAACTTCAATTAAAAATCGTTGCAAAATGCTTTATCAGAAACAAGACACACCAACAGCATTACTTGCATATGTAAGCAGAAGTAATGCACATGGTAGAACAGTAAAGATGGAAGATTAGAAAAAGGCCAGTTCTTTGGAAGACAAACGCAATAGCAAAGCAGTGATGGTTTGAGTGTCTATTTGAAATGAAGAAACGAATGCCAAAGAAATTTATTTTCAATGCTGAGATGGGGATTTTAAAGAAGTAACTAAATGCAAAGAGGCCTACAAATCACTAAATAGTACTAAAAACTGTGGAAAACAATTTTATTCTTTCAAGCATCTTTGTTTGCCAGCTTCTTTGGGCAGCACTGAAATTTTTTTTGTAATTTGAAATGTCTAAATGGGTAGTTTTACGGGAATTGATTATCAAAAATTTGCGCAGGCCCATCGTCCAAAAAACACCATTGTAGCGCATATGTCATTTTATCGGCTTGCAGTCGATTTTATGAATAAGATTCTTTGATAATGCGGGTATAATTAAGTGGGTTTTTTTCTATTAGTTCTTTTATTGACATTTTGATATAAATACTACTAAGTGACCGAGATGAGAAACTAGTAATTGATACGACGAGGCAGTTTCAATTGAGAGACGAACTGAACTTCATGTGGATAAACTTCTATGTTTTCGTTATGGCTGTAGATATTGCTTGCTTTGCTTTTTTGCTTTCTATTTTACACTGTCGTTAGCTATCTGACTTTCTTCGTTTAATCTGTTAACATAACACTTTGAGCTTCTTTGTTTATTACGCGCTTTAGACTGAGTATCCTTGGAACTTGTTAATGTCTTTTACAATAAAACAAAACAAACAGCACTTCGAATTTTCAGGGAAGAAAGCTTTAGGAAACTTTAGCTAAGGGACAAAAAACCCATTCTCCAGAACAATATCTAGAATGATGTTGAATATAAAAGAAGCAAGCAACAACAACTATGAAGATGCCCTTTAAATGCTTTAGTCACAACAACCTTGATTTAACTGCTGTTGTATATAATTATCTTGAGTCTTTTCACATTAATAGTTCAATTTCAAGTAGCAAGTTATCTTAAACGAATCTCCTCTGAAGATTAGTCTTTCATGACGGGTGGGACCTACTCCTCGAAAAAGAAGAATGGATGTCGATATTGCGGTCATGAAGTATTTTTTGGGTCTACGCATAATAGAGAAATTATTGTTTTGTTTCATTTATAAATCAAAGCAGCGGAGAAAACCAAGTGCCCTGGTGTAAGGCTCACAGGCCGGGAGCATATTGAGCTTCGATCACAGGATTCATCCTAAAAAACTCACAGATTAGAGTAGAAACGACAAGAATATATCTAATTAGAAACTTTAAAATGTTCACGAGAATTTTCTTCTGACTCTGAAATTACATTGCTCAGAAAGACTCTTCAAAAATGAGTATGGTTTCTGTCGGTGAGCGTTGAAAAATGGCCTTTTAAAACTAAATTGTGCAAAGCCTCAATTTATGTAAAATGGAACTAAAGTTTCAGACAGGAGCCTTGCAGAACAGCAGATATGCGCCATTCACTTCGCAAAATTGTTTCCCATTTTCTGAAAACGAAAAGTTCTGGCTATGCCATATTTACAAGTTTCTTTGAAGAAAACTACCTAAGTCGATAAATGTTCAGTTAATTTATTCTGTCAAGCCACAAAAGATAGGACACGGTTGTCATATACTGTAGGCCTAAATCACTGGCTTTACCTCGAATGGCAATATGCTTTTGCAAGTTTGGTTAATGACATTATGAACACGCAGCAGCTTTGACATTATAATTACATAAAAATGATGTTTGGTAGTAGCTAACGTTGCAAAATCCCTTTTCCTAAAACTTTGTAAAATAGCATATCTTTGTGTTTCCAGCTTTATTTGAAAGGCTTTTCTTGTTTGGTTAGAAAGTTTTACCGATATAATTTATTCTTATGCTTCTAGCCAAATTTTCATCTCAAATTACCTTATTCCTTTGTAAAAATTATTTGTTTTTAAGTTTAGCAAAAAAAGAGCGAATGCAAATACCATGTTACAGGAGCTAAATGAAATCCCCGGCCCTTAACGAATTGCTGATGTTTCATGATATGATCCAGTTTTGGGTGCGACCTTTAAAGTTTAGATCTCTGCAGATTAACAAAGTTTGGGAAAACAAAACAGTTTGTAATTTTGCAAATTGTTTGTACAAGACTTTACTTCAAACTGAATATGTATACAATTGTAGCATAACAGCTTATTAATCTAGCTAGTCAATAAAACACCAATAATATTATTTTTACCAATTATTTAATTTTTCTGAAACTTCATAAGCTTAACAAACCTCCGAGATTTTGATTAAATTTTTGAAAAAATTCACAAGCTTAATTCATTAACAACTGTTGTTGTAAATATGTACGGCAATAGGTTTTTAAGATATTTGACCTGAGATTTGCCTGATTCGATTTGTGACTGTTTATGCTTTTTAAAGTCTAATTTAGGATCATGGGACTATCTGTTCAGTCTAAGAAAGATTTGAGAAAGCATGAGGCTTATTGATGGATAAATATCAATGATGCTATGTAAAAAAAACTAGATAGATGTATTTATTTATCATTTGAAGAACATTACAAATATATATAGGCCAAAATTATAAAGGCACAAGAATACGACAAAAATTTCTAAAGTTATATTTGAAAGACTACTATCTGTAGTAGGTACTCTGTGTTAATTGGTAGTGAAAGCATAGTCAGGTGACCATAATTAAAAACGACTTTATGCCACATGCTTTTAAGCGATTCCTACATATATTTAGAAAATTTGGCTGAATGCTAGGCTGTGTAGATTACATTTATATGTATGGACTGGCCGCTCTTCTATCTTTTGTAAATAATATCCAGATAAAAAGTCATTGAAGACGTTGATAGGATCAGAATCCCAACAGCAACTTGCAGTATATCATTGTAATGTTTAATCTTTGCAAGGCTATACTTGACACGCGCCCTATAGAAAATAAATCTTCTATTTTGATCACCTTAGAAAAGGTCTAACCAGGATGATCTCGTTGACCATCGATCTCCTTTTCAAATTCAGTGGTTAGTTTCCTAACATGGCCAACATTTCAAAAGACTGTTGCACAACTGAAATCATATTTGACGAAGCAACAGTTTGTGTTGCTGCTTAAAGCTGTGTGGTCCTTAGATTTACAAATTATAAAGAAAATCACGAATTATACGAATAACGTTTTTGCTCTTGGCTTTGTCAACTACAGCTCCTTTGCCCATTACATCCTACCACAAGTTTTCGATCTAACCTTAAACAAATTGATTATAAATGCCACCTCCTTTTTTTAATTTTTTCTTTCATTCCTTGTTAATCTTTTCTTTCATTCCTTAAGCATATAGTGTTGTATATTTTACCTAGAATAGTTCTTCAAATTTTTTAAAATGTTATATATTAAAGTACATGTGGGCGAGAATTTCTTTGCTAGAATACTCTCGTTTTCTTTGTGCAGTCATTCAGCCCTGCCAATGAAGTGAGCCTGTAGCTGTTTTTCTGAGTTTGAATTTTAAAGCTTTTAGCTTAATTTTGAGTTCTTGAGATAATATTATCACCTGATGTTACAGAAGACACCCAGTTCTTGTTTTTCAAATTAACTTTTTCTCAGCCTAATCTGAACTCACGCAGCTTGCGATTATGGGTCATTATTTCTCTCCTGGGTCTAATAAATATTTAAACTAAACTCTAGTCTTTCCTTCCACGTGTAAGTGTGGTGATTTCCAAGATAAAAGATGATATTCAAAGCAACCTTTTTTACACGAGGGCAAATTAAAAAGAAATTGCAACGCTAAATAATTCAAGTAGATTTTTGAAAAATTCGAGCATTCCGCAATTGATTCCACTGCGTTTTTGCCCTCCTTGAAGCGACCAATGGTAAATGTTTCAAATAAAGATGAAAAGTTGTTCTTATAAAAGTTTCGCAAAAGATTTGCTATTCAAACGCACTTTGACACAATGTTTTCCTTGGATCTGCGTAGATGGCAGGGAAATGCTTCATGTTGACACTCACCTGTTTCAATCGATGAGGTTTTGTTTTTCTAATCACCAGGCAGTAATTGACATTCTATTGATACTTTGTCGAGGGTTGCGTAGCTCTCAGTCTGATTGCCCTAACTCCAAGTTCTTTAATAGACTTTAAGAAGATGTTTTGTCCACACCCAAGGATACTGCGGAGGTGTATAATGGACGGCTGATCTGTGTGGTGTTGCCAAGGTAACGTTCTTCTAAGCGAATGAAAGAATAGGTGCCAGTATCGCAGAGAGTTTTCATTTAAGTGTACTGACCTTGGCAATGAGATGAACTCTAATCACAGCTAGCAGCCTCTTGGAAAGCTGTGCTTGGCAGGTTGTTTTGAGTTTGACTACACTGCAACAGTTATACTTTGGCGAAAAGCAGTTAATCATTCTTCGACGAACTGATGACCTAAAATTGGCAAGAAGTAAACTATCGTTATGAAGCTTTTCTTTCCGTTTAACCTTTAAGGAACGTCCATTGGAAAATGTAAGTATTTGTGTCTTCTTTTGAATTTATAATGCAGCAACATTTAGTTTGGAACTGAACATTAACAATGTATGGAAATGAGAAAATAAATAATGTTAAACTTCCATCTTTAGCTTCACTCGTATTCCTGCAAATCCCATACATTCTAACCTTTCTCTCGCCACATCTGTCACTCTTATGTTCAATGCCGAATCATTAAAGAGAATGTAACCTCTTCAGTTTTTGATCTCAGATTTCAATTTACTTTCAGCAAGTCCGGTGAATGGGCAAGATTTGATTTTTGTATCTCTCATTCAAACATGTCTTTCTGTTTTGGTTCGGTAGGCAGTCTTATTTAAAGCTAGGTCTATTGCGCCAATAACATGATGACATCACAGAATATGAAAAAACATGTTTATTTTTCTATTCTGCAATTTTCCTGTTCTGTGATGATATTCCTTAAGCTGGCATTGATAGCCCCATTAATAGCCCTTAATGTTCCTTAAGCTGGCACCCTTTAATAGTAGCCTAAGAATGTCATGTACAGAAATCAATCGAGGTCTCAAAAATTAGTAATCGAGCAAAAAATCATCAACATAAATTATTCTCTTTATTCTTTTAGTCGTTTATTAAGCCATCTGAGGTCAACAGAATGTTATCACAATTCCACTAAATCGAATATTATCCTCTTAATTGCCTCTGTCTAATTGAAGTAAATTCTAAAACGATGAGAATGCTACAATATTGTGCAGGCAACTAATTTGTCTTCTTATCCTGGCGTCTTTGGGAAATCAAATGTTTGTGCAACTTTGCAGTATCACACTTTATAATCAATTTCAATATTTTATGCTAGCAATAATAACGACCAAAATTGTGGCTCTTCATTCAAAATCACAACCTAAAATCATTAAACCTTGTTTCATAGATTTCAATCATCGGGTTACACTAAAGCGTTTTTTTGTAGGAACCAAGATTTTGAATCATTATTTTATATATTGCTAGAAACCTAATTTCTTTGCTCTATGTCCAATTTTTCATATTGACAGAAGAGCATCCTTAGCGTTGGTAGGAAAATGCTGCACAGATACTGGTCGAGGATTGGAGTCCTGCCTTTGCTATTTCTGGTATATTGTTAATTTTTCAGAATGATCAATAAGTTGTTGCTCTTGTCATATTTGAATAGGTATTCAATCAGCAATATATCATGAAGATTCAGGAACTTTGCAATTCCCTTGCAGGTACTTTGACACTCGTTGGTTTCACTGCTTTTTAGGTAGTTATTTGGTATTTATTGTTTGATAAAAACACATGAGCGTTTGATAATAACTTCGCAAGTGTTGGCGATCAGCTGTCTTTACTTTGAGGCCAATCATTAATCCACTGCTTTGTCGCTCTACCGCTTAACTGTTTTCCGCTTTACAGCTCTACCGCTCTACTGCTTCTCCGGTTCACCGAGCCAATATCGGACCAAAAGCAATATCTCCGTTGCCCCGGATACGCCCCATTTAGAAAAGAAACTCTAGCAATGTCAGTTGCAGTTTCATCCGTCCAATTACTAACTGCGGGAGATGGAAGTGGAAGCAGTACACCAACGCTTCGTCGGACATTTTGTAACTCGCCGCTTCTTCAGAAAGCCAAGTTTAAAGATCTTTCACCAAGATTTCCCAGAAATAGGTTCGCTTTAGCCGGTGGTTTTTCAAAAACTCGAATTAAAATTAACGTCAGTGGGACTATATTCGAAACTCTGGAAACGACACTTGACAGATTTCCAAAAACTCTTCTAGGCGATAAAACGAAGCGTTCTAAACACTACGACTCTATTCAGAGATGCCTTTTCTTCGACCGTTGTCGTATTTCTTTCGAAGCCATATTGTTTTATTATCAGAGTGGTGGATACTTGATACGGCCTACGGACAAAGACATGACTGACTTTGAGAAAGAATGTTTCTTCTACGGACTCGAAGAGACTGCCATTTTGAGCATGAAAGAGCGAGAGGGTTACGCGCGGCATGAAGCGCCGAGCCAAGACGCAGTCGATAAGACATGTTGCTCTAGCTTACACAGCTTCCTGGAGAATCCCAACTCGTCGAAACCAGCCAAGGTTTTCGCCGTTTTGTCGATGCTAATGATAGTTGGCTCTGTTATCCTAGCCTGTCTTTCGACGATGTCGCAATTTCGAGATGATCATGCATCTTCTATTTTCAATAGTCCGCTCTCTGTCATCGAACTGATAATGAACATATTTTTCGGCTTAGAACTAATTTTAAGGTTTATTAGTGCCCCAAAAAAATTTTCATTCTGGAAGTCACCGCTCAATATCCTTGATTTGTTTGCGGTGGTACCTTATTTCATTTTCTTTGCCTTCGACGATACACAGATAACTTATTTAGGATTTATCAAAGCATTCCGCACGATCAGAGTGTTGCGATTCTTACGGTTCTCGCGTCATTCCGATACACTGCGCGTCGTGATCAACATTCTTAGCAGTAGCGTTCGTGATTTGCTAACGGTGGTTTTCTGTATGCTATTGATGTCGATCTCCTGGGGCAGCTTGGCCTACTACATTGAAGTTGGGAGCGAGGAAACCCAGTTTATTAGCATTCTCGATGGCATGTGGTGGGCTATTCAGACCATCGTTTGCCTTGGATACGGCGATATAGTTCCGGTAACGTTTCCAGGAAAGGTGGCAGGGTCTATTGTCGCTGCCGTTGGAGCCCTGACATTGACCGTCCCTTTGTTATCAATTGGCGGTCGGTATTTGCAAATGTATTCAAGAACGTTCTCCATCAACTGCTCTTTGGATATAAACGAAAACGACAAAGCCAACAGTAAGCAACAAAGTCTTTGAACTTTTTTAATGCTGATGTACTGTATGTTTTACAAAATTAAGTTTAAGTGAATTGAAAAAGTAAAGTGAACTTTTTCTTACTGGCCATTGATTACGCAACCTCACCGAGCTTCGCTATACTGTTTTGGTGGATTAAGGATGGTGTTTTTCACAGATACAAAAACGCTATGCCGTCATCAATGTAGTTTTGTCGACCTAATGAAGTTCATATTACATGATATTTTATGCAATACCAGGAGGTTCATGACGAAAATGGAAAAAATTGCCAGGATTGGCATGCTTGGATTGGCATGCTTGGAATCATTAATTGCTTGCTTCAGTCAATTGATACTATTTGAATTAATATCGCTGTCATAAAAGGAATTGAAAGATAAAATATAGCGATCCCTACAAATGCCTACAAAAGAAGAAGGCAGGGGGGAACTTGTCAAATTGGTAATGTACCAAATGTGCCTGCTTTCTTTGTTAAGGGTGCACCTGTACTCAAAGACATGTATGTATATCACATTGAGTGATGTTCTTATAGTTTATTTGAGTCCAACATAGTTAACACCAGGAGAGAAGGCAGCCGTACTGTCAGCAAGTAACTTAAACACAACGCTGAGCGAACGTACTAAAACTGCGCAGCATAAACATTGGACATGAATGTAAGCATTTATCACATTATTGTCAATAAAGGCAATCGACAGTCACTAAAGCGGACTTAGCCATCTTTCAATCAAGATTTGATCAATCAGATAGTGCAATTCTACTCACATGTTTATTGATTGGCTAATATTGATTGACAGTTTTGTATCTGTCAATTGCTTTTAGGCATTAACAATCAGCTTACGCAAGAACTGCGTTAAGTAAATGTGCAGTCATACAGTGGCAGTGGGGTATAGGGGTAAAGCGGTAATTACCCCCTTTTTTCGTCAAAACATATTTTTCTCTAGAACTTGTTCAAAAAGCATTAAGTAGGGGAGGACCATATTTTTGCCTAAAAATATCCACCTGGTCCAATGCACTGCAACGAACGAAAAAGGGCGTGGTCTAACTGGTCACATGCATTGTCCTCCCACTGTGCAGTAGCTTACGGCGCCACTGCAGCGATACGTTACAGGCCAACAAGAACAAGCTTTCGTACACAATAAAAAACAATAGCTACATTTATTTAGATGTCCAAGACTAACTTCAGTTGAACAGGAAGAATATTATGAGAATTTCTCTTAATACTGTAACATTATGTAGATTTTTAGCTTCCTTATGGAAAACTATGCTTTGAACTGGACTGTCAATAATTGCAATCGTATTGTATTTGTCAAGCAGGATATGACAGAATTAAGTACTCTCTGTGATATCTGCTAAAACACCCGCTTTATTTTGTCTCCAGTATTATAGTTGCCAAGTGAATAAATGGCGAGTCGGTTAAAAACAGCGATATGGCTTTTTCAAAGACCAAGTGGGGAGAGTTAAGTAGGCTCGGTTTACATATCGCGCGTATGTGATCAGCTTTCAACCTGAAGAAACTCCATATCCTTTAATATTGCCTTCCATACAAGAAGGAACGTATTTAAAAAGGAAATTTATCCTGTTTATGAATTAAAATCCTAAAATGAATGAATAATTGATTTATCTATGGGGTATTAAACAGCAAAAGATCTTATTCTATTGCCTATATCATCTTCATTCTGTAACCACAACATAAAAATGTACTGTTCATGTGTAGCTTTGGTTGGTTGATTAATTTATGCAGGTTTCTTGTCTGGTATGAAGCGATTTTCCTTTTCTTGTGTAGACCTGACACGTTGCTTTAGATTTAAGTTTTGCGTATTGATTTAGATGTACACACGCTTTGGAGCGTAGAGGAGGATGGACCTTAGTCGCTTCTCAAAGCTTAACGCTATTATGCGATCATCGAACGTACAACAGAGCTTTGGCTTTTTATCCAAATCGGAGGAAAAGACCATGGACGGATTTAAGAGGGGGGGGGGGGGTATAGGGGTGTGACACCCTCTAAATATTTTTGTGTCCTTCAGTCAATGTTGCTACGATTCAGTAAAAGGCAATTTTTTGTTGCAAAAATAATGTTGCAAAAATTCACTCAATGGATCTTCTTGCCTTCATGATATTAAAGTTAAAACTCGAAATTTGAAAATGGGCGTTTTCATCATTTTCTAGGCACCTAAAGGGCGTGGAATCAAAATCCAATCATTATCTATCAGCCTCCAATCCTTGCCACTAAATCCGTCCCTAGAGAAGACAGACGATCTTCAAAGCCCGTGTCTTGGCTTCAAGCAAAAAATAAAGAATATCAAAATCCTCAATTCTTCTCATCTGAGTGCCTTTGTCTTTGCCAAAAATAAATCTAACCGGAAGGATTTATCCTTTAAAGGCAATCTGTCTCGTTGTGGATTGGTTAACGAGAACAATAGCTGGAACAATAGCCTAAACACGATTCCAGCGCCCCGCCATATTTTTTACAATGCGATGAATTAAAGAGGGACTGGAAACAATGAAAAATCCCTTTGTTCCTATAATAAATCAACATCGTAACAGATTGCCTTAAAGATTATCCAAGCCTAAAGGCATAAAATAGAAATTGATTAAAGGCACAAATATCAACTTTGCAAGCCCATAGCAATGGCCAATAACCTCGACTTATAGAAAATATCTAAATTTCCAAGCTCACTGCCTTTGTTTCTGGCATGAAACTAACTGATTATAAATATTAATTGTTCTAAGCCTTTTGCCTTGGCTTGAAAACGTTTTGCTGAACGCAAACATCCTTTTACAACCAACCAAGAATTAAGCTGAACAAAAACATCCACTTTTCCAAGCCAACTGTTTTAGTTTTTAGCAAATTATATCAAAGATGAGACATCAATATTTCGCAAGCCTATTGCTTTATCCTTTAGTTTACAGCCTCGTATTTGAAAAAAATGATGGTGGAAAACATGCAACTTTCAAGGAGAATAGCCAAACTTTAAAAACCTTTAGGCTTGAAATTTGGCCAAAACTGAAGCTGACTAAAATCAGGAAAATTGCCAAGACTTGTAATTGTTTCTTACGAAAATCACTGCTGACTAAAAACATTCTAATTTCGGGGAGAAATAAAGTTGACAGAAAACACCCTATGAGCCTCTAAGCTCGATACCTAGCAGGTAAAGGAGCCGAGAGCAAATAACAAATGTTTTCAAGTCTGAAGCTTTTGTTTTGGCAAAATTAAGCTTAATAGATATAACAAGTTTTCCAAGTAATTTGGCCAAATTGAAGTAGGTCGAAATCATTCAACTCTCCAAACCTAAGCCTTGGTAGATAGTAAAAAATGCACCTGACAGAAAACACCAAACCTGTCAAAAGAATAGCCCAAACATGTATGGCAAAAGTCAAAACAGAGGAAGTGCAGCTAAGTTTATAGCCTAAGTTTTTGCCAAAATAGAGCTTGACTAAAAAACCCAAGTATTCAAAGCCTGTAGCTTTTGATTTATAGCCAAAACCAAACCTATGTAGCCTTTGCACCTGCCCGAAAATTAAGCGCTGTTAAAGCAACTGATTTTTCCAAGCCTGTAGTCTTGCTTATTTGACAAAATCAGAGTTCAAAGAAGTCTTCTTGTTTTCTAAGCCTATAGCCTTTGCATCGATCGGAAAAAGTAGGAATCTGTTCGAGCCTACTGCTTTGCTTATCGGGATAATCAGATTTAAAATAAAGCACATAATTCTCCAAGAATATACCCTTAAAGTTACCCAAAAATGAGGTGCAATAAATTAGCTAAATTTCAAAGCCTATCCTCTTGCTTGCTGAAAAAAAATCCGATTTCTATGAAAACTCAAAATTTTCTAAGCCTACAGTCTTTACATCGACCCGAAAATGCAGTGTAATAAAAGTAGTGAATTCTTGAAGTCAATTAATGAGTACTTGCTTATCGGTCAAAATCAGAGTCTAAATACAGCCCCCAATTACCTAGGCTTGCAGCCTTGCATCCACTTGAAAATAAAGTGCAGCTAAAGCAACTTATTTTTCAAGTCTATTGCCTTACATACTGAACAAACCGTAGTTAAAAGCAGTCTTTTAATTTTCTAAGCCTATAGCCTTTGCATAGATTCAAAAAGAAATGATTGCACGTGAAGTGGCAAAAGAAGTGAAAAGCGGTGAAAAGCAGCAAATATTTTGATTCTATTGCCTTGCTTATTGGACAAAGTTAGAGTTCAGAATAAAGTAGCTAACTTTCTAAACCTTTCTTACTTACTGAAAAATTTTAGAATTAGAAGAAAGATCCTAATTCTTAAAGCCTATAGCCTTGCCTCTGCTCTTCAAATGCAATTCGACAAAAGCAACTAATTTTCACAGCCTTCTTAGCAAATGGCCTTCACATCTACCCAAAAATGAGGAGAATTGAAACTTAGCCAATTCTCAAAGTGAATGCACTTGGTATTTGGCAAATCAACAAGGGGCTTTGCTAGTAAATCCAAAATGTAGGCGAGCTCTGATTTGTGTTCATTATGGCCTTATTTCTGCATCGAGGCTTGCTGTAGGATTTCATTGTATTCTTAATGGCTTTTCTGACTCGTTCTTGAGAGCAATAATTCAAGTAAGAAAAATGAGGCTTTGGAAAAAGCAAACTTTGAGTATACTAAAGCTTTTTGTCTGACATTCTTCAGGGTTCAAAACGTCAGTCATCGATCCACAACTGGGTGTATATATTTCCTAGCGTAGAGTTTTCGATCTATGTTCTGACGTTTCAGACTCTGAAGAGTGTGAGACGAAAAGCTTTAGTTTACTCACATGTTTGCTTTTTTCAAAGGCAATTTCAAGTTTTGTACCACCAAAAGATTGTAAGAAAATAATCTTACTCTACACGTCCTTTCCCATTCGATTTCACAAAAAAATTGACGAGGCTCTTTCTGTAATTAAAATGGTGGGATAGATATATCTAAAACCTTTGGCTTTAGTATTCCATAGAATCGGCGTGACAGCAAAACAAATGTTTGCCTGCGCAATACTTGGTCAACACTGTTTATCTCGGAATTATCATATCGATCTAATGTTTTTCAACAGATTTTTTGGCTGGATGTGCGAGTCAACAGCATTAAATGAATTTTTCTTATATTGCGTTTTGAATTCATGTGCAGCTGAGAAAAGAAGGATCGAGTTCTAAGATCATTGTTTTCGTTTATCAAATGACCTTCGCTATAAAATCATAAATTTCATTGTTGTTTTGGCATAATTCGTTACCAGGGCAGGTCTTATCTTAAATTCTTAATAAAATCCATTTCATGAAAATAATCATTTTGGGATGGATTAAATGAAAATCTGACTCAAACGTTTCTTACGTTTTCACAATTCAATACCTAGGGTATGGAAAAATCAGACAATATAAGGTCATTCAATTGATTATTCTATTGAAAAAGAATGGTGAATCATTTAAATGTTTTCCGGCAATTTCCCGTATGCCTCTCTGGCCCAGTGTATGCCCTCTGTCCCAGTACCCAGGACTGAGAAGGCAGTGATAAGGAATGTTTAGTGTACATCGGAACGGCGATCAATGTAAGCACTAAATAAATCCATCCTTGACTATCGTTTCATTTCCAAACCCATAGAGTCTCTACAAATGTACAGTTTTTTTCATCTTAGCAGTGATAAATTTCAAGCAAAAAAAGCCAATTAGTGACTCTAAAGATCGATCTTCGCTCGAAACTAAACAAAACAAAAATAAAAGATGCAAAAATTTAGCATACGAGTATGTGCTGTGAAACTGCATTGAGGGAACCGATCCTAAAGAAGTTAAGAAATTAATCAAAGAAGCAATGGAATATACAACTTCTTTTATAAGAAATATCCTTTCTTGCTGAGTCTCACTATTTTTTCATATTTTTGACTGTTCTTTCTTCTTCACAACATTATTGTAAGAAACAAAACTTGCTACCACAATATTAGCTAGACGAATGTTTCTCAAAAATTCTGGGTAAAAATCACGCTTGTCCTGATTCATCAAAAATCTTATTTAGATAAAAAGACAAGCTGTTAAAAAGATTCCAGCTTGGCTGTTATTCTTAATTAATTTTTAAATTTCACCAATTTTGAGTCTCAGCATTTTCAAAAGTCTATGCACACCAGAAGCGTGTACAAAATTTAGTTGCCTATGCGTTGGCTTTCTGCTTTGAAGGAGCCAATACCAAAGAGGTTTATCAGGGAAAAGAAAGAAGATATGATAAATGACTTTCTTTCATTACGATTCATACGCTAGAGATAAAGATTATAAAATAGACAACTGACAGCGTTAATAAAAAATCTCAGGTTACAGAGTTCAAATTTACAAAATACGGATGATCTACTTTTTGCATTCGGCGGTTTCTTTAGCTCTGGCTTTTAACATAAGAGCGTTTCTATGCTTGTAAGGACAAAGATGGAATTACTCTGGATTTCACTTGACTAAATCTGTTTCTTTTTACCCTGGAAACTAGAGCCTCATGAATCCAAGGATATAGTATTGTAGACGGCTGCGGTGGCAAGGAATATTTCTGTTACTAGTTTTGAAGTATATTTCTGAGACTAAATAATGGACTCTGGAGCCCAGGGTGTTTCTTCTAGTGTCACACTTTCTTTAAATTTCTTTAAACTATTCCCATTTCCCTGCGTCACCGCCCAGCTAACAAACATAGCGACTGGGACTAGAGATGCCACACATAGAAGGCATTTATGGCGCAAATTTAAAAGATTGTGAAGTTAGATGCAGTATTGCTGCTGTCATAAACATTTAGTTGTTATGCTGTCAACAATATTGTCAATCGACATTTAGTTCCTTGTTGCTATGTTCGAGGGGCATTTCACTTTCTCTTTCAAATTCCGTACACCCCCTCTGAAAATCCGAAAAAAATCCGAAAATCCTCAAGAATCCTTTAAAAATTCCGAAAATCCTCAAGAATCCTTTAAAAATCCGAAAATCCGCAAGAATCCTTTAAAAATCCGAAAATCCTCAAGAATCCTTTAAAAATTCGAAAATCCGCAAGAATCCTTTAAAAATCCGAGGATCCCTGCAAGTCCTCTTGCGATCCTAAAACCACTCAAATCTCTCAAATGTACCATAGGCTATGATTTTTTATAAATTTTAGTAGATGTTCGGGAGGTTTATCAAAAACCAGCTAAACAGTGCCAAACATTTTAGCAATCCTTTTGCAGAAACCTCTGTAATTTTGATATTTTGTATCTGTTCATAAAATTCCAATCCGTTAGCAAAATTCAAATATTTCATTTGCCATATATAACCCACATTCTATAGATTTAATCAATAGATTCTATAGAATTTGCTTTCTTGAAGTATTTCATGGTGTTTTTTAAGGTTATGCAGCTAGAATCCAAAAATTCTAGATAGTGTACATACTTTTGTGACATCACACTAAGAAATTAGCAATCTCGGCTTCGATATCATTTAATCAAAAAGATTGACGATTAGTTTACGATACATTTACACGTTTTTAATGGTATTAAGAATGTTTACAGGCAACAGGATTTTGAAAGATAATTAGGTATTAAGAATTTTTAACGTCCAAGAAAAAATCCCTGGAAATCTTTAGAAATTCGGAAGAAATCCAGAAATCCATGTCAAATCTGTTCAAAAATCCGAAAATCCCAGTCAGGATTTCAGGGATTTTAGAAATCCCAAAAATCTTGTACGCTATTTCAGGTAGTGAAATGCCCCTCGGCTATGTTCGCATCCACTAGCCTAATCTAAGCGCAGCCTATTACCTTTGTTGCTACTGTAAAGAGGATATGATAATGTAGGCATTTGGTGTGATAGTTGCACTTTGGATTTTGGCGACTCTTCGAGCAGATATCTCTTCTTCCACAAAATCGAATATCCGAAGTAATTTTAGCTTTAGACCCGATAACTTTTCAAATAGGAATTGTCTAGTTTCAATACTGCTCGACCTGATAGTCATAAATATGCATGATTAATAGTCATCAATTAGCATGATTAATTATTTCAAGTAATTGGTTAGGGTTAGGGTTAGGGTTAGGGTTAGGGTTAGGGTTAGGGTTAGGGTAAGGGTTAGGGTTAGGTTTAGGGTAAAATAATTACGTCATCAGGTCGAGCAGTATGGAAACTAGACAGCTCCTTTCAAATAGGTTTTCGAGTCATTTCACACTGAAGGCGGATTCCCCTTCCCTATTCGCTCATAACGTCTGCCACTGGGCAAGATTGTAGTCTTGAGACTGTCATATGGCAATCTAAATTTCTCCGCAGCTATAGCTTGAGATATGTCCCACATAGGGGCCACCATTTACTGTCGCTAATCGTATCGTCAAATATATCTCCCCATTAATAATGTTATGAAAAACGTTTCATTGAAACAAATATAAATTAACGACAAAAATGCGTCTTTAAGCCACCTAGGTATGCATTATAAATATAAGATACTATATACATCTACCACCTTCTAGTGTACACTTTAATATAGTTCATAACATCCAAACAGGATTCATCTAACATTTTTTTGTTCCCATCGCCTAGCTTAAACTAGAAACTGGGAACTTCCTAATTGCCAATGTAATCAAAGTTCTATAGAACTATTTATTTATCAAAAACTCTTTCGTGCTTTGTTTTTAGCATAATATGGAAAATTGCGAGGGCTGAATCACTCTTTCCAAACAGTTTACGAGACTTTTATAAACAGTAGGATTTTTCAGAACTTTTCGGGAACTTTTCTCGAAAACAAAAGGATTTACGCAAAGGGAGAACGAAATTTTTGTGGAGTGATATGCCCCTCGGAAGATTGAGTGAAATGACGTATTTCTGAACCTTGACAACTAATAAAATGGTTTCCTGATCAACCGTTCTACTCTGCTTTGCATAAACAATAGCGACCTACTTAACCTCTTTTGGAAATGAGGATGCCTCTACTACAGAATACTATAGATTCTCTACTCATCCTGGCCAATGGGACGAAAAAATCGTTCTTCGTTAAATCGTTCTCCGTAGAATCGACAAATGTCCTTTTCTTGAGGATTAAGTGGCTTAACTCTGATCATCTTCATTTTTCTTGCAGCGCAACGAAACTCAAATGGCAGCCACGGTGTTGCTGAGCGCTTTTTCGTGACATGGACACCTAAGCATGGCTTAGGCCTCTTTTGTTCTGGCTGTGATTTGCATAACGATTTCCTTTTCAAGCGCGGTGAGAGATTATGCATGAATTCATCATGATTTCTCTGAAATTCTTGCCCAAGGTGAACACGAAAACTGCGAAAAGTTCTTTTGTCGCAGATTTTGCTGATTTCCTCGTCGCAAAGGGATTTCGACGATTCACCCACGTTCGAGTCTGTTGACCTTTTGCGCTTTATCGTAGACAGCGAGCTGCGCTCATCGCGTAGCTTTGCGCACGTTGCGGCATCTTCGCTTGCGAATATCGGTTCCAGCTTTTTGGTCAGCTCATATATTGTTAGGCTGTTTTTAGATTTGCATTCGTGGTAACCATCAAAGATCGCTTTGCAGTTTTCATTCAGATTTGATCGGGGTTCACAGGATGACCTGCTATGACTATTGTCTCGGACTTGACCACTTATCTTGTTTGCTTTGAAAGCTTTAAAATTTTTGTCCGTGCTTTCTTGATAGTAAAACACACTGGGCAGCTTCTCATTTCCACTATCATTCAAAGGCAGTCGTTCAATATGACTCGTGATGAAATTCAAAGCCTGTAGCTCCCCTGCCATTGATGAATCACCCCCAATGATTATCAACTCTAAAAGAGATCATCGTTAAAACCTTAATATCAGACAAACCTTTGTCTACAAATTCCACATATCCCCCTTTCATGGCAACGAATCGGTCACCTAGATTCACGCAAAACTGAAAACAAAGAAATATGAATTGTGAGAGCAGAGGAATTGAATTGTGATATAAAATTTCAAGTTATAGTAATATCTTGTGCATTAAAATGAAAGATCGTTAGATAACAATGTTTGTAACTTAATACAGTTTTATCTTTATTCTACTCGGTTACGAAGCACCGTGCGGAGAACAGTGCATGGGGCTGGAAAACCGCCGCTTTCAAGAGTCAGCCAAATGTTAAACAACTGGCATGAAATTCATGCTACTTACAACCGCAATGTGCTTGCATCTCCCCGCTGCATCGCAAACCAACAGCTAATGCCAGCTACGAGCACACTTGATCAATTTCGTGCATCTACATTCATTTTCAATGCTTGCACTGGGACTCTCCACTATAAACGTAATCCATCAGCACTGCTGGGAACCCGAACTTGCTCTTCTATGAACTTAATACTTGAACAAGCAAACGTAAATAGGCTAAAATCCTTTTGTCTTTATTCACATTGAAAGATCACTAAGAAGTCTTGGTTGCTGGTTGCTAATATCGAGCAGATAAAAGGACCATTATTCCTGTGCAGCGTTACTTATTTATAAACACAGGGGACTGAAATTACAAACCGCACATGTTAATCGTGTCCTTCCTCGCCAAAATCTTTCCCTTGGAATTTAATTAGTACCTGCAGCATGTGAAGATAAAAAAAGACACAAGAAACAAACTTGTTCGCTGATAATAATTTGTGACAGTTCCCTTAACTTAATGCTCGTTCGCTTATGTTTAATACAGCCACCTCGCATCTGTAATGGTAAAAAAACTGGACCAGAGCAAGGATGGGGGTGTTGGAAGACCAGAGCAAGGATGGGGGTGTTGGATGACCAGAGCAAGGATGGGGGTGTCGGATGACCAGAGCAAGGATGGGGGTGTTGGATGACCAGATCATAGTGTAAGCTCTGCTTTATCTCGTCTTACACGATACAAAATAAACTTATTTCTTTGAAAGTGGAATGCTCCTTCAGAAAATTAAAAAAAGCGGATATGCATAGCATAGTTGACGTTAATGGAAAATTAGAAACTCCTTCTTGTGGTATCTTATTCCTTAAAAGGATGCCCTCCGTATTAAAATTCCCCGATCAATGCAACATTGGCGTAGAAGAAATAAGGGCTGGCAGGGCTGCAGCCCCTCTAATCAAGCAAAAGTATTGCATTTCAGGCTTCATTCTGGCAAGATCCATATTAAGCCCCCCCCCCCCTGGCGCTTTGCATCCGATACGCCTATGAATGCAGGAGAAAAGCGATAAAGAACATAGGGTTTCTCCCAGCTAATAATTCGCAGGCTCCACTACTGCCTACAGGAAATTACCTTGCCTTGCTTTTGAATCCACAATCATTGCTACCCTCATCAACATTAGCTTTGCACGAAAAAAGTCATAAAATGTTCATCAAAAGTGCTAGATTTGTTAGAAAATCTGTTGCAAAACTTGTAGTTGGGATTTTTAAGTGTAAAAGTTTCTTAAAGAGGTTATTCGCCTAACAAAGTTCCAGCTTTTCAAAAAGCAAATATAAATCTGAAGGTAAAATGTGATTTCTGGTATGGAATTTTGGGGTCCTGCGACACTAGTAAATGCAGAAAAACAGATTTAATCAACCCTACATGTAGGTCTTTGATAAATAAGGTCGAATGTCACAATTGGAAATGGCTATTCCCCCTCACAAAACGAGGCGTACATTTGCCTTCTCTTATTTAATACTCTTAATATTTTACCTTATAGTCCACTTTTAATGTGATGTTGTAAACTCGTTCTCAACTAGATAATAAAAACTTACTGTTGAAAATGCAGTATCAGGTTATCAAAAAAGTATAAAGTAAACAAAGGCTTGGTTTAGTTTTTACCTTAGATTTAAGAAACGTTGCAATAAATTAGCTTGCTGGTGGCTGGAGCAAATCTAACCGATAGTTATTTAAAGTCACATTTTGTTGAAAAATTAAGATAGCATCCTCGGCTAGCACTTGGTTGCTTAGTAGCTTAGCTTGCGGCCTAAAAGCTCCTTTCACTCTCACAAAACAACCATTTCTTACCGACTGCTTTACTTGCTACAAGTCTCTCTCGTTATATTTCTCTATTTATTTATTAATCAGGGAGACTTGTAGCAAGTCCAACCAACTGAAAGCTTCGTGCACAAACAGCATTACTAGAGAGAGTACCCACGGTCTTGTTGAAGAGCTTGACAGGTATCGTAAGTAGGTCTGTCGCTATAAGGGGCGTGTGGGGTGTGACAACCTCTTGAAAAAGTTTCCAATGCAAAAAACGAGGAGTTTTGTGCTTAGTCAGCAAATTAGAAAACTTTTCGGCAAAAAAGTATGGCTCACCCACTTTGTCGGCAAATGGGACTTCGAAACCCCCCTGGAGCACAAAAGGTAGCTAGCGAATGGCCTGATTGTAGGCCTGGGGTAGAGACATCGCATAGAGCTTCAGGAAACATGGAAAATTGACGAGGTGTATGCAGCAACTCTGATCCAAAGAAAGGTACTTTCTTGAAGTGTAAGCTTTAGCCAAAGAATTGTTCATTAAAAGACTTTTTCTTACTTCCCTCTATCCCATTTCCCAATTTTTGTTATTTACCCACTCTCTGGAGTTAATTAGATCATTGTTTATTAGCGAGTGATAGTGTTTTATCCTGGTGATACCAATTGAACGAAACGTGCTTTTCTGACGTCAAATGCTTCATGCCAGCTGATATTTTTCATTAAACATTGCCTATTGACAAAGCATTTGCGTGAAAGTGACCAAACATCCACTATTCAATCAATATTTTCTGTTTTTCGAAGTAACGCTACCTGCTAGAAAGCAGTTTCCCTGACAACTGACCATCCGAGATAAAATCATTCACGACTTAGAGTGGCGCCTAAGAGTCTAAGGGTGAATATAAGAAAAACATGGCAATCTTTGTTGTTTTGTAGTAATAACATGAATTATAGATGAACAAATAACAGAAAAACCCACCTTTACTATAACGGACTTCCACTAAACTCTTTTACATCAATAGAAAAAACCAGCATGTTATCAGCCAAGACAAGGCCTGCGAAACAACGAAACAAAAAGAACCACAAAACCAAACAAATTTGCTAGAACCTTTGACATCAGCTGAAAAACTCCAAAAGTGATTAACTGTATGAAGCATTTCATCAGGGATCTGAAACGAGATTACAAGTCAATGACAATAGCTTTAAGGATAGCTCACTAATAAAACGGAACAATTTTTATGCAACTTTCATCACTAGATAGACCTTGCAATAATCCTAAGTATGATTTCACCAAAAAACTGCTTTTAGAACTTTTAGACTTTGACCGCGTAACATGAAAGAACATCATGAAATACTCCTAAATATGCCAAATCAGTTAAATGTGTCAACAATCGGGTGAAATATGGTCGATAAAAGCTTTGAAGTTGTTCATGGATTTTTGTTATTTTGGCTCTGTTCATGAATAGAAGTTATGAAGAGAGCCCAAATTACAAAGATTGATGGGAAAGAGCCTGCCTGTGCTCATCTGGCCATATCTCAGCCAATTTGTAATATCTTTAACTGATTTTGCAGATTTAGAGGAATATCATGTTGCTCTTTCAGTTTATGGAATGAAAATTCAAAAAATTCGACAAACAGATTTTTGTGTTGTGACGTCATCACTCGAGAGCTCTTTATCTGTCATAGAATCATTTAGATATTCAACAATAATAATAATGATAATAACGATAACTAATGTTTCACTAATAACTAAATCTATATGTTATCAGTCAAGGACCTGTTACCCTACCCATTGATATTGTTTAGGTTTAAATGAAGGTTAAGATGAACCAAGAGTAAAAAGTCTGATACACAACTAAAGCATAAAAACCAATGTAGTCAAACGCATTTTTCATGAAAATCTAAAGAGACCTTGCTAGTTTTTGCTTTTTCCTTAACCTTAGGATGGGTATTTGGCTTCATTGATTTTTAATCTCTTGCTAAAACGCATTCACTGTATCAAAATCGTTAATCTAAATAAAGCACCACTGTAGCTAATATTTTTTTAGAAAATAAGATAAAACTTAGGCCACGCCCTTTTTGATTTCAGAAAACGTTTTTTACGTACAAGGCACGCCAATTTCACCAATTTCTAATGCCGTTGATTATTTTTTGCGACGTTAAAGTAATTTCAAAATTATAGAACAGGGGGACATGACCCCCAGCTTGTTTGCAAAACAAGGAAATATTATTCGTTATGATCCCTTAACTTTCCCTTTGCGCCCCAACTTAGCCCTCACAAGTTTGCCCCCCAAACATTGTCCCTCAACTTGCCAACTTGCATTGCAGCCATTGCAGTCACATTATTAATAATACTTTGTCAAAATATCACCCCTCCCCCAACCTTTCCTTATTGAATTCAGATGGAATGCAAAAAAATCTTGCTGCGAACTCAGATGGAACGTTTCCCCCTTGAGTCCCCCCCCCCTTCGTGACATCACCATTGAGTACCCATAAAATAATTCTATCTTTACTACGGTCTTGAAAATAGTAGAAAGTGGGCAATATAAAGATGAAGAAGATTTGGAATAAGAAGACAAACGAGGAATGGAGGGAAAGACGACACACCCCTTTCTTTCCTGTACTGTAACTAATTTTGTTGACTGTTCAGTCCTGAATTGAGTTGAAAAGCTGCGACAAGAAGTTACATTTGCTTGCTTAAATCACCAATGACCGAGGTACACAAATATAATTACCCTTTCTTTCTCCCTCTCCCTCTCTAAGCGGTCTTCCTTTATGGACTATCCTATGTTGGAGCTGAGCTCGCTTGATGTTTGACAGTGTCAGTTGAGCAGCTTTTGGTCAGAGGGTTGAGGTTTCTTGGCCAATGAAACTGGCTTAGCGCATGGAATGTGAAGTTACCACAGCTCACAGTACTTCTTACAAGTTACTCTTGTAATTAAGTAGAATGGCTTATAGGATATTTAGCTTTATGCAGATCTGTTGGTCAACTAATTCAACAGAACTACGCTACAGGCCTTGAATCTGTAGTTCATTTAAGTGCATCTGTAGTTCGATTATTAAAAACAATATGTGCATTGAACGCACCTGCTTTCGTCAGTCGAGAACAAACAAGAGGATTGCAATTTGATGTTTATTTGATAAACTGGTTTGCCTTGACATTATTTTTTGATTGTTTTTGAGGTGCATATGCATCGTACCCATCAAACAAGAATCAAGTGTCGTTTTTCAGCGCACCGCTTCGCTATCTTTCAATCGATAATAATCTTTCGTGTTCTAACACGTCCCAGATTAAAGTCAACCTCTAAAGCTCCTCCTACCAACCTCGACCATGATTGTACATTTTTGTTTTTCTTCCCAAAACCCCCGATCTTTGTAATAGCTCTGTTACGCTCCTTAATTGGCGGTGTTTAGCGATCAGTGACGAAGATTTGCCAGGCATTTAGGAAGGTACTACCTGAATTCTTTGCTCGTATATCATGGGAGAGGAAGGTATTGGTAAAATAACAAACCTTCTTGTGCAACTTGGAATAATCATGGTCTCTCTATTTCTCATGGTCGATGAAAAGTTTTGAGTCAGTCTGCTACTGTTTTTGGGTTGGTTTTGCTTCAAAAAGGCGTCACAAGACACAAACTGCATTTATTTTGCATACTTGGGTTCTAGGCAAGGTGCTAGATAGTATCACTTTTTCGTTAAGCAGAGAATTAACGTTGTTTAAAACTCCTCATTGCCCTGTGATTCAAACCTTACATGCCACACTTTGCTACTTTGAGGTTGAGCATAACGCACCAATCTTCATTATGTATTTTATGAATAGCATTCTGCACAACTCATTTTTACACTGAAATTCAGCATCTCGTGCCAATTTTCGTTACGCTGAGCCAGTTACGCTTGACTTAGCGTTGCGCATTACGCTTCGTTTCGCTATCCTCGTTCGTTGTTCTGCAAATCATAAGTAGCATCGCAGCATCAATTCCACTATGCTAGTAATAGTCCTTGCTTCTAAAAGAACATATAATGAATATTCAACCAGTCGAGAAATATCAAGCACAACTGCAGCAAAAAGCTGTTGAGATAAAATTTTCACCAATATCTTTGAAAGTAATTTTGAAGGTCACTGTTAGTCCAGAGGGTCAGGGGGAGCATTACTACCCGACGAGGGACTTTACTAGACCAACTTTTTCTAGACCTTTTTTTGGTGTAGGGTTCAAATCTGGATGTTGATCGGGCGGAGAAGGGGGTTTTCCCAGATACAGGGGGTTTTGTCCAAAAACTAGGTTGCAGCCTGTGAATGAGCTGTCGATGACCACCCTAAGGAGAACTTCACCAAACCAGCTTTTACAAGACTAGTTTTTGGTGTAGAATTGGGAAAAAAGGTTGATAGGGTGGGAGAGGATGTTTTTTCGAGCTTTGGGGGGTTTTGTCTAAAAATTGGGATGCAGCCTGTGAATGAGCTAACAATGGTCATCCGACGAGGAATTTTATCAGATCAACTTTTTCTAGACCGGTTTTCCTGCAGAATTCGATACTCAATGTTGATCCGGCGGAAAAAGTTGCTTTCAACCCTACCGAGTCGCGCTGGCCCACAGCACATCAGGAATTTTTTGCAGTCAAATGGGCTTTGGAACATATTCGGCCTTACTTAATGGGAAAAAATTTAAGGTTATTATAGATCATGCCAATCTAAAATTTTTGTCTAATATAGCACCCCATAATTCAAAATTAGCTAGTTGGTGCTTCTCGTTATCAGAGTTTGATTTTTCCATAGAGCACCGCCCAGGGAAACAAAACACCTTTCCTGATACTATAAGTAGAGCTCCCGTTGCCTATACCTTCAGTCAACGCTGACATTTTGTTTATTTCTCCACAAAACTCTCTGGATTTTTTCTTGCAAATGCTATCTCTTGATATTCTACATTTCGATAAAATATATATAGATAACATATATATGTATTCAAAAACTCTAGACTGTAATGTTTTTTAAAAATTTAAATAGATTATCAGTAAAAAACAACTTGATTAACGTTTCGCAATATGCTTCTTCAGAATGTATAAATATATAACATATATAAATATAGATAGTATAACATGTCTCACACTTGCTTGCATTTCTACAACTAATACAGCTTATTGTAGTACAACTGACACAAACAAGTCAACTATCAGCAATTTTACCGCAAATAGAAAACACAGTCAATGTGCGGAAATCACAACTTGTGACACTGTCCCATATCCTACTCACCCTGACTGGGATACTGATTTACAATTTCTTACTTCCTTAAACACACACAGACTTAGATTTGCAAAGTTACAAAGGAACGATCCCTATTTAGGCCCGCTAATTCAGTATTTACAGGTTCCGAACTCGATTGCTGATCTAGCAGGCCTCGCCCTCAAAACAAAGCGTTGGGTAGTTACAGTCGCCAAACGCACAAAACTTGTAGATGGTATTCTATACTACTCAGATGAATTCATGTCTGTCAGTGACCATCTTACGTATCTACGTACCATCAGACACCAATCTTCAACGTCACCTTTTATGTGCATACCACAACAGCCCTATCGGCAGGCACCGTGGACGTGATGCCACTTAAGCCTGGTTTCCATTTGATCGTTTACGATCGCTGACGATCGCTGAGGATCGCTGGAGTTTTGCAGCGATCTGGATCGCTCGTGATCGCTCGCGATCTTTCACGATTGCTGGGGATCCCTGCGTTTCTGGATGCTTCTGGCGCGCTTTTTGCAGATTTTTTGAAATGGCGGATGTAGACAAAAGATTTCTGATGGAAGCAAGCATTTTTGTGCTACTTATATTGAAGAAGCAAATCGATCGGCATAAGCTTAGGCAGCATCGATTTTGGGTCAGAGAAATTTTTCAGAGAAGAAACGAATATGGTGTGTTTTATACTCTCATACAGGAATTGCGACTGGACGATCGTGAATACTTTTTCAGGTGAATACGTGCAAATATTTTTAGAGTAAAATTGATCTTGAAATCTGATGATAGACTTCTGAATGTTTTCGCATATTTCAATTAAAAGCACCTTATAGGGGTGTATAGCAACACTGATGCATCTTACGTCTGAGGAAAATTGATACGCATTGTGGGATAGTTGGATCGCTGTGGATCGTTTGGGATCGCTGGAATAGAACTCATTTCTATTCCAGCGATCCTCAACGATCGGATCGTTCACGATCGCTGGGGATCGCTACAAATTTGACATGCGGTTTCCATTTGATCGCTGCAAAACTCCAGCGATCCTCAGCGATCGTCAACGATCGTGAACGATCAAATGGAAACCAGGCTTTAAAATCGCCTTTCACGCGACTTTTACTGGCGCAACATGTCTAAGCACGTTAGAAATTGGATACGGCGCTGCCCGGATTGTATTAAGTTCAAAGCTTTATCGCAGCCCAATGGTCCTATGCAGATTCTCATAATCGAACATCCATTTCACACTTTAGGTGTTAACTATGTTGGAGAGCTACCGATTTCAACTTCAGGTAATAAATGGATTTTAACAGCACTTTGTCCATTTTCCAGTTTTCTACGCGCTATCCCAGTCCCACACAAAATAGCAACAACAGCTGCTCGCGCACTCTTAGATTATGTCTTTTTGCAACTAGGTTTCCCTTCTGTTTTGCAAAGTGATTGCGGCGGGGTTTAACTTAGTGCAGCGTATAGAAGAGGCACATACGCAATTTCGCGCCATTAAAGGAGATTAAGACGTCGCCAACGCGAGCTTTATTATATCGCTTCGCGCGATGTAAAGATACCAGACGGCAAAATTATCTACACGCGCAAGGAAAGCAAAGCCTCTGTTTCTGGTCAAAAAACGCACTTTTTGCGCAATTTCGATGGTCCTTTTCTCGTTACTGGACATCTGCATAATCGCCAAAATCTGTTAAATCTGCCTCATATAGCCACAGATAAAGATTGGCCATATCCAGTCAACATAGAGAAGATTGTGGTTGTACCCGAGTGTAATCCCTCCGATATTTCCCCTCTGGATACCGTCAAGGACCCTCCTCAGCCAACTACTTCTCTCGAATTTCCTAATGTTCGTCCTTTTACCCCAAACGCGGATTTAGCCGAAGAACCCTTTAGCTTAGGACAGTACTTCAATTGGACTCCATCTAAAGCGTCCGTAGCATCCCAACCTTGTAAGTATTTATACAAGCCCTTTCCTGCAAGTAGGGAAATTCTCGCCAAACATGGCAGATTAATTAGCCTCGCCAAGTCATGTCTCTATTTACATTAAGAGGGTGCGTCTCACGGGGGTATATACATTATAACGTTAGATAACGATACATTTGCTCGCTTACATCGCTAATACGCTATTGTATTAATTAGTTTACTAAGCAAAAAATTACAAAATGTGAAAAGCAGCAAAAAAGTAAGTATTTTTTTGTAATTAGGAGGGGGAGGATGTGATAGGACACGTGTATACAGTTCGTGTCATATCATGTATTAGCTATTAATCAATATCACATCACGTGTTAACGTATATTTAAGTGTTTGTAATTAATTAGAGAGGTAGTTTTAGTGCAATTAAAGATCACACAAAATGTATTGAGTGCGTTGTTTTTGCCTCTCGCTCTTTAAGATGCTTTGAGCCCGACCATGTGGTTTTTCCATGAAAAAATCTTTTTCCAGACAAACTAAATAATAATGCTTCAAAGCGCAAACAAGTGAATGCTTTGTTTTTTGTTCATTTGTTAATAAATGTAATTAAAAGCATCTTTTTGCTTGTAGACTATACCTGATAAATGACAAGTGCCGTTCCTTCCAATGGTATTTCATCTGAAACAGTTTTGTTTTGAAAGCTTACTTTTTCTTTTATTTCATCTGAAACACTTCCATCTATTGTGATCATCGGGTCTACATTGGCTGCCAGCAGGTACATTCTTTGATTCTGTTTATTTTCATAGCATATGGTCAATGTTGTTTAGGAGCAACTAAATGCAAGCTGTTCACTGTTATTTCGCAATATAAGACCGTCAAACGATTAATGAGATCCACTATTCTTTTGGGAAATCCGCAAAAATATGGTTTATAGCGATGATGCTCTTCTCAAAATTAACATTTTCAGCTTTCCAACAACTCCTATTTCTAATTTGCAGATTAAATCAGAATTGTCTCGATAGGATTTAGAATGTCTATTCCTAAAAAATGCCATAGCCTAAATAATGCTAAATAGTTGAAATTTGCTATTCCAAGATTTCCAGTGCTTCCTTAATAAATAGACCCCATTTTGTTGCTATAAATTTCCTGGAATTGTTCCCAGATGTGATATGTTTTTTTCTATCTTATTGTTTTCCTGGACCATAAGATAGCAAAAACTTCTTTCTGAAGGCGTCCAGATGGTGGGTAGCTTGGGTGAAAACTCTTGGATCCGAGTCTAAATTGGACCCATGAATATTTTACATCTGTACAGGCTAGATACAAATCCTATCCTAGGTTTTGATAAACGATGTAATGAGTCACTCATAAACTCTGGAAAGGATTGTCGATGCTCCGAATTACAAATCAAACCTTGCGTTCAAAAAATTGGCACACGTTAGCCATATGAAAGGAACGTATTATGAAAACAGAAATAAAAACAGTTAAAAAAATTCCTCAATGGGATATCATAAAAATTAACCGAGGTATTGGCAAATGGAAGGAAAGATCGTTTTGACAATTCACTTGGCTGGCAGGCAATTAATGACTCTGAGAGATACAGATAAATATTAGGGTCACATTTAGAATCCTTGAGATAAACGTTTGGGTTCGCATTCAAAAGCTTACCTGAAATCATACCTGCTGGACTTGTTTCGAAGTGGCGTAGAAGTGTTAGAAATCTATGCAAATTAAAAAAAAACAGTCCTGAATATTCAAGAATTGGCCTGACAAGCGTTTTATAGCATGCATCTTTCACATCTCGATGGCCGCCGCTCATACTTCTTCTGAGGAGACTTTTGCGTTCGATCATCCCAGCTGAAGTTTTTGTGAGAATAATCCCAAGATACCAAGAATAATCTCTAAAGGTTTTCCCTTCTTCGTTACTCGCAGGACTTCGCATTTCTCAGGGTGAAAGAACATAAGCCAGTCATCACACCATTTCTGTAGTCTATCGAGATCCTTTTGCAGAGCGAAAGCATCACTTTGGCATTCTATACAGAATACAGTCATCAGCAAAAAGGCGAACTTGTGATTTTACTTCTGTTGGCAAGTCATTGATGTAGGATGAAAAGAGGATTGGGCCTGATACTGAGCCTTGGGGGACTCCTGATGTAACATTTTCTTCGGCAGATTGTTCACCTTCAATGGCTACTCTCTGAGTGCGATTAGAAAGAAATGATTAGATCCAGGCATTTAAGTCATCTCGGATCCCATAGTGATCCAGTAGTCGTTTGTTGGGCATTTTATCAAACGCTTTTTGAAAGTCAAGTAGTATAATGTCTGTTTGTTATCCTTGATCAAGTGCTTGGGCTATTTCATGGATGGTTATTATCAGCTGCGCTTCACAGGATCTCTTGGTCTGAATCCATGTTGGGCATCAGAAAGGAGGATGCTAAATTTGCTGAAATGATCCATAATTTGGAAGCTGATGATGTGCTGTAATATCTTGCGGCAGATATCGGTCTGTAATTTTCAGGGTTCGCTCAATAATTGCCTCTCTGATTGAATCATGGCGGTCATGACTTTACGAGCTCCGACAATCCTTGTTCTGATAGCACTATCGCAAAGCCGTTTAAACGAAATAGCGTGATCTTAATGACATCAAGAATCACAAAGATACCACCTACATGATTCATCTGGAAGCAATGAATTCTACTCGTAAAGGAAGATATGGAACTGTGATAGGCCGACGACGGCCATGGCCTAAATGCAACAAGAAGTACACCGCTCAACAGAACTTTTTTATGATTATGCTGATGTTGTGTGATGATGTGGACATGAACCCTGGCCCTAGAAAACTAAGGTATCCTTTTCAAGTCTGTGAAAAAGCTGTAAAATGGGGGCAAAGAGCTATTGCTTGTGAAAACTGCTCTGGTTGGTTTCATCCTGACTGCCTAAAAATGGGATCAAAGGTTTATGAAGCACAGGCATACGTTCTAGTCTTGAATAGGTATGTTGTCATTGTGGCCTGCCAAATTTTTCATCTAGTCCGATTGAGGCAACTTAGTCTTCAAATAGCTTCAATTTACTTACATTTAGTAATTCAAATTCTAGAGCAGCAGTTGAGGATCTTAACATCAACTCCCAGGGGGTGCACGAAGATGAAAAGGAAGTTGAAACACGTAAGAATAAGTTAAAACAGTAAAGAGTAAATGTCAAAATTGTTATCATCAATTCTCAAAGTATAACAAACAAGAAAGAGGCTATTTTAGACATGCTGGATTCAGGAAAGCCGGAAATAATAGTTTGAACAGGAACATGGCTCAACAATGATGTAAAGAATAGGGAATTATTCCCTACAGAATTTTATAAAGTAGAAAGAGAAGACAGACAGGATGACGATTTTTTAAGATTTCTGCATGAAAACTGCTTACTACAAATGGTAAACAAGCCAACAAGAGGTCAAAACATACTTGATCTCCTTATTACTAACAGATCTACCTTAATAAACAGACTTGAGATAATGCCAGGTATAAGTGATCATGACATTAGTGATTCAAACAAATTTGTCACAATAAATGACCATGTCCCTAGCAAATTTCCACCCACTAGATTTAATCAGCCATGGATCAACAGAACAGTAAAAAGTCTGTTACAGAAGAAACATCGTAAATGGAATAGAGCTCGTAAATCTGGCAAAGAGAATGACTGGGCTAGAATCAAGGCATTGCAAAAGCAACAGAACAAAGTTTGCAGGAGTGCATACAATTTATACGTCAGCAACATGGTAGCCCCAGACTTAAAAGCAAAACAAAAAATGTTCTGGCAATTTATCAAGAGTAGAAGACATGAGTCTGGTGTCTCTCCAATAAGAGCAGCACGTGAAACTACATACACAGATGACAAGCAGAAAATCAAATATCTTGAATGCAACATTCAAATCAATATTTGATATCGAGGATGACCAACATGTTCCTGATTTAGTCACATCATAATTCCTAGCATACCCAATATCGAAATAATAGAAGAGGGAGTCTTGAAACTTCTAACAAATCCAGATGCACACAAATCTGCAGGTCCTGACGAAATACCATCCTTCATACCCAAAGATTATGTCAGCCAGTTAGCACCAATCATAAACCAAGCATCAACGAAACAATCAATCATCCCAAACGATTGGAGGAAAGCCAATGTCACACCAATTTTCAAAAAGGGAGAGAGATAGAGAGACTGGTAAAATGGCGAGAGAGATTGCCCTCCAGAGTTTTCTTTTGGATTATCTTTTAATACCACGCCTTTTGAGAACGCGAGAAGAAGTTAGTATTGTAAATACTAGCCAAGAATCACGAATACTGTTTAGAAGACGATTAAAAGTAACGAATTCAACAAAGTCATATATTCTCAGTCACCACTACTCAAATGAATGGAGACTTTTTATCACCGAGCATCTTGAGTCTAACTTTTCCTTTCTTGTACACCATACAACAATCTACCCTTGGTACCTGAGTCTCTAACATTTAGTCTCAAAAATATAGTTAGAAACTAGCCACAGAAAAAATTTTGAGCGGGGGTTGGAAATTTCCTTCCTCTCCTCTGCACCCACTCATTCTTTGCCACCGCAGCTGTCAAAATACTTTATTCTTGGATTCACGAGGCTTTGGTACCCAAAGTAACAATAATTGGACTATCAACATCCGACAAATTCTCACAACTCATTTGGGCATCAGTTCGAAAGATCAAGATGTGCAACATACCGTAAATTCTCTTTTTAGCCCCCCCGGGGGCTTATTGTTCTTCAGCACTTTAAAGAGAGGCTTATAAGAGAGGGGGTGGGCGAAATTGAGAGAGGGGGCTTAATAAATATTTTGCAATAAAAACCATTTATAGCGGTAAAATATTTATTATTTGCGAGATAAATATATTTAATCAGCCTTCTATATCAATAATATTGTCATCGTCATAAAATATTGATTCTAAAATATTTTGGTAAAAAGCTCGCACATTGGCCGTGTTTAGTGTACATTAAATCTTTATCTTCGAGTCTGTCGTGACTGGAAGAAGCATGGTGTGAATTTTGATTTGATGTGAAGTATTGAATGACCAATGAATAAAACAAAAATCTTTGTTTTTTGTCAAGTTTACTTATTTCAACACCAGCGAAATTGTTTTTGAGGGGGGGGAGGGGCTAAATTGAGAAGGGGGCTAATTAAATTTTTCCTTTTGAAAAGGGGGGCTAATAAGAAAGGGGGGCTTAATTTAGAGGGAAGCCAAAAAGAGAATTTACGATACAAAGAAACAGCTCCTGAGTCAACCAATAAAACGAAGCAAAATCTTGGAGATCTGATAACCCACACCATATTTTCATAGAAAAAGGGAAATATTGATAATTTCAAACTTCTTTCATTAAGCAACATTTTTACAGTGTGTTTATTGAAAATAGATTTATTTATTGTTTTAAACATAAAGAAGAATTAAAGAATTATTAAGAGAATGTCCGTGAGTGTTGCCTAGGGCACTTAGATAAACCTGAAAGGTTATCGAGCCAATTGCCGTATAACTTACAGAAGAATGTAGCTCTTTCAATGACTTGAAATCTTCTTCACAAAATTTGACACACGCAAAAAACAAGCGTTCACCCATATCATAAAAAAGAAATGTCAAACAGGGTCTCCAGAAGGGGGAGTGGTCTATAAATGGTTTAGCAACCCCAACCATTTTCGAAATGCTTTTTCTATATCAATGAAAAATGATAAAGATATAAACAATTAACAAAAAATGATTAACCAAAGAATAATTTTCAAAACAAACCTCTGCAGGGGATTCAGATTTCTAAGCTTGTGTCCGACAAAAAGCATTAGTGTCTGAATCTCTTATAATCTTAGCTTTTTTCAAATCCATAATGAAATTTTGCATCAACAAATCGCTGAAGCAGTAAATTAGGAAGCCCGGAGTCCGTAAAACTTCTGAGGCATATACTCCACAGATCAAAAATTGCATGATAATCGTAGCTTGTATGTTATAGTTCTGAGCTCGTTTCTCACGTATGATAACTCGGGGACAATGTAATTGTTGAAACTTGTTCCATGTCGGATAGCCTAATCTTCAGTTTTCTGGGCCAGTGGCGGTTTTAGGGACTGCGGGGCCAAAAACATCTGCGAGGCCCTCGTTCTTTATAATTTTCCATCTTTTTTCCTAAGTATGGGGCCCCTTTTGGCTATCATGAGTGCAGGGCCTGGGGCCATGGCCCCCCTTAAAACCGCCACTGTTCTGGGCCCATCTGTTCATCCGGTTTGCTATAGAGTGGTTTTTGCTATAGAGCAACAGTTTCGCTTCCCTCGAGATACACACACAAAAGCTGCTATTGCCAAGCCCGGGATGGGTACGGTCACAGAAAAAATTTTAAAGCAAAATACACTTTTTTTTCAAGAACCAGTAAATTTAAGTTCTTAATTTTTTCGAAAATCTGAGGCTGGATTGTTCTTAAATTAAGAGGGTGTAAGCAGTGCTATTGCTAGCTTTTTCGCTCTAGAAAGTTGTTCAGGCCTCATTTGCCAACAGAGTGAGACAGATTTGAATATTCACCGAAAAAGCACCCACACATCGCTAAAAAACCTCAATTTTGAGAAAAAACGTTGTTCAAAATTGCATTTTGCAGAAGCTCAGCCTCAGCTTGTTCTTAACTTTTGACCAGTTTCGAGGCTCGTGTTCTTATAAAAAAAGTGTGTATATACTGCAAAATATATAAATACATACTTTTGTAGCACAATTGATTCGCATTTAAATTTCCCACAGAACTCATTCATGCAACTTTAGATCAACCTGGTGCGTTCAGCCTCCAAACAAACTTTTTAATTTCAATATTGCATATTCATATATGACAAAGAATTTTGATCACATTCCTGCACCCTCCAACTTGGTTATTTGACGCTCAAATTTAATTGCGATCTAGTTTTAAGATAATTTTGATATATTGGAAGTTTTGAACATGGCACTGGCAATTAGATTCCATATGCCAATCAGAAATCACTCCTACTCATTTGTACCAAAAAAGAGAAGCACCGAGCCAAAGAAAAACAAAGTCTTAAATTTCTGGGACATACTATTACTGTACACTGTACATTTTTTTTAATTAAAAAAACAAACATCTTTATATAAATGATTTCATTTTGTCACAACATTTGACAATGGCATTTATTTATACAAATATCGTGGACCCTTAAAAGGCATCAAGTCAATTACCGCTGCCTCACAAACCAAAGCTGACCAAAGATAAAAGTTAGCCAAATCTAAGCTGACCAATTAGCGAACTTTTGAAATGAATAATTTGTATTCATATTAAGTCAATGCTACTAAGTCTATGAGAAATTTCATTCCCTAAAATAAACGAAGGCCAATAATTCACACCCCCCCCCCTGCTTACAGATTTTCACCAAAGCAACTCAAGGTCAGCTTATGGTTTCAGGATTTAACTTATAGTGTCAACTGCTTAGGAAATTTAATCACACTGCTATAAGGCTCTTATAACTACTTTACCACTAATATCCGTGTCAACTGGTTGAAAACCTAATTTGGAATACATGTCATGTTCTTCCTCGCCATTTACTTCTAATATTACAGCATTGGAGCCTAATGACTTCAATACTGACAACACCATACTCAGTACTCGTTTGAGGACCCTCGCATTTTTCGTCTTTTGATCAACATGGATGATTAAATGTGCTTTGTTGTCTAAGTGCCAGTCAGTTAGTCTTGACAAAGGGCAGTCATATTTTTTTCTTTCACTTGAATCCAAATCAGAATCTGATGTACAATTCATACTCTCCATGAATGTTTTGTTGTTTGGTACCGCAGCAACATATCCACAAATCTGATGATTGTGTTCAAGTATGAAGAGTGTATTTGAGCATTTGTTTAAATAAGGTTCAATAACAACATTGCATATAGTTTCACTGTTTTCAATATTCAAAACTTTGTCAGGACACTGGAAGGTTGTGCATAATCCAAGCAGAGTGTCCTATAAAAAAGAGAAAATGGTTGCATGTCTAGCTGAAGAAAATGCTTGGGATTGAACCAAAATTTCTCAATTGTCTATGTTACAAATAGGAATAAAATATATTCACATTAAGATAATTTGAATTTGTTTTCTATCTTGCATCAATAAAAAACCATAATCACAACATTATGCCAACAAAAGATGAATACACGCCAGCCATGACAGAAAAGTTGAAATAACTATGAAGTCAAGACCGTCAGCAACATCACCAGTTCTTACTAAATACATCAGAGCCACTCCATTTGTTAAAAGCTGAAATAGCTTTCTATAACAATTATACACATAATTGATATATACATAATAAACAAGTTTCTCTGGCTAGAAGAATCAATATTTTGCATTTTCCTTTCACCAAGATAAAAAACATTAACATATGCATATATAAATACCTTGTCATGATCAAGGAAGGGCCTCATATAGAATATGTCAGATGACGGCAAATCCGGTGCTGTGTCCAAAAATCCAAAACCACCATTGAATGGCATGAGTTTTTGCAGAGCAAGAGTCACCCCACCAATGTACCTGGCATGCCATGCTTCAACATATTCCTCTGCAATAAAATCAGCCAAAGGCAAATCTTCACCAGGAAAAACCTGAACATCTGCAATGTCATTTGTAGATGTTTCATTGAAATTGGATGTAGCTAACCATATCACATAGGCATGGAGTGCCAACACAACTTCTTTCACATCCCATATGTAAGGATACAGGTCAAATAGAATTGATTCATTTGGAATGTTGCTAAGCCTGGTGAATAAATCCAATACCATCTGACAAAGACTGTGGAAATTAGCAGCTCTTTCTCTCCAGCTTGTGTCCTGAAGAGCAAAATAAAAGTATTTCTATACATCTTTGAAATACCTAAAACCTTAGAGGATGAAAAGTTTTCTAGAATTAAAAATCTTCATTGGCACTGACAAAACAGTTATAAAAAAATTTATATACATAAGTCAAAAACTTGGCTTAATAAACAGCTTGATATTAAATTTCAAATCATTTCTCTTTGTACAGACTTTAAATGTCCTATTCCACATAAAAGTATATATATGCTTTTTCTCTGTAGATATACCAACCTTTTCACCAAAAAGCTGACAGTTTTTGTTCACTTGACCAGCATTGTCTCTGAGCCAACGGAAGCAGTCCAGTAAGGCTTTACCACTGATGCCATGTTCATAAGGAAGGTAAAACAAATCAACCAACAAACTTAAGTCAGCAACTGTTACACCTGATGTCTTTGCATCACCTTTTATGTCAACCGAAGACGACTCTAAAAACATGAAGAAAGTTAGTATTTTAATATATATATATACTTGAAACATGAATTTAACAACTACAGTAACATGAATGAAGCACTTCTCTTTTAAAACATGTGCCTGATTTTAAAGGGTCATTTTTCCATGAAATGTATTTATATATATATATATAGTGCTATAAATCCAATAACATCTGACAAAGACTGTGGAAATTAGCAGCTCTTTCTCTCTCTTTCTTTCAATATATATATATATAATTACATAAATAAACCCAGGACAATTTTACTATTTCTAACATGTAGCTAAAATTTTAGCACTAACTAAAATGCAAGGAAAAGATTTATCAGCAGAAAACAATAAAACTCACCTTCACCAGAAGTGATATCAAGACCATACTGTCCAGTATGTACCATCTGTCCATTCACTATGGATGCCATTGTGTGCCGCTTGGCATATGATTTTACTTCAACTGCTTTGGGTTTGTCAAATTCAACAAGCCAATCATCTATTGCAAGTTTCAATGCAATTTTTGGATCATAACTTGTTACAACAGATGTGACATCAGCTGGTGTAAGTGGGTAGAGGTCAATATGCATTGTTCCTTCTGTATCTGGAACATCAACATTCTCATCAATTTGAACTTCCATCGGATCATATCCCAGATCACATGAATCCTGTTCTTGGGTACAGTCTGCAGTCTCCTTGTATGCATTTGAGGCCACCCTGCACCATGTAGCAAATGTGTGTATCCCAACAAAATTGGCCTCAAATTCACAGTTTGGGTTAGTAAGGACCCCATTCAGGTATTTGTATAGTTCTACTGGTCTACCACTGTAAGGACCAAGAAAGACGCGTCGGTGATCATAATCATTAGCATGTATGTTGTCCCAAATAACAGGCTTTCTTCTGAGAACTTTTGATAGTTCAAGAAGAGACTCTGGTGTTATCACCTGTGATATGACCTTGTCACCTGAAAGTAAGAGAAATTAAAAAAAACCATGTATAATATTTATATATGCAGTGTATATTGGTTATCTTTACCTGAGGAGACCAAACATGAAATAGAAATCACAGGAGCCCTGGTTGATTGGCATGAGCATATTGTTAGAAATAATGGTTTGAAGTCAGAAATAAAGTGATAGACACTATGCTAGCAAAAGAACAACGGTTCAAAGTTGCTATTTTGATATCACCAAGTTTAAGCTTACCTGTCCAAAGTATATCAATTTCTGGGCTTAGCTTTGTGCCAATAGTATTCAAGTACTCTGATTTGCCGACACTGGGGAATGCCCTTGTCTTGCAGTACTCTAGAGAGAAAACAACACATCAATCAACAGGCCAAATGTATCTATGTTATGCCAAATTCTCCAAACTTCCTTAAAACCATCTTACCATGCACCCATTCTAGCAAGTTTTCTTTTGGATGCTACCTTTTTTATCTAAAGGATGACTGCTTGATTTAATGGCAAGTGTGGTGCAAAACTGAGCAACTGTGTCCAAAATATGAAAATCTCCCCTAATAATGAACATGCACACGGCATTTTTGACAACACTGTAACTCATCATGGGAGGTGAATGATGGTTTTATCATTTTCTGGGAATGACTGCCAAAAAAATTTGAATCTGCATTGAGTCACAGAGTTGACAAAATACACAAATAAACTGAAATAACTTCATCTCTTTCATGCAATTAACAGCCAATAGTTGTATGATACAATAATTTCAATTTCTTACTGAGCTGCACTAAAACATGACACAGACAGGCAAGCAGATAACTGGTCATAAATGTGCCAAAATGATATGTACAAATATATGGATACACCCCTTTTTGAAGTCAGTGTTTACAAATTCTGATATCCTCAACATCTGGAGTAAAAATAACAAAAGAAAGGCCTCCCAATTGAATAATTTTTAGTTGCTTATTGTTTAATGTTCCATTACAAACTGAAACAGTTATCATCATTTGGCACATTTATGAAATGCAGAGCAGAACTAGAAGAATAATACTACCTTGTTGCATGTCTAAAAAGCTCAGAATACTTTTTGACTCTCCTATATAGATTATGCATTTAGTAAAACCTTTAGCATCCCATTACAAACTATAGTACAAGATGTATATCATGAAACAAGTAATTATTTCACCATCCCATCTGAGCTTCTTACACATCAACATTGAAAAATCATATAAAAAAATAAGAACAGTAAATTGGCTACCACTGCTGATGGCTAAACATTTTCCTTGGCTGGCATACACTCAATAATAAGAATGGTTGCCAACAGAAAACTGAAATCACATTTTAATCCCTCTCAATTCTTCTTTTTTTGGACACAAAATAAAAATCCCCAAACCATCAGCAACTTAAGCCATATAACTAATAAAAAATCAGCCCTGGAAAGGAGAGAGACTGGATAAGCCTGCCTGTCAATCAATTATCCAAAAGCAAAGAGGAATATGTGACATTAGACGGAATACCTGAAGTTTGACAATGTTGGCAAAAAAGCAAATTTAATTCGAATTCAAAATAAAATATTTGTTTTCAACCCCTTTTGAGTGGAAGCTCCCAGCAACATTCTGATGTGCTACAAAGAAAGCATGGAAGATGTTTTGTTTTCTGACATATTCCTTGTTTGCTTTTGCATAGAAAGAGCAGCTCATATAAACACTTTTGGATATATTTTTCACTAGCTCAATTTAAATCACCACACTTAGTCACTTTGTTCAAACCTATGCATTCATTCAAATCCATGCACTTACTTAGGGGAGATGCAGTCTTGTGAGGTCCACTGCATCATTTATTATATGTATAAATATATAAATTATTATTTTCTTTATCTGGCAGTCAAGCGAATGCATTTGTTTGAGAAGCAATCATCCTTTATACTTTCACCCAGTTCTGTACCTGATAGAGAATTTGGCAATAAAAAAACCAAAACCAAGAAAAACAAACAAAAAGTTGGGAGAGTATTGAAATTCAAGGGACAATTTGAGGATAGGAAAGTGACAGTAGCAGAAAGGAGCGAAAAGGGAAGGCTGTTTTTCAAGCAAATAGCTGAAAACCTTCAGACTCATCCCAATGCCATGAGCATCTTCTATCAGCTTGAAGTTTTTGTTTTTAAAGTTCCTAGAACTGAATATGATAAGCCAATGTAAACATATTGGGTCCGTACATGAAGACCCATAAACTTTTATAAAATTATTCCATGTCATCAAGGCAGCCAACTTCTTCTTTCTTTGAAGTATTTCTCTCTTCTATGCTTGCATGTAAAATCCATTTGTTTTGTCTTTCCATCCAAACATCCATTACAATATAGGAAATTCATCTTTGTTCAAAACTTAATACTTATAAACTGTATCTTCTACATTACACAATTTTTTCAAGGGATATATACTTTAGAGTTTAAATTTCAAACTTGACATGTCATAAGCAAATTATAAAGATATAACAACTATCAAGAAAAGAAATGTGCTAAGTAAGCAAAAATACTGCATTGAAATTTAGCAACAATATACACAAAACAATCAAGATTCCTTTGGAGCAAGATTTTCATCACTGTTTTCGCATAATAATGATTATTGACAGTTAAGGCAACAGGGTTTTGGGAATTAGAAATGTTTATGTCTCAGTTGTCCAGACTTTTTTAAAAAAATCTAAATCAGAAATTTCAAGCTCACTTTTGTAGGGTTTTAAGACTATCAGCTACTTTTTTGCAATAATTTTGCTTATCTAACACTTTTATGAAATGATTTGGTAGGCTTGTACTTACAAAATCTGAAAGACCAGCTAGCATTGAAAAATATACTTATATTAGACACTTGGTGGATCTTGGTAGGTAAATACAACAACTTATCAGTCACAGTTAAGAGCATTTAACATAAAAAAATTATGACTTACCAGTTGGGCAGAAAAGGAACCTTGGTTTCTTCAGATACTGAAAGAGTTCATTTGTAAGTATAGACTGTGCCTCTGCAGATGATTTGTAGAGGTTGCAATCTGAAACTTTCAACCTTGGATCAATGTCATCAAACAGGATGGCAAAGCTCTTGCAACCAAGTTTTGATACCTGAAAAAAGAAAATAAACCATTTAGAAAACATAACACAAGACGAAATACACAATTAAAAAACAGACATGCAAATAACTATAATATATACACAACATAGTTACCTGTTTCATTTTCCGTTTCAGTGCAGCAACATCAGCAGCACAAGAGAAGACAATGTCCAAGCCAGGTGATATTGCATAAACAAATGTAACACCTGCCGATTCTGCAGCGGTTATAAGAGTTGCAAGCTTTCCTATCAAAACAGGTTCACAACATGAATATCTCACGAGGATGACAAAAGTTACTACTAAATATATATACTACTCAATCCAAAATTGATAAAAAAAGAAAAGCAGAAAATGAAGGGAAGAGTGTGAAAGAATGTCTCGCTTAACTTTCATTTAATAATGACAAAAGTTCTTGTTTCTGGACTCAAGTTTCCAAATAATTTTAACAAATTTGATGTACCAATCAATACACAAAATGAAAATCAGTTGAATATTTCTAACCTTCTTCTTCTGCTGTATAAAGTTGCCTCCAGAGAGCCCTGTGTTTCATATCATCTTTAGGTGCATAAATGTAGGTGTTCATTCCATACTTCCGGATCCTGGGAACGAAATTAAAAAAATTCTAAAATTCGCATTTTAAATTCAAAGCCTAAAGTTAGAACTTGACAGCACGCAGAGAGACAAGTTTCTTTTAATTCTTTTCATGATCTCAGACATCACGTGATTGCTTCCAACCAACCACAATACACCCAAATCTACGCTTTGACCTGCCAGCCAAGCAAGTGAAACTATCGTCGGAAATCCCTTTTCCCATTAAAAAATATCCAGAAAAATGTATGTACCTTGTAAACAGCTCATTCCTCTGCTTGCACGTCCAGGGTCTTCCGTAGAAACCTGAAATTAAAGAAGAAAACAGAGAACTCAGCGACAGGCGTTTCCTTTAAATTTGGACGGCCTAGCGAAATTTCATAAGATGGCGGAAACAAAATCAATAAAATAAGATAATACCTTCGATCACGCCACTCAGAAATGGTCTTTCTTCGATAACCACCATTCCGTCTTTCTTTTTGGCAGGAAAACACGGGAAACACCGCGATAAAAGCGTTTTACGTACGCGCGACAGCTTGCAAGAAGTCAAAGACGTTCACTTCTTTCGTCGCAATCTTCCTCGTCTGAAAGGAAATGGAAATATACCAGTTGTTAAAACTCGTCAAACAGGTTTGATAAATCTGCTAGTTCCAGACTCCTTCTTTGGAACCAGATCCCTTTTCTTTACTATTTCCACAGGGATTCTAAAGACAAAGATTGCGTCATATGTTGCACCAATCAACTCTCTGATGAAGCCCTGTATGCCTGGGCGAAATATTAGTATATTCCTTAAATTTAATTTATTTTGAAAATTTTATCTCGTGACATTGGATTCTCGTAGTCGTATTGCTTTGTTTCTTAATATCTTTCGTAACATCACTCATTGCAAGATTCACAGAATCCGGCGGACAGCCTATCCTGCGGTTCTTCCTTCTTACACAAACATTGTGTTGCACGCACTGATCATAGGGGCCCATAGGTAGAGTGCCCAAGGTACCGGTAAAGCTGCTTCTGAACATAGGCACCACAGTGGTTGCAAAATGTCTCATGAACTTATGGATGCCCTGTATAATGTTCAGGAAACTCACTCACAGTAGGTCCAGACGAAGGAGAGTTTTCAACACAATTATGTAGAAGCGCCGAAGGCGCTAGATGTCTAGCTCACAAGCTCACAGGTACCCTGTGAGTCAAATTTGTTTACTTCCGCCATTTTGAATAGTGGCAAAAAGGAACTTGCTCCATTCTGGGCCTTTGTAAATTGGTAAAAGTAAGGGTTGATTTCGTTCACTTTTCTTTCGAATATTGATGTGAAATTTGGTGAGTGGCCTTATATTGCACTAAGATTTACGAATTAATATTAATATTGGAAAAATAAGCCGTCTTTCGCCAATTACAAGCATTTACAGTCGCGGTGCTTGCTGTGGTATGGCTGGTCGCTGGTGTTCTCTGTCTCGTCGAAATTCCAGAAAATAATGATTGATGTGCTTTAAAACGGATCCAGCAACAATTTCTAGCCACTCAATGCATTATTTTCTTAATACATTTGTACAAAGAGTTGATTTAGTTACTTTTTCTTTCTTGATTTATAGAAACAACTGTGAAATATCTAGGCCCTAGCTCTAGAAAAAGCTGAAAAAAGGTCAAAATTCAAGGTTTGGATATTAATTACAGAATTGAAATATAGCAGCCAATTTTCAATTTGCTATAATTATTGATGTTTTGTTAGACTATTCCAAAACCACAATCGTTGCTTGTAATTATCCTTCAGCACAATGCGTCCCTCCCCCGTATCTTTAGGCCTATAAAATACCTTCCGGGGTACATTTCATGACAAAGGTTACTAATTTGGTCTTATTAAGAAGAAATAAATTTAATTCATATCAAATTTCATTTCTACAATTTCAATTGGATAAGCTTAAAAAGAAAAATTTGAATTTTCCTGTCCATGCCATATTAGGTTTTAAACGACAGACAGACAATTTTAAATTATTAGATAATTCTAATTAATATGAAGATAAAAAAATGGAAGCACATGCTTTTTCAATTCATAAAAACACGACATGCCACTGCTATATTCCTCCCGTAACTGCGTAAACTAAAAGAGCCATGTTTTTTAAAATTATGTTTTAAAACCCCCTAAAATTGTTAGATGTTGTTGATTTATATATCTCCTTTAACTACCTGCATCAGAAAAGGCGCTTTTTGCCCCTATTAAAAATGGCGGAAGTAAACAAATTTGCCTCACTCGGCAGTACGCAGCATGACCCGAGACTAATTTATTTCATTGTTTCAACCATGGTTTCAAGAGGTTTCACGGCAGTAAGGCAGTTTCAAAATGGCGACTGACAACAATGTGGTGAAGTTTGACCTTCGAGTGAAAGATCTGACCAATGTGAATGATTTTGAAAATCATCCGGATGTAGATTCAAGTAAGCGATGTAAGTTTTGCAAAGTAAAGGAGTCGAAGTACACATGTCCGAAATGTAACTGTCATTACTGTGGACTTGGTTGTTATAAAAGTAAGGACCACGAGCAATGTTCGGAAACATTTTACAAGGAAAACGTTTTACGGGAATTGAAAGGAATGAAATCTACAGATAAATTGAAGAGAGAAACTATGGAAATGCTTAATAAGATGAAAAAAGAAAGAAACTCGGATGCAGAAATAGGCTGGGATGATGAAGCAACAGAGGGGCTCGAAGTAAGGATGCAAGGGTTGGATATCGACAACGCAAATTTCGAGGATATTTTCGTACGACTAACTGAGAAGGAAAAACAATTATTTGATGAAATCATTGCAAAAGGAGAGGTTGAAATCGCCGAACTTGTCACTCCATGGTGGAGGGAGAATTTATATAAGGGGTTTGTATTTCTTAATATTAAGAAGAAGATATGGAAAATATCAAGTAGTATGAAAACTAGAAACTATAAGTTAAACTAGGTAAATATCACTATTTGTCACTTTTCTAGGGTTTTATGTGGTTTTTAGGAATTTTTAAGATTTTTCCAAACACACACAAATATTGGTGAAGTTTTGGGTAGAAAATTTGACATAATTGAAAGCTGTTAAAGTGAAAGAAAATTTCAATATATTTAAAAGGGCAAAACTTTTGTTTTAACTCTAATTGAATTGGTTTAAAAGAGGTTGCCAAGCAATTTTTGGGAAACAAAACTTCCCAAAAGGGTTTATTACCATATTATCCTCATCCATGGCTATTCAATAGAGTGTAGCAAAGTCACACACAGTATCAGTTTAGCACCGCATGACAAATTTATCTAGGGATGCATACAATTGGTAAACACTTTTTAATGCTATGCATATGTGTCTCCATGGACTTAAGAACTGTCATACCCTGCTGACTGATTCTCAGTTCAACTGTCAAGTGTACTTGCTTATAGAACTAGATGTAGTGAAAAGTTGCAATTATTGCTTGGTGGGAAAATAATGTTTATTTTTTTCATTTCAGAGTAGAAGAGATGAATGGTGAAAAGAAAGTTAATTTTGAAACAAACAGGACTCCAAGACTTCTTCAAAAGATTGAGCCATTGAATATTCTGCTTCCAAATAAAGTGCCTAGTCCAGTTATACCATTCAACATATGTGAAGTTATAATAACATATTGCTTTGTATATAGATTATATAACGGGGAGCTCCAGGAATCAACACAAGAGGCCTTAGATACCATCCTTGAACTATCTCCTGTTATGAAAGATAGCCATTATTATACTGATGTGGAGTACTGTCTTAGACTATTTGTTCAGAGAGTTAAGTCATCAGTATCATTAAAGGATGCTTTGGATCCTGTTCATGAGCCATTTGATGATCTATTTATGATCATTTCATCATATAGCTGGGTTGAGCTAGAGGATAAAAACAAAAAGCTTGTTGCCACTTCAGTTCTTTGTGTTTCAGATTTGCATAGCTTATTCAAAAATGCAGCCATGGAGCTGACAAGAACAAAAAATAAAACCAAAGAGGAAAAGGAAAAGAAGAAGTTATACCAGAAAGTAACTAAAAAACTATACTTTCTGGCATCTTGGCTTGTAGAAAACCAACACACATTGTCCTGTTTGGAAGGGAAGATCAAAGATGTGAAGTCCAAAGTTACTGCCTACTGGGAAGGTGTAAAGGAGGAAAGAAAAGAGTTTGAAACATTTCTAAATGAAAAGAGAAATAATACAGAGAAACAAATTATTGAAGAACTTTGATATCAGAAAATTGTTCATTGCTGCAAATAGTCATAAATTTTTTATTATATTTTCTTCTGATTGAACTGTTGTTTATCCCCTTGTGCCAATATCCATCTTGTTCACTCACTTGAAGCTCAAATACTCAACAAAAGTCCAGGTTTCTTTGTATTTAAAATTTGATGTAATTAATAACTACAAAGCATAGGGTTTAAATTTGTTATTGTTAACTACTTTCACATATTTGCAAATAAAAGGTTAATATATATACAGTACTACCATTTACTAAATACTTTAATAAAAATTTCTAAACAACATGAGTTTTGTAGAATATTAAATAATCTAATTGCTGCCACTGTTACAATCCTAAAGTACTAATTAACTATCATAAATAACAAATAAACACTCATTGCGAGTAAATTAATTTAATATTTGCAGTTTTTCAATTACAATTACATAACAAATTTTCAAGTGCTGTTATCAACTATGGGCACTGGAGGGATAAATTTATCCTATAGTTCAAAAAGGGTTCCTTCACAACATGAAAAAAAACATGCCTTAACTCATTCTATAAAACTCAAGTTATGAGAAAAAGTTTTAATGGTGTTTTCTACCATGGACACTCTGAAATCTACCTTGTCGAAAACCCAAACTATATCTTTTAATTTAAACCTTGATCTTTACAAAGCGTTTGAGAAGTGGAGGTTTCATATCAAAGTTGGTTGGAACGAGGCCCTTGAAAACAATTAACATTTCAACAAAAAACTTTTGATTCAAAATTTTTGAATTTTGCAGTTGTAAAGGGATAGTTTTTTCTCTTTCTAGTTCAAATTTTGTAGGTAGTTGAATAATATAACTCTAGTTGAGTTGACCCAGCATCATCAAACTAGGTACAATTGGGGGTAAATGACCCAATATGCACCCAAGTGCAAAACAAGCAACCCTTTGCCAAAGTAGCATCCCTGCTGACTGAGCATAGTGAAGTTTTTTTTTATGCATCAGTGCATATTAAGCACCCCCTCAAAACAAGAAAGGGTGCCTTTTTTCCCATTATTTTTACATAAGCACACCAGACAATTCTTTGATCATTTGTGGTATGTGACTATTTATGGCCCAATTTCTTATCACAAGGGTGCATACAATGTCACAAGGGCTTCTGGCTCCTTAAGGGGTCTACAAATTTCCCTAAAATTTGTTGGGAAACTACAAATAGTCTTGTTCTTGTGTCCTCTCATATCCAATGATAATTACTATCACAATACCCTATCTTTCTAGCTGTAAAATTAAAGAATTATGCATGTAAAAGTCTGGCATGGGGGCTTTGGGATTTGGTGGGTTGCAGGTTTAGAAAATTTTAGTCATAAGTGTTTTAAGTTTTTTTCAGGAAAGCATACAGGTTTTTGGGTTTTGAATATTAAATTTCCTAAATATAAGCCCAAATTTCCAGTCTTATCAAAACATTTTGCCTGGGTTTGCATGCTCTGGTACCCTCTAACCCCCCCCCCCCTCTTGGGGATCAATTTGCACATTCTTTTATACTTGCTCGTCTAAATTTAGATTCCATCCAAAGTTTGATTTTGCAGTAATTCTGTCATTAGTGACTTCATCGATGCTATTTCAGCTTTCATCTCATTGACTGATTCAACAATGCCACTTGTATCTTCCTTCACAGCATCTATTGGATCCTTCATTAAAAAGTATAAACATTAACAATACTATTCTTTTACTATCAATGTAGCCTTAAATATTCTACATTTTGTTTATATAGCTGTATGTAAGTTATTATCAATTAACAGTACTTGTATTTTAATTATTAACAGTTTATTTATTGTATGATTAGGAAAAGCTGAAAGGGTATTTGTGTATAAATAAATTAAAACTAAAAGAAATTTAAATGAACCATTTGTAACTGAAGAAAACAATCTGACAAATAACTTTTGAATATGAGTTTCTCATGACCCATATATGATTAATATTATTTATTCTTTGAAAACAATGTGGTAGTTTCTTGTGACACCTAAGAGCGGTCCGGGATTGGATAACATCAGCAGGTAGAAAAGACTATTGTATTTCCTTTAAAGAATGCCGCCCTTTATTGAATGCAGCGATTAAGGGGAAGACAAAAACTAGATGGGCACATGGAGTAGCGAGTGCAGTCAGAGTGACCATAGTTGAGGCCTTCAAAGACGCCCAAGATTAAAATGATTTGAGACGTCATGTTCAAAATACTGTCACGGCTGTTCCGGATCTCCAAAAATGTGAACAGAATATTCACCTCATTGGGGTCTCCCAAACTATCTGCTTATTGCTTAAAACTGGAACATAAGTTTGTCAACATAGATAGTATTCGACAAAGTAAGTAATCAACAAAAGATATTTTCAACTTAGCGATTGCATTTTGTGTACTTGTTATGAAAACCTACCTTGGATTGGCTTTTAGCCTCCTCAATGGCGTTCAAAGAAGCTGGATGAGACTTCAGCCGCGCTACCCAGTCGACTGGCTTGCCCATGCGAATTACTTCTTTGATACTATTTTGAAAGAAATTATGCCTGCGAAATCTTCGAGGAATGAACTTCTCAACTTCCAAAACCAGCTCAACCTGCATATGCGAAGAAGAGGAAGTAAAATAGACGATAAATGAGAAAATAATTATATAGATATTTTATATTTTTCATCATACATAGTGGCTTTGCCACAAGGTCACAATGGGGATTTGTTTTTTGCTATCATATTATAGTCTGCAGCGTGTGTATTGCCGCTTTAATATATGACTGAACATTCACTTGAAAATTGGCTGCTCTGATATTTGAATAAGTTCAAATCTTGTCCCTTGATGTTTTTTTACATTTCTAGGGAAAGAAACAGAAAATACTCAAATCACTGGGATAGTCTCAAGCATATACGAGTATAAGCAATCAGTAAAAATCATCATAGATCTACGTCATATGTCCGAGCAAAAAGAACCTCCAACTTCAATCAAATGTTCAACAGGGCTCATTAATAATATTTTGCGCCTGCGAGCGCAAAGCCGAGTAAAAATGTGCCTCCAAGTAAAGTAGGGTGCAATTTATAGTCAGATAGTGATAAATCGAGAACCTATGTTATGCTAAATTCTGTTACACCAATTTGCCTTTGTCAAAAGCAGATACCATATCAATATCATTATGAACTACATGTAACTACATGTAAAACTGAACAGATAACATAATAAATGCTACTAACGTTATATTGTGTACATAAGAAAGGGAATGATCCAGTTTTTATCTATGGGTTGTTTTGGGTTATCAAGTAGCCCTATCGCTGTTATCGATGCGATTTCATCAAATAGAGACATCTTCACGATTTCATCAAAGGTTTTTCGATATATTAAACGCTTTACTTTAAATGGAGCAGTTTTGTTTAGAACATCTTCTTTTAAGGTCTGGAATTTTAGGATTTTGCTTTCGCTTCCTTGGCAACGGTTGCAAGAATTTCGACATTACACTGGGTTTTTCTCATTTCGAAGAAAGATTCTATTCTCAATTACTTTCGTTGAAATGTCTTATTATAAAAAGTATTTTATAAGGATACTCCGTTTTTTAGCTTCGAGTTCATCATGCTTGTAAGATTTAATTATTTTAATATGAAAATGCTTTTACTCCAAAAATTGAAGAAATAGAGGCTTGTTTGGTTGTCACAAATTGTCGAAAATTTTTGTTTTTGATGAATTATTTGGAGGTGCAGCATGAAATTTCAGAAATCGATAGCTACCAGATTCAAAAGCTTGAAGACTTTAACTTAAAGGAAGTGTCCTTTTTTCAGCCTACTATGGACGAACGAGATTAACAAGTCATAACATAATTCTCTGAAGAAAATGATACAATAATTGCAAATGATCTCTTCCACCAAGAGATAATAGTGGAAAAGAGACAAACAGCCAATTTGATTTTGAGAATCAAATGGCACCTTTAGAGTAAGGACCTTCTGTCATTTTGGTAATAAAGACTTGCAACTACTACCTTTTATATTCTATTTGACCGTTCAATTTCAATACCAAGTCCCTTCACGCTAAAATTGGGGGAAGGAGTTGAAATATCTTAACACAGTCTGTCCAGGTTGATTAGTTAAATAATCTATACACAATCAGTCATGGATACAAAAGAGGCGCATTCAGATAGAACACAAAATTATCACATTCCTGGAAAGCAAGAAAATCCCAAAAACTGATGAACAAAAGTAACATGAGACTGGAAATTGTCTTACTTGCATGGCCATTCTTTTCAGAACAGCCTGGTCTTGGACCGTCTTGATATCATCGACTGCCAATCCGACCTAGAAAAAAACACTAAACCATAACGATGCGAAGAAATAAAATGTTAGGTGTTTTTTGCAGCACGAATGTCATTGTCCATCAGCGGTACAATTAAGAAAGCAGACATTTTAATATTACGATTTTTACAGAATTTCGCATTGCTGAACACATATCATTTTTCAACGGATACGGTAGATAATTTTATACTGCAAGTTCTTCAGAAGTGTTCAGAATAGAACAAATAGTAGATCCCCAAACAAATCGCTCAAAACTGAATTGAAAAATAAAAAGAAGCGATAAATATTGAATCAAAGGCAAAACTAAATTTTTGTAACTTTTTGTAATCTTTGTAACTGTAACTAATTTTTGTAAAATTTTTGAAATTTCATTTATGTAAACCTGGTTGTGATAGCCTGCTAAATCTCGAAACTCTCAGTATCAAAATATCCCTTTAATAGTATATAGAGATCTATCCCTTTAAGACCCACATTATTAAGAAATATAGTAAAGCACTACTTGTTATGGCCAATCAAACTATTTAACTATTTTTAGAATTGTGGTTATTTTCTCATTTGTTGACCTACTTTTGGCGTCCTTGTTTGAGATCTAAATTTCAATAAATTATTTTCCACACGGGCATCATGACTTACCAGCAGATTCATGAGAATGATCGTCATGACAACAACGAAAATACCGAATATGAGCCACGTGACACCATACGGCTGGGTACCATCATTAAATATGGCGTCGAATTCGAATTCACCAATCATCATCACGATAGTTTTCATAATCGAACGACCAGGGCTAGCAAATGGTGGCTACAAAACAAAGCAATGGTTTGTCAAAATTTGTAAAAAAATGCATACACTCATTTTTTTTATAAGAAATTGGCTATAAGAAACGAGTACTGGATAGTCAGAAAAAAATTAAGAAACTTCAGTATTCGAAGCAAAAAAATTAAGAAACTATTAAATCGCGACAAAACTGAAAACAACGAAATTTTGTAAAATCCAAGAACATGATTTAATTGCCCGCAACTCGCGCGCGATAGCGCGCGAGTGAAGGGCTTATAGTCTGCCCCGCGTATAAGTAGCATATGGAAGCTTCAGTTCATGTTGTCAGCACTTTTTCAGCAGATTTTGTCACTTTTCTGCTGCCATGACAACTGTCAATCAATTTCATTGTCAATCAATCGGCTTTGTCGAGGAGGTCGTTAACCGCCACCTCTTTGTGCGGAAGGGAATTATCTTCGGAGCGTTGCTCTGCCAAGACTCTGTTAAAGGCCTTCGGTTTTTTTTGCACGAAAACGGTGCTGCATCACAGCTCGGTTCTCCGCAATGGATGGAAGTTTTGATTCGAAGTTTTGGGAATCAAAACCAGTCGAATGCCACACCTTTCTCCCAAAAACTCGAGACCGTACGAGCAAAAGTTATGATTGTCGTGATTATCGCCTGTACATCGCTGTACGAATCATCTATCGCAATCTATTTTAGCTGTACCCGTTCTATCACGTGTCCATTTTCATACGTCTTTGCTTCACGAAAACGAAAAATAAATGTCAAACCCTAGAAAAACTTCATGATTTTCAAAAAGGCGTTGGACTTAAATCAAAGGCAAACTGAACACCAAAAATTCTTGATAAAAAGAATAGTTTAGCATCAACTAGAGCAGCTGTTTTTATAAAATTGTGAAAACCCAAGATGGTGTCTTCTTCGAATATCCTGACCTACATTTTCAAAACAATCATTATCAAGGAACTAATTGTTTGCGGGCAGTACTAGCAAGAGCTATTTCTAGTTTTAGAACTTAAGGCTTAGAACTCAAGACACAAGGGATAAAAATACACTTCACACATCTAAATACAGCATCAGAACGGAAGCGAATCTCTTGACGTGATAAAAAAGGTCACAAACATTTCATAACATCATTCATGACTTCATAATTAAGAAACTGAGTATTGAAATTTCCAGAACATTAAGAAACTGAAAAGACTGAACAGAGCATTCAACATTGACTTTAAAAAGGTATTCTGAAGCATCTAAAATTTCAGATGAATGACAATGAGTAAGCAACTTGAGATTTAATAGAATTTGGTGATCTCTACAAAAAAGAACCTATTTCAGATTTCAGACTAGAGAGGTTCTTATAACATTAGGGTCTAATTTCGTAATTTCAGCCTGCAGGTTCTTAATCCACTAGGTTCTTGCACGCGGGTGTTTACTGTAACTTAGCATTATGTCTCACAAGCATCTCAAAAAGCACTCAATTCGATATCGTTAGAGGTAAAAAAGGCTTTGTTTCTTATCATTATAATCCTGTATTAGAGGTAGTCATTATCTTGGAAGCAATATGCACTGATTCTGCAGACACCCTGTATGCAATCAGGGCAGTAATAACTAAGCCTAATACAAACCCCTAGAAACCTCAAAATTACTTTACTGCTACACTCCTAATTTCTCGCTATTCAATTGAATTGAAGTGACTTAGATATCACGAGAAACAGGGGGTACCCCCTCAAACCTTTAAGACAAATACCCTATCAGGAAAGGATTCCTTAAATTATCCTTACACACCCCCGTCGGGGCAACGATTCTCCAAAATTTGTTACCTTCTTACTTTGTCAAGTGAAAAACTAAACATATCAAAGGACAAGCAGCATTCGAGCATCAACTTCCCCATGGGTAACAATGCCCCGAATACCCTTCTGGATGTGCACAATTTCGGGGCTGCGGCAGTTTTGTACATTCCGCGGTAGTTACGTCCTAAAACGGCTACTAGAACGCTTGTTGATCTCATTGGTAAAGATAAAATCGAAAGCAGTTGTATCATTTCACATACAAAGTATAGCAAAAACTTTATTGGGTGCAATGCAAACAACGAAATTACATACCTGTTTGCTAAGAAGTACATAGTAACTCAGGCCAAAGGCAATGATGAAAAGCGAAAAGGTAACAGAGAACAGTGAGAACGTCCTAAAAACATCAGCGAACATAACAAAGTATATTCCAAGTTTCGGAAACTTTCGAAGAAACAGAAGCAAGTTCACCCAAGCAAGAAATATTGCCAAAGATCCAATGCTGATATGAACTGAATCTGACCTGAAATAAGAAAATTAAATGCATATACAAGGTTGCTCACAGCAGACATAGCTTTATAAAACTGAAAGGTATTTCTTTCCATTCGAAGAGGCGCATTCCTCAGATAAACATCTTCTTAGGGCAGCAGAGTGGTGTTCTAAGAATAATGGGGGGATGGGAGCAGGTATGAAGAACCTTGCAGGTAAAAGGCAAACCTTAATATTATGATGAGAATAGGATCCTGGGACAGAGAAAGTCCCTAAATTACAAGACAGTTCTCAAAAAGCCAACAGAAGGTTAAGGTAGAGGGGCTACAATCCCGGACAAAATAGTTGAGACAAAATGCAAATTTTGCAATTTTCTACTTTACGTTGCCCCTGTAAATTCGAAGCCCCCTCCCCCCCAAATCAATGTCGGATTTGTAGTTATATCATTTCTCCTTCAAAATCTTGCATTCCACATTGAATCTGGGGAAGGGAAAAAGTTATTTTTAAAGACTTATTGCTAACAATGGGCCTTTGCGAGCGTGGCGACGGTCCAAACAATGGCAGTAAATTTCTACGGATTAACAAAAATTGATTTCAGACAGTCTAAAAATGCATTATGGGATGCTTAGGTAGCGCAATGGCTCATTGTTAGCAATGAGTCTTTAAATGAAAGAGAAAATATCAACTTTCTTTGAAAAGTCTCAACTACTTTTTCCGAGATCTCAACTACTTATCTCGCTACCTTCAGCCTCCCTAGTATTGCCACTGGACACCCGTCCGGCATCTGCAGCTGGCCGGACTAAACACAAATCACGGGCCGAATCACAATTTGACCTCGCCACCCTTATGAAGTAACCGATCGTCTAGCCTGGCTACATCACCACTTCGATTAAAAAAGACATTTTCATAGCTTGTCGATAGTTATTATTCGAGTAAAAGAAAAATTCGAGAGTCTTAATTAAAGTTGAAAGCCGCCAACCAATTGCTTTAATTTCACTTATATAAGATTCTACACCATAAATTTTTTATCATGTTGACAAGCGTTTTCTTAATTCGGTAGATTTTCTTTGCTTTTTTTAAGACAAATAAGATCTCTCTGTGTATCGAGAAATGAGAAAAAAATTGAAAATCTGATTGTAACAATTTCGACAACGATCAAACTCCCCGCCACCTGGTTAACATTAATAACTCTCGAAAAAAAGTCGAAAATTCTCATAAGTGAAGATATCGAGGATTTGTGTACAAGCAAAATTTGGAGAAAAAGCGCTCAGCCGAAGATGATGGACAAAAATGGGACATCAAGCCCTTGTCCATCACTGGTACCTAACGAGGCTGGAAGTATAAGGACTACAGTGATGGGATGTCTCATGATTCTAATCTTTGTTGCCAACATCGTGGCAAATACCCTTTTAGCATTTGCGCTGTACAAATCGAAACAGCTACGGTCGTTATCAAACAAGTATATTTTCGTAATGACAATCGTCGATATGTGCTTGGGAATCTCCGTGATATTAGAGGCAGGGGTGTTTTGGATCGCCGGCGGTAAGCGAAGCTGCTCCCATGTCAAAGCAGTTCAATTCTACGGGTTGTTTCTTGAATTTCTTTCATGTTCCATGATTCTCTGTATTTCAACTGATCGCTACCTCCACGTGGCTAAGCCGTTTCAATATCATGCGGTAAAATACGTATTGCGAATGAACATATCCTTAATCGCCTGGCTTTCCAGTGGGCTAGCCGTGTGTACAATCTACTTGATATGGCCGTCTTTCTACTTGCACTTAGTTTATGTGCTTTTCATTATTTTCATAATGTTGGCCTTTTTCGTAATAAACACAAAAACTCTTTCTATTCTAAAAAGGCATCAGAATAATACAGTCACACGTTTACAGAATGCAAGTCCATTGGCAGAGAGTCTAAACAACATTCGAAGCGAGCGATTAACGGCCGTGAAAACCATTCGTTTGGTCCTGGCGGCAGTTTTTATTTGCTATTTGCCATTCAACACAGCTTCAACCATCTTGATATATTACAATTTGGAAAGGAAATCTGATCCAGGAGATACATTCAAATTGTTGTACAACTTATCATCTGCTGTTATATTCAGTGCGAGTTTCGTGAACTCTTTGATTATAATAAACGGCAATAGTAAGTGTCGTAGAATCATTTCTTCAATTTTACGAAACAGAATTCAACCCCAAGAGTAAAAGAACGCCCCTTTCAATTATCAGTCTCATTTATGTTGACGACTTTGTGGCAGGCAGTTGGCCCCAAATTGGAATCAATTCAAAAATATACCTGACTGCATCGCGATAGAAAACGAATATAAAATTAGCCTAAAATTGCAGTTCTCAATTTTGAAGAGCTTTGTGACGAAAGAGCACTTCATGACAATCCACATCGATTTTAAGAAGCTCAAGCTACATTTGTACCTAAGACTTTTGTGGCAAAGAGCATGCATTTCAGATGTCACGGTCTCAAAGTAATCGATAAACTCAACTGTCGTTCTAAGCTATATCTCTCTAATAAAGGAATTTGCAAAATTAAACAAAACAATGAAGGAGAATAAACAAGAACTTGACAGTACAATGGATATCCTTTAGAGAACTTCAACAATGGATCCCATCATGACGCTATTGGGTTCTATACTCCCAAAGTTCCAAAACTGGGATCAAACTGAAATAAAACAGCGGATTTCCATCGATTATATTAGATTCCACCAAGATCCTTAAACAAAGTGGCGCAAGCGAGATGCAAATGTGATGACGTCAAAAAGTGCACCAGTTCCTTTCAAAAGAAATACAAAATAACAAAAAATGTGTCTTCACCGCCATTTGTTTTCTACGATGAAGTAGCATCTTCGCAAATCGGAAGAAAACCTCAAAATAGATATCGAGTTCCTTAACCAAATCTGAAAACTGGCATGGCAGAGATCGATGCGCCGAAATCCGTTGTATACCCAGCTTTATTTTAACATAAGTAGAAGCTTTGTTCTTAGATGAAGAAAAATTGATACAATAAAATAACGACTTTGTACAAGAAATAATGTTTACTACGACGTTTTGAGCATAACTCTTCATCAGGCGAATGGAAAGTCTTATTCTTGAATGTTAACATTGAGTTCCTCCTAGTGGCTTATTCCCTCTGTAATCCACGTGATTTTAGCAACGTGATTAAACGGAATGAAAGCCCGCAGCAGCAGACAAGAACACGATAGTTACATTAGTGTTACAAGCATAAAAAACATTTGTAAAAGTAAGAACAAGATTTAATCTTTTTAGTTTCAGTAATAACACTGAAAAAGTTGACAGGTATAAAATTAGTATGCTAGGTCATGTAATGCCTTATTTTGCATTGCAACAAATGCTCATTTTCAGCATAGTCAATAGAAAAACTTTTTTCCATTGATTATGCTTTCAGTCACGTCAGCAAACAAAAGATTATCTTTCGCGGGCAAATTATCTCCTAAAAAATTGACGACGTCTCTTAATATCGAAGCATGCTCGAAGGAATGCATATTTCCTCCTTTATTAAGCAGAAGATAATAACAACTTTTTCTATTTAAAACTAATGTTGGAGAAGCCGAAAAGCCATTGAAGTAGTAAAAAGGGTGTGTAGATAATGGCGTTTTGTTACCGGTAACGTAAGATCGCGTGATTAGTTAGTTAGGGAGTGAGAGTTTTGAGAGTTGCACGCGTTTGAGGAGAAAAAAATTCTAGTTAAGCTTCAGCCATCGTTTAAAATCGTTATAGTTGGAAACGGAATCTTGGCAGATCATCCAGATTGTGTTTGAGATTGTGGCCTTTCAAGCCGTTTAATTGCACGAACATCTTGAACACAATAATTGGCGAGTCAGAGTGACTTAGGCCAGCATTTTACTCACAGGGTGAACAGAGTCACCTTTACTTTGGATAAAGTCACGAGGTCTGAAAACTCTCCGTCTTGAACAGAAATAAAAATAAAACTCATTCACTAAGCCTAAAGACCTAGAACACTTACTCAAATCTGCCGTAATCTTTCTTCTCTGTGTATCCAGTGACGTAAACAATTGCAAAAATGAAAACAATGAGTTCGATTAGGTTTTCGGATGACGAAAAATAAGACAGCTTTCTGCTTATCACTTGAATAACCTGCAAAAAATCGAATATCCACAATAGAAGCGACGAAAAAATAAGTTATAGAAATAACGGCTGATAGTTTATGTCTGCAGAAGCGGTGTAAATTATGTGGGAAGGGGGAGAGGAAAGGAAGGAAAGTAATCACATACTTTGTTGTGACTCGGGGAATCTATCTCATAATATCGGCTAATTTGATCCGTCTCGAAGACAAAAAGGCGCTCATTTAACGCTCATTTATCCAATTCTTCATCATTCGAAAAGCTCAATTTTCACTAATAGCTTAAGATGAAGATTTTTGTTTTAATATCTAAAAATATCCTTACAATAAAGTCTTTAATTTTTAAAAAAATAGCTTGTTTGGTAACTAGACATCAGAATTTTAAATTGTTCTCAGAAGCTTTCTATCTCGTATAACTTGCTATGACATTTGAATTTTGTTAATCTGTGCACAAATATAAACTTTCTCAGTCGTTGTGGTGAGATAAACAAAGAAAGAAACTGTAATGAAAACTAGCTGGGTATTTGGAAAAGCCTCTATTTCAACCACTTCCTGTCACTAAGGAGAGGTTAGAAAGCCAGTAGTGTTCATTCTTCTTATCCTTTCCTCCGCAGTTACAAAAGAGATTGAAAGCCGGCTACTCAAAACGAGATAGGGTAAGATAATAAAACAAAAAGGCGTTCTGACCTCTAATATCAACTGAAATCCTGCAAGCAAGACGACAATAATCACGCTGACACTGAGAATGGAATTCTTAACATCACTCTTTGCTAAACTGCTATTAGTCAACGTGGCGTTTGCTATTGTTTCGTCAATGAGAGAGGTTGAAACGATTGCATAGCTGGTTAAGAAGCACAAGAAAACACAGTAGAGAGCAAGCTTCGGATAGTAGATTGCCCGGCCAAAACTGCGCCATTTAGCGTGCAGCAAAGACCTCACCAGCGGATGCGCTAACAACTTCTCTTGCTCATGCTCCACCTAAATAGGAAAAGCATTTACTAGGGAAAGATATTTAGTCTCAGTAGTATGATAATATATCCTTAAAAAAGCATATTCTCCACTAGAAATAAAAATGAAAAATTGTTATCATAAACACGTTCATACAAAGATCAAAGTTAGAAACATTGCTATCTCAAACCAATCTTCGCTTACAAATTTCCGTATACATATTTTTCAAAATAAATAAATAAATATGATCCGGGCAGCCGAGAGCCAAACTGGTACCATACCAATGCTTGGGCACTTTCCTACCGAAAGTAGAAAACTTAAATGGGATCAATATGGATTTAGAATGCATAGAATTTTCTTTATTAACTTTTGATTCATATTCGTAAAGCATTGTGAACTTTCCAAGCACAGATACGATTTGTAATTACTATGTTATTAAGAGTCACATTATAAATAGAGACATTTGATTACCAGCGTGCCAGGGAAAATTTACCACCTCTCAGAGGATCTGAAAACGATGTCACTCAGGAATTGGCATAATTTTATTTAGAATAAAAAACGAAATCTCTAGCATCAGCAACAAAAATTAAAACTTTGACACATCTGTGAGATTAATATCCAAGTCCCTGCTGAGGAGCAAGCACCCCCTCGTTCGCTCAAAGTATACGTACGCGATTTCACGGCAAAGATATGAATATTGAGGCTAAAGAGCGGGGTTGGGGGATGCAAAACCCAGCATTGAGTACCAAAGCACGTACCATAATAGAAAGAGGGTGATTCTTTTTCTTATCTAACTCTTTCTCGAACGTTTTTGCTTTTCCATCTTTAATAAGCAACTGCACCAAAGTGTAGGCATCACCAATATTTTCCAACATGTCCATTTCCATATTCCAGTTCGCGTAAGTATCGTCAAGAAACTCATAGTACAACGTAACTACACAAGCGCCTTCTTCTTTCCCAACTTTGATGCACTTGTTAAACACCTCCAGTGCCACACCTATTGAAAAACAGTAGTCTAGCATATACAATCCTAGGCTGTTTTTGGTAAGATTATATGATATTCGAAGCATAATTCTAAGGGCCTGATTACATGAGGCGGGTTGGCTCGGGGCTGGCTCGTTTACAACCCGGCGCCAGCTCGGTATTATATGGTAAATGTAAAAATGGGTCAGCTCGGTGCTAACCCGGTTTTAACCCGCGAAAAAAGTAAAGATGGCGGATGCATACAGCAACCAACTACAGTGTTTGCAGCAACAAATGTTTGTTTTGTTGGCAACTGCTCTGCAGTTATCGACTAAACTTTTTACGATATGTATGCACAGGCAAAACACGCTAAAAATATAATTGGTATGTTGGTTTCCAACGACAATAGTATTAGAAAGCGGCTGATTTCCAGACAACAGCGAAAGAATTAGAAAATGTCGCACTGATAAGTGGTGGGTTGATATGATGTTAGCTGTTGGTCCAGTAGAAGATTTATAGAAAAATTCTTTTCTTTAAACTCCATTGTAGTTGTATACTGTCCAATACGTTTTAGTAAGTCTTCTACAAATTCAACAGTCAAATTTATTTGCATTGTCGACGTCACTTTTATTGTTACTTTCAGCCATTGTACCAGAAATCTGGCCTAGCTACCACTATGTGTTTTCAAGCTTTTATGCCATTGCGCACGCGCCAACCCGTTCTTGTCCCGGGTCAAGCCATTATATGAGCGAGTCAGCTCGCCTCAAGCGGGTTGACCCGTTTTATGAAAACGAGCCAGCTCGGCAAGCGAGCCAAACCGTTTTTAACTCGTCTTTAGCTCGCTTCATGTAACAGCAATTTGTCTTTATAAAGGATTTGATCAAAGGACTAGGACTGCTCACTGAGCCGTAAACGAGCTACAAGCGGGTCAACTCGCCCATATAATCAGGCCCTTACTTGGTTTTCCCTAAAGTCGGCTATAAACAGTCTTTAGATCCTCGCCGCATGTCAACTGTAGCAACGTAAGAGAAAATATCCCTATATGAACGTAGAACGTAACCATAGTTCTAGAAAAACTCCAATAAATACTTAAAAAAGTACAAGAAATAGTACAAGAAATAGTAAGAAATAAAAGCTGAAGGGTTGCATTGTGTACAAAGAAATGTCATTATTTTTATTATTATTATATTTTTATAATCTTGGACCAATCCAGAGAGAAAAAGTGCAATGTTTATGAATTCTGAATTCACTAGGAATAAATAGCAAGCTCTCTTTTCCCAAATAACGGTAGTGTTAAATTTTGTATTGTTGTATGTTAACTATAATAGAGCAATACAAAGCATGGAAACTGAACGTTAAGCGCCTACTAGGCAGCTTTTCGATCATCCTCCTCATTGGTGTGGTGATCCTGCCTCCTTCTGGGGTGCGATGCCTCATTGCCGTTCGCCATTCACTATGTCCCAAAATTGCCAATGCAGCGTCCCTGAAAGCGAGGTTAACACTGATGAGAATTACGCTATTGATCAAATCTAATTCCTATGATCGCTTGGGTGTTAAAAAAAGATGAAACTTTTGTTATGAGAGCCAACTTTTGATGTGTATGTGAAATGCTTTGGAAAAGACAATATCCCTTCATTTTTTCTGCTAAAATATGCAATTAATTAGGATACATGAATTAAGTGAAGAGATATTTTTTGAAATAACTTCCCAGCCAAAAATCATGAAATTTGACTAGAAATATAAATAGGTTCAATTTTTCATCTTGTTTTCATCTTGGCGGAGTTTTAGAAACCAAATGGACATTATCTGGCAGTATAAGAAAACTTTCGTTCCTCAAAAGAGCTATTTCTTCCCCCATTACAATGATGATAAATTTTGAGATTCTGCATCTGCCTCCAAAAATCTGTCCTCTCAACAAATATCTCGTTATATCTTCCTTCAAATAGCCCGTGTTATAAGAAATAGAATATTCCCTATTAAGAATTATTTGAGAATGATTCGTACTTATGGCCATTATCCACGGCAATGTCAAGACAGTTTTTCCCTTCTGCATTTAATAATGCAATGTTTGCTCCATACTCTAACAGCAATTTGGTCATTTCGACGTAGCCACCCTGACACGCCAAATGAACGGGCGTTACTTTTGCTCTGTCAATCGGATCGACTTCTGCGCCTCGGTCTAGCAGAGTACGTGCCGCAGCAACGTGGCCATTGGCCGCTGCGCAGTCGAGAGGAGTCCACAGGTCAGCATTCCGGACAACTACAACAGCACCAAAGTCTATCAATGTGTCAACCACCATAGCATGACCTCTCTTCGAGGCAAGATGCAAAGGAGTGTTGCAAGAGTCATCCTCATCGCTCACCATTGCTGATTTCTTCTGAAGAAGCTGTCGAACAATACTAGACAAAGCAAAGACAATTTTGCTAAAACGATTGTCGTAGAAATTGAAATTAGATAGCAAAAAAGTTGATAGCCGGCTCTGGCTAAAGACAAATATAACTGCTTTAAAAGTTGTGACTATAATACATATGCGAAGCATGACTTCAAGGTTATATTGTGACTATAAACATATCAAATGTGCTTCGGAAGTTATTGCATGAGCAGAGCATAAATATGGATGGAAATTGGTCTGATACTTTTTCCATATACAGGCAGTGGAATAGCCGCAAACCTACTTCAAATAGATATTATAAACAGGGCCGCACTTCGCACTGGGCCACCGGGGGTCCACAAACAAAAGGGGCTACATCATAATATATGGGGCTACATCAAAGTTCTTTGGCTACATCAATTTTATCGTTAGCAACGCGTGCATGCGCAGTTGGAAACTGTTCAACATTTCTAGTCAAAATAGAATTAAATACCAAATTCAGCAAAATAGAAAAAATTTTATTTGATACCTGACATGTCCAGATTCGGCGCTGAGGTGGAGTGCTGTACGCCCTTCATCATCAACAGCATCAAGCTTCGCACCTTTCTCGGACAGCATACGAACAATGCCATTATAACCTTTCATGGCGGCAACGTGCAGAGGAGTGCTGTCGTATCGATCACCCACGTTGATGATCTCGGGTGAATATGGACAATTCAATAATACCTGTATATAAATGCAGTGACGAATAAACAAAATGTAGCTACGATTTGTTCGCAATTCATCAAGTGTTACAACTGCCGTAATCTCTCTAATGTGCACCGGGGGCGCTCATTTAATTTGTTGTCTCAGAGAGGGGGCGGTCATTCGAGAGGGGCGCTCACTAGAGAGGGATGCTCATAAGAGAAGGGCGCTCATTAGAGAGGGGTGCTCATTAGAGGAGGCGCTCATTGGAGAGGGGGGCTTATTGAAAATAGAAAGAAATCCCCCAATTAAAAAACTTCGTTTGAAAATTCAAACGATCATTGTTTATACAAAAATTAATATTCCAGTTGCATCACACACGATGTCAATTTCTTCCGAGTCTATTTGCATAGATACTGGTGTAGCATCCTGAATATCAAAATTTTCAATACCACCGAATGAATTTTCATCTATTTCTGTCAGTATTTGAAGACAACTTTCCCAATTGAAACGGCATAGGTTTTCTTAAACGGCTAGGTTCGGCATTTGTTTAGCTGAAGATTGACTATTGTGATGATTTGCTGGTCTCTATCTGTTTTAATAACATTGGGGGGGGGGCGCTCATTGGAGAGAGGCGCTCATTAGAGAGAATACTCTATGTTATCTACCTGCAATGTACATACCCAAAGCACTTGGAAACTTAAACAGTTGCAGTACATTATTCACCTATTTTCAATCCAGCCATAAAGAAATGTTGCCCCCTTTATCCAACGGGAAATACACCTCAAACAAACAGGTTACATAATTGTGTAACATAATTTTTTAAAAGACAGGTTGATTTAGAATAGCTTATTTCTATGGAGAATAATTTAACAAGCTTGAAATGGGTAAAGAACTGCCAATGTGAGTGACAAGCATGCTTTTGGTGTTCCTTGATTTATGGCAGCCATTATTAGTAACTATAAAAAAGATGTGGAAAGAAGAAGTAAGATTCTTGAAATAAACTGCAAGTATTTCCTGCTTCTTCAGCTAAATGGAGTACTGAGCAGAAATTTAACTTGGCTACAATCCTGGAGTTCCATAATATAAGGACACATTATGCTGCATTTTGCTAAATTGATCAGAGTGAGGGTTTGGTTAGCAATGAAGACATTGTTGAGGCTGGTTCTGATAAAGACTTGGTACGTAAATGAAGGAGAGACAAGATAGACAAATATTCATGTTCTGAAAACGTTGGCAGCAAAGGAAGAAAAAGTTAGATATCCAAGTGTTGTCAAATTACACAGGCTGGGTGATTATGTGCCACCAATATGTACAAATACTTGAGGAGAAGTAAGGAATCACACATGGATAAGCATGTGCAGTCTTGCAGTGCAGATCACTTGAAAGGTTTGCTACAACCATTATTGATAGAGGTTGGTACGACATTCGATAGCTAGATAAGCATGGAAAACAACGCAATTTACCGGAAAATTGGTGAGGATATGTTTGTAGGGTTCAATGGTGCTAAACGTACCACTTTCAGTGCCTGGTCTTGGCATTCCCATGAAATTGCTTTTCAGCAAAAGCAGTACTCGAAGGCTAATGGAATTAATCCTGGATTTTCAAGAGGATCCAAACATCTCCAGGTATATATCCCATGGAAGCCATTCAGAAAAGCTTGGTTTCGTCATCAGAAGATGAATGATGCATGGAATGACTGCAAGACAATATCTCTCAAAACCGATAGGTTGGTTGATCGAATTCAACTCCACAACAACGAGGGCATGGCAAGACCCATACAGAATTAAAGTGTTTTTGGAATCTACCCGAAAATTAGGCACTGCCTTAGAGACTCAAAGCACGCTGGAAGTCCCACTCATGCATGTTTAACAGCAAAAAAGTAAGTGATTCTAAGCCATATGCTATAAACGATAAAGTTAATACAGTGATACATACACGAAGTGACTCTACAGAATTTTCCTCCGCCGCCAAAAACATGGCTGTTTTCTCAGATACATCCCCGACATCGATTCTTGCTCCAACCTCTTCGATAAGACACTGTGCAATTTTCGAATTGTCTTTTTGAACTGCAAGCATTAACGGAGTCAGCCCATTTTCATTCATAGCATTAACACTGGCACCCCTGACAAAAAAAATATATAATGTAGCGAAAAATTATCTACTCAGTTGATAGCGTTGTTAATTTCCACAATTTCCCCCAGCTTTACATTGTTACAATGCGCCATACTTCCTCAGCCCCTCTCGCTTCTCAGACCATATCTTTCCATCTCCATTATATCACAATACAGGGCCCAAGCCACGAATTTCAAGACAAAGTTCTATAAGTCGAACTTGAATTTAGTGCTTCAGAATAGGACCTCTTTGGAAATATTTTTGGTTACCAAAAAAGTGGGGGGGGGGGGGAAGGTATGGCATTACATCATCATTACATCACCCTCACAAATCCTTCGTCTATAACGGTATAAATAAGGGTAGAGTAGGTTAGTAAAATAATTAGTATCGAAGCAGACAGAACTTGATATTTCTCTACGTGTCTTCAAGAGCAAAAAAATGGGTGATATCGTTTTCATTTATTTATTTTGTTAATATTTTGCGACTGAGTACAGATCTACGATCCATTAAAATAACAAAGATGTGATTCATAAGAACGATGTCGGTGCTGACTTTGGCGAATGGATCTAAAATGGGTGGAAATATTATTAAAAGAGAAAACGTCACTGGTTGAAAACAACCACAACACATGTTTTGCTATGATGGTATCAGAACTTTTTGATATTCATCGCCTCCATTGCTTTGATATAAGGATGACGAGGGTTTGATGTATCATCGCTTTGATGTTCTCACTTTGAGATTAATTTTAACCACTTGTAAAAAATTGGCGATGAGTACGGCAATGACTTTTTATCGCGCATTGGAAACCAGGCTTTAGACACCCTGTAGTCTAACCCTTACCAAAAGAGGGTAGGATGTTTCGGCAGGTATAACGGTTTTCCATTTGAAGAATGGAGCACCCGGCCAGGGACCGCAAAAAGGGGGCTGAGGGGGCCTTAGCTCCCGCAATAATTCCTAAAATGTACTTAAAACCATTCAAAAAGTCGACTTGCTCTTGGTTTTTAGCATGTTTAATATGTTACGCAATCCTTGTACCCAGCTAAGAAAAAAAATACAGCAATGATGAGTTCTCAAAAGCAAAGCCATTTAGTAATATGACATTACAATGATTTTTTGCTGAACAGATAGTCTATATGTTAAAAAAAATATTTGCAAACATACTTTTCAATCAACATTGACACAACATCCTCCCTGTTCATCATAGAAGCTCCATGCAATGGTGTGTCTCCTTGGCTACTTCTGGCTTCTATGTAAGCATGCTTCTCAAGAAGCAGACTGACAACATTGCAGTTTCCATTCAAAGATGCTAAATGCAGTGGTGTCATTGACCCTTGGCGATCATCATTGACTCTGCCACCTTTTTCCAAAAGCAGCTCACAAATGGAATAGTAACCATTTACAACAGCAAGGTGCAGGGCAGTTTGGTTATTGTAATCCATATCTGTTACTAGAGCACTGAGATCAATGAATCCAGATAACGTCTCACACAGCCCAATAATTCTCTTTAAAAGCTGCAAAAGATATACAACAATTAACTGGGCAGTTACAAGCCAGATAATCTGTACTGGGAAAATTAAATAAATCTTTATAAGCATGAATTATGATTAACCAAAGAAAATTTCAAGAATCCATACTAAAAGCAGATATGATATGTAATTGCTATTATATCCAGAGTCAAAGTTTTAGTTTAATTACCAGCATATCCCTGTTTGCTTACAGGTCCAGGAGCAATTGCCCCCTTGCCCCGCCAGATGGCCTGAAAATTAAATCTAGTAAATAAGTAAAAAAAAGTTGAGTCTCAGACTAGTACACATAAAAATGTATTTATGTTGTTTTGCAAAAATGGATTTGAAGTTATGGGGGTGTTGTATATAGTTTATTTTCGTGCACAAGGTAAATTTGATAAACACTTTGCATTCTAGAAAGACTCATATCCTGGAACAATAGAACTTTCCAAATAAGCCAAATATAGCATTTATCGTGATAGCAGATATTTGATAGCATTTGATTAAGACATCATTCTTCAAAGGGTCATTTGTACTGATGATGTCATGCAGTGGCGTGGTGGCAGGGGAGGGGCCAGGGGGGGCCATGGCCCCCCTGAATAGGGGCGCAAATGGAGTTAAGGGGGCGCCAAAATTGTTTGCTTGTAATATTTGGCTAGAAACATCAAAAGTGATCATACACGGATAGAACACTTCGCTATAACTTGCTGTGAACAATCTAAAATAACGCAAGATTCTATAATCGAAGCACGTTGCGCTGCCATGACCCAATCAACATTTGTGGCATATGTTTTTGTGTTAACTATGTATGTGGCTTCATGTTTAGCACGCCAACTAACGAAGATTTCACGTATGCCAAAAATGTTTTCTATTAGTTTGTACTCGGAACGCCAAAAAGCCTGAGTGAACGCCACAGATCTTCGGGACTAAGTACATGGAATGTACCCTGACAATCAATACAGCAGCTTCTTGTTACTAACATCGATGTGAACCAAAGGTCACCCTTCTTTCTTTTTCCAACGCATGAATCCTCCCCTCCCAAATTTTTTCTAAAAATCAAAAATCAATGTTTTTCTGAGCATCGTCGAACTGTCTATTCTGAGCGGTGTAGTGATTTGTTAAATTTTATTCTGGGAGATGCATTTTTAGCCATTCTAGAAGGCTTGATTTCAAAAAATTTCTTTCGCGTCGGACCCAACCATGGTGGGTCCTCCTTTGTCACTAAACTTAATCCTTAGCCCAACCCCAGATTCAATTTTGTGGCCAACACCAATGTCCGATTAGATAGTGCGATTCAACGCCCCAAAACTTTCAAGTTGTTGAAAAAACTACTATTTAATAACTACTAAAGAATAACAAACTTGAACCATGTTTGTATATCATACATCATATATGCGATGACACGCTTATAAGCCAATTCAAAATAGCTTGATATTTTACCGAACCACGATCGAGAAGGTCAAATGTTAGGATTACATAACTTTTCCATTCATATTCGCATTTTTAGTCAAACTTTATTTATGAAATTTTGCATTCAAATTGCAAAAATCTATTTCCCTTCTAGAAACACATGCTTTATATAACCACGATATTCTGTGACGATATATAGATAGGGCGACTTGGCCACCCCAGGGAAAACATAGCCACCCCGCCACTGATGTCATGCTTACATAAACCCAGACAGAAAAAGTTTCTACCTGCTCCATCTAGCCATTAGTTTCTTTAAATATATGCCACTGAAATCATTTTTCATATGAAATAAAATGAAAAATATTGATAGCAAAACTCTAAGGAGATTTTTGGTGAGATTTTTGTCACATTGCTGGCGCACTTAGTTTGTTAACAGACCGATTTAACAAAAGTGCTGTTGAAAGTTATGGCTGTTACCTCAAGGTGTCCAGACATAACTGCATAATGGAAAGGGGTCAGACCCTCATCATCACGTCTTAGTAAATCTGCCTTGGCTAATAGTAACAGATTAACAACTGGAATCGAGCCAAGACTACAGGCACAGTGGAGTGGAGTGGCCTTTGATTTGTCTTCAGCCTGAAAGCAAGCAGAAGTAGATTGAGTGCAAAGTTTCAGTAAAAGATTGACTGTAAACTCTCCCTAAACTCAAACAACACTAAATCTTACAACAAAAAATATAACATGTCTATGGAGTTGCAACATACTATGTCTATGGAGTTGCAACGTTGTACAAACTTTGAAAAGATTACCATAAGAATTAAAAAGTTATTTAATAAAACCTTTCATGAATAAAAAAGACTTTCCAAACAAGCTGCTGATGACAATTGCTCTAAAGACAAGCTAAAATGCAAACAACTTAGTAGTTTTGGTTATCTCTCAACAATCTTATTACATCACATTTGAATTGTTTTAAAATTTAATTGTGAAATTCTGAATCCAAAAAATGTTTATTCCTAAGATATAGTCATGATCATGTTAGAGCATAATATAGGAAAGTAGCAGCTGTTATTCCACAAATATTGAAACTCAATAAACAAAAGGCTCGGCTAGAAAAAAGTAATTAAAAGGTATAAAGAACATACATCCAATTTAATGCCTTTGGTATTGATCAGTAACTCAACTGCATCAGCATTGCCTTTTGACGCAGCATAATGCAATGGTGTTTGCAGATAAGAATCTCTGGCATTACAGTCAGCTCCATTTTCAAGCAACCTCTTTAAAATTGAAGCAGGATGACTTCCCTCCCTAAGGAGTATTGTTTCCAAAGAGTCTTCACCTAGGAATTGAAAAGAATGTTTAAACTTTTACCAAAATAGATTTGTCTTGCTTAGTGAGCTAATCCAACTTGTCAAATTCTGACATTAACATAGTGACATAGATGAAAATATTACCAAAAAAGATAATATCAGGTGATTTACTTTTTTTTCAGTAAAGAATGTGATATGATAAGGACCAAAGAGGATGTCTGTGCTGTGGTGAATGTGAAACAATGAATGGATAAAAATTTCATATAGACCTAAGCAGAATTTCTGTGGTTTCAATTCATTTCCTATGTTCTAATGGTTTAATCTTTTGAATGAAACAGTTGTAAGCATTGAGATTTTTTTTTCAATATCTTCCTCAAAAATACATATACATACATTTGTTTAAGCTGTATTTATTTTAAATTATGGCCAAACTTTATGTAATCATGTAGCCATTCGTAAAGCATCTACTTATTGATCATGCAAATACCCACTACTAATATGCCTGTACAGTGCTTTCACATGTCTTGCTGCTAGGTGTATTGGCTGAATGCCCTTGTCAGCAACAACATTAAGGTCTGCAAGAGAAAATTATGAAAATTGGAGCAGGGCCACTTTGTCATCCAGTTATCAAAAATACCTTATTTGTAACAATGCAAAATACAATTTTAACAATGAGTTGAATTTCTGAGAACAATTGTTGAGGAAAGAAGAAAAACACAAAAAAGCCTTAACCCAGTTACCAACAGTTAAACCTAATCCTAACCAAGTCTTGAACATTTGTCCTCTTTAAGCATACTTCTGTTATAAGATATTTACAAATGTTGGAAGGTCCAAGCACCACTTGTTTATATCTTATATTTGGACACAAGACAACCAGGAACTAAAACTTCTAAATCAGATTCTAGCAAATATTATCTTTTGAAGAAATGTTTGACTGAATACAGGATATTGTGGGCGATTTGTTTACAAACTTAGATATTCTAAGATCATAATGAAACTTGACAATACTATGATTGCTGGAGAACAATAAGGAGAAAAGTGATTTGTCATTGAAAATTTTCTAAAATTGTCAGCATGAGGGCTGCAAGATGCAGATGCTACGCGTGTGGAGGGGTTTGAATCTAGCTAGAATATAATAGCTTCATTGAAAACATAAACCTGGTCCAAATGGACCCTGAATGTGATGCACTTTAGGGGGTGATGCACAAATGGACCCTGAATGTGATGCACTGCCTGATTAGGGGGGGGGGTGCTCTCCCACCCCCTACATCTCCTATGCCTGTCCCCAAGAACAATAGTAGCTATGGCCCTGGATAGGGATATCTGCTTAACAAAGCACAAATCCTTATTGTTAATTATGCATAACCTTTCTCTAAAACGATAATCATTCAACTCCTGCTGACAAATTGTAATTTACAGTATTGACATGTAAATAGGAGCCACACCTGCTCCACTCTCAATCAGGTATTGAGTGACCATCTCGTGTCCATAACGAACTGCATAATGGATTGCTGTATATCCATCCTTATCCTTCTTATCCAATTTGATCTTTAAAGAGCCATTTCCTGCCTGCAGTTTGCCGATATTTTGAACTATTTCCTTTATTTTCTTTAGATCTCCATCTCTTGAAGCCTGTCATGTAGTAATAATTAAAAAAGTAATCAGATTGTTTATATTGTGTCAGATTTGTTATTAACTACGGTATAATTGATTTTTATTATCAAAACTTAGTTTGTCCACGCTTCTGAAAATTATTTTATCGTAAGAAAATTATCATTTTCATGTAGCGATATCAATACAGAGTAGAAATACTAAAAGCAATATTTATGCAACAACAGACGCAGGACGTTTTTATTACAATTTCAACATTACTATAAAATACTATATTTCGTGCACACCTTATGCAACGAATCTCTTCCCCCGCTGGGCATCTCAGATGACGAACGACATCCAAACAAATTTTTAGGATATATGGGATGGTGTACTGGTGGTAATTCCAGAGAAGCTTGCTGCACGGTTCCTAAATTAGACCCTTTCCACCTGTTATACAGAACAATGTCGTCTAGGCCATCTCCATCTACACTCCAGTTTAGTGGAACTTGAGAAGCCGAGCTCCACGCCATTTTGCTACGGCCGGTAGTACTATCAACGATCGAAATCTGAGCTGTATCTCCATACTTTCGTTTTAGTGGTCACTTTTCCTTCTTGTAATTTGAAACGCGAATATTTTCTTCTTGTAATTTGATCTGCGAATATTTTGGCCTAATTGACGTGTAGCCAGTGGAGATTCACTTCCTTAGCAACAGCGCAAAACGGTGACCTCGAGGGGAATATGAGGTTACTTTGAAGGCAGTGTGTAATAGAGCTAAAATAATGCCAGCCAAAGTATAGATTTATTTGCCAATTACACTTTGTTTTGTTTACGTAGCTATTTTGTATATTATGTAGATTCTTAGGAAATCCCCCTTGTGTCTTGAATGTTCTGTCTTCGCTTGCACAGCATCCATTCTATTGTTGTAGGATTACCCCCTCATTAGGGTTACATCATGTTGTGTAGTCATTAGTTTATTTTAGGTAACATTTTATGCTTAGTTATGCTTTTCTGGTAATTTCCTTGTACATATAAATATACGTTCTTAGTTTAGAGAGATTCGGAGAGAGATTCAGAGGGTACAGGCGTGAAAGGCTAAACATTAGAATGAAGCTAACCGTATCGCCCAAGAGACTTGTGAAAGCTCTTGCGGCCCAATTTGTATTTAGGACAGGCAGTGCTTGAGAAAGACTGCGCTGTACCTCGTTAGCTGTAAAATATTTTGGGATATTGCTATAAGTATTAGAGTTCGTGGAGAACTGTCGTTGATTATGTGAGCAGTTTGATTAAAGCTTAGCCTTGGATTGTATCATGATGGAAATGGGAAGAAAAGTAAAGACGCTCGCACAAATCGTCATTCTCAAACGTTTCAGTCTTGGCAGTATACCTCTCAATTTAAACATCCGATTTACATTCGAATAAGCCCCTACCTAAAAATCATTGTTGCAAGTAAGCCCATCCCCCCCCCCCCTCGAATAAGTCCCAATGGGATTTTTGTGATGATAAAAAATCATAATATTTGTTAGATCTTGACACTTTTTGTAATTTTTTCAATTTATTTCATTGAGAAAACTATGTCGTTCTTATGTTAATCTATGAGGAAAATACTAGACTTTTAAATAAGCCCCCCCTCTTCGAATAAGGCCCCTCGAAAAAGCCCCCATCTAAAAATTCATTTTTGCAAATAAGCCCCGAGGGCTTATTAGAGGATTTACGGTAGATGGAGCCATATCAGCAATTTTTTTGTGCTCTCAATTTCAAGGAACTGCCCGAAAATCTTTCATTCAAAGACGGTGCGGAAATGGTTCTTCCCAAAGATTAGGCACCTCTTTTCTGTTTAATTAACAAAGATAAATAAAAAAGAAGAGCTTCTTGCGACTTATCAAGTGTTCTTTTTCATGTTAGCTCATGTTACGTTGTTGTGTTTTTTAAAAAGTAGTCTAGCGCGTGGTACTAAAGGAACTTTGAAGAAACTTTTAAGAAGCAAAATAAACGAAAAAATTTAAGCAGCTGGAGGCTTATCAGGAACTCAGCTTTTTGTTCTATACTGGAGCAATTCTGGTATTTTTCATCATGAAAAACTCACAATTTCAGAATGCTTCATTTTTTGCAAGTAGTATCTACGTGGTCAGAAGGTCGCTAACTATTTTTTCCACCAAGTTTTAGATGATGCTTTTGATGATGCTGGGTATTCATTCCAGCTATGATGTTATATTCTGACTCCAGTCATGAAACTTTCTCACAATTTTTTAATACCTATATGCGCAACAGAGGTCGAAGGTACTCTAAAATGTGGGCTACCTTCAGATATTGACGGTACATTCCAAAGTATTTGACAGTCATTATTTGAATTTTAGTTGTTAATGCACGGACGAAACACCAAGACGAGAGCTTCAAGGCATTGCGGCAGAAACTCGTTTCGAAGATGAAATAACACAATTAACAAAACTTTTCGCTCCAATCTCAAAATTTGGGAGGAAATAGGCCTCACGTTAACCACATTGAAATGTACTACATAAGTTCAATAAGGAGAATCAAAAACATTTTTCTGAAACAATTAATTGTTTATAATCTGATATTACAATGGTTCCTTCTTCAGCAGAAAACTAGAATCCTGCTAGCGATGGATGTTGTACAGATGCCGAAATACAGCATGGGATAGGAAAGGTCTCGAATTTTGCTAACGTGCCTTGTTGATTATGCAAACTTTGCGTTAGAGAAATCCATTTCTGGATGCTGTTCCATAAACCTGAAAAAAATAATCATTAAGTCAGAAAGTTAAGAATATTAGTACATATTAATGCAAGGTAAAAGATGTGAAAAGCTAAGGTTGCTATTTCAGGGGTTTTGTTGTTTTCACATGAAACGCAATACAATATAATGAAAAAAATTGATTTACAAAAAAAGAAGTAGCTAAATAGATAAAAATCATGGAGTTGAAAGGAACGATTGCGACATTCAGAGGCGATAGGACAGGAGAAATTGAGGGCATTCGACACAGGTAAAAATGGCTTACAGCCACCTGACCCCCAGCGGTTGACCAATTGAATAGCCCAAAGAGAGAAACACGTGTACATTTTCTACCTTTCTGCAAATCGGCGAAACCCTAGAGTGGTTTCACGTGAGTGTCGGATTCCTTTCAAACGTGCGGGCTCTGATCGAGTTATTTTTGGATTCGCTGTACTTATGCATGTCAAATGCCTTCAAATTAGTTTATAAACTAATTTTATATGACCAAAATTAGTATGAATACTTGTTGCACATTCCATATGACCAACGACAAGCAACTCTGGTTATTTGTTTGTAGGGGAACACTTACTTCTTCAACATATCTTGTTTCTTTTGTTCCTCAGATGTAGGTAAACCCATCTACAATGGAAAAAGGTCAAACACAAGTCAAGCAATTTCTTTGCGAGTGTGGAACAATTTTCTAAAGTTTTTTCTGTTAGGAAAAGGTCCATGGGGCCTATGGCAAAAGCCCTAAAAGGGGAAGAAAGGAGAGGGTAATAAGAAAGGGGGAGCTTAATCCCCCCATCGTCCCAACCCCACGTATAACCGCTAACGTTCGATTTAAATAGACATAGGTAAATAGCCTGCCTCTTTTTGCCGTTGGTCATACATCATCTTCTCAACCATACTTCGTGTTTCACCGTCCAAATCCGACAACTAAAATGAATTTAATGAAATTTTTCATTCAGATGTTTATACAACCAAAAAAGGCCAATGCAAGGTTTACATACATGAACACATCAAGAAAAACGTTTATTTTAATTTCCCTGTTTAATCTAATCTTGAAAATATGAAGAGCTTAGTTGGATTTTAGTAACCTTCCTCTGACCTGGAGATGACATGTTGTATATATTGCAAGGACAGATAAAGTTTTTACCCGCATAAGGAGGAGGCCCAGGGAGCAAGACGAGACCAAGGTGCTTTGAAGAGGAATCTTGATATTTGATTATTCAGAATATTTATGATCTAGTTGAATAAGTCCTTATAAGCTTTCAGTCTCATTCATACGTTCTGGAACATGTGTTTCTTAGCCTTTGCTCCAGACCCCTGACTTGAAAAAAGAGTTTTAAGTAAGTCGTCTTGAACAAAGGCCAGTGTTTCTAAGCAACGATATTATGCGGAAAGCATGTTTATCAGGTCGGTTTTTATTAGTTAAGGCATCCAGATGAGGAAAGTACGGCTTTCATTGACAATTTGACTATCTTTTATACAACACGTTCAGCATGTTTGTAAGATGGATTAAACTTGGATTAAACACAAAACACAATCCTTTCGGACTTAAGTATACAAACATAATAATCGTTACAATGTCATCTTCTAAGAATAATATCATTTGTTTTTGATTTAAAGTTGAAAATTAATCACAGCAAATCTGCATAAAGCTAATTCAAATAATTCGCTATTAGACCAGAAGTCAGCTGAGACCAGAGATAAGCCCGCAAACCAGGCGACATTCGATTGCGACTCATGCACAATTTGGGTCCATTCGATAAACATTACGTAAATATATACAGATTAAACACTGCAATGAAAATCTTGAACACTCTTTTGCCGCTCCCAGTTCTAATGAAATACACGAATCTTAAAAATAAAATTCGGGAAGGAATGTCTTTGTGTTGCATTTAAGTGCTAGAAATTCGTCTTACCGATTTACTTTGCATTAATGAATCAAAAACAATTAACAAAAAAGCCAAAGTTTAAAGAAAAAGATAGAATGAGTCGGGAGCTATTTTTGTTAGCTAATTTCTGCTTCAACATAAAGGAAATAATTCATGTTCGACTTAACTGTAATTCCTAATTTTGGACCTACAATGTTTAAGTCTTGCTTCCATATTTTACATTTCCTCTCTCGGATAACTTGATCCCATCCCCCTCTCTCCCGAGATATACTGTTAGTTCGTTCAGAAATATTAGACAAGCTACAAAATTACAATACAATGAAATTGAAAATTAACAACGTTGAACATTAAGGGGAATTTGTATACAGGGAATTTCTTAAAGAGGTTGCTCTCTAAATAGGTAGATTAATTTACTTGCTATATAGTTTAAAATGCAATCGAATGAAAGCGGGATAAACAAACCTTGGAGTTCTCTGGTTGTACTTTTTTAGTATTGATCTCTGGATCAGTCATAACAACTTTGTCCCACCATTCCATCTTGTTTATCTTAAGATGAATTAATCCAATTATAGAAAATATTGATCAAACACAAAGACGTTTTTGTATTTTGAAAAATCAAAGAAAAAGATCAACACAAATCGAGGATTAAGCAGCACAAATCGAGGTATTTTCTTAAGTTGTATTTCTTAACTGTCTAAATAAAAGATTAAAGTAATCAGTATTTGATAGCGATGCTGATAGGCAGCTTCTTTTTACTGACTCTAAATTGCTAAGCGGAACAGGATTTGTGAAAATATACTAGAAGAAATCGCAGCGAGTGACACGAGGGCTGAATATTACGGTGACTGGTTAGCTCAGTTGGTAGAGCAACGACCTGCAGTGTCCCTGGTCACGGGTTCGAGTCCTGCCCATGTCACATCACTCTCTTATATTTCTCTCAGTACAGTTCTAACATCCACTCACTGCAGACCGTGCTATCAATAACGTAAATAACATCATCAATCTCGGGCGGTCTTTAATTGATTAGCTTGTTGTTTCGGTAGCATAGAAAAACTGCATCTCCCTCAAAACAAACTATCTCATGTAGATTGTAAGCTTAAGCACTAAACCTAAACATCTATCTAAATCCCCTCCGTACTATACGATTCTACTTGTTCAAAAACCTATACCTTATATAATAAAGGTAGTCGATGGATACTTAAGTGGCTTAAGCGATCTGTCCATCGATATTAGCCAATCAGTAAGCGCTTGAGTGGTAACACGCTCATTGATTGGTCAATTGTTAATAGGCCAATTATTGATTGGCAGATGGCTTAAGCCAGTTAAGTTTTGTCGACGGCCTTTAATGTTATAGAAGCTGAGCTTCTCTGTCATTTTTCAGCTGCACGTGAGTGATAAGATTATGATAGTGGCAAGTAAAACTAATTTTTATAAAAACACCAGTTACAACAACAAAATCATTACCTTTTCAAGTGTGATGTGTATAACTTTTCCATCTTCGAGCACCCAAACACTGTCTTCCTGCTTTACCTGTTTTAAACCAAATAGGGTGAAAGAGAGCCACGCTAAATTTTATGACATTATATTTTGTGATGAACTGTTATATTTTAGTCTATATTTTGGTCAGGAACTGTTATATTTAGGGTTATCAGGTTCTTGTAACGGTAGATTAAAGGTTTTCTAAAAATAATTGTTAAGTAAATTAAAAACTTGTAACTTTGCATTGCAAATATTTTCTCAGCCTACCGAATATATTCAAAGACGTTAAAAAGTTCAGGCACACCAAAGCAAAATTTAAATCAAAACTCAAAATCATTTTGACCTTTTTGAAGAGTTCCCCATCCATTATTGCCTCGTGTCCTTTCAATCCAACTTTTATACCCTGAAGGAGGCAATAACAAAAGTGAAGCATGAAAAAAATGAAACGGAAAGGACATTTTTCCTATGGAATCTACAAATTGGTACTAGGAACCTAAGATTTATACATGACAATGATTCCCAGCAAGGAGTGTTTCCCGAATTCGTTTTATCCGAAAAAATCGAATTTTGTAAATCTCTGTATAGAAATTAAATCAGATCAAAAAACATTTGGAAAACACTTACATAAAAAGATAGCATAATTTGATTTGTACTCTGTTTGAGTGTCAGTTAATAGTGGCAGGCCAATCTGGTTTTCATTCGTTACCGAAAAATTCGTTCGATTATTTTATCTACTAGTGTGTTCCTTCTTAGACCAAAAATGACTTTAAGCGTATTCATCGCTTTTAAGAGTAACGTTGCTATGATTTGTATGTTTGTACCCAATATATTTGTCGAGTTTCAAGTTTGTCGAGTTCTCTTTTGAAAGCAACGAACCTCAAACTGAAGCTAACGTTGCAAGAAAAGTTAAAATTAAATATTGTGAAATATTAGCTAGCTCAACCTCGCTTCCTAAGCAAGTAAAATGAAAACAAAAGCACTATTGAATGCATTCTAACACGAAAGGATGCAAAAATCGGAAGCTAGAGAGGGCCTTAGGTTATTTTGATGGTCAGGCGAGACAATACTTCATATAAATCAGGAAGAATCGTCACGATTTGCTCACGTGACTTATATCCAGACAAAAAATGCAACTCACCTTTTGCTTGATGTCAACTATACAATCTCTAGATTTCACTCTGAAGTCAACTTTTAGCGGCACATAAATCTGTGGAAGAGATTGAACCAAATGACAAGGCAAAATATTTTCAAGACCAGCTTAAAAAAAGAAAATAATTCTTTTTGAAATATTTGTCAATCATTGTTGCAAGGATGGACTACTTTTTCACTAACTTTTCAAGACATGGATAAGCGCTTTTGCTTCAAAACCAAACCAATCATACTGAAACAGCTTTATCAATAACAGAAGGCCCAACAAGTAAAATGAGAAAGAAATTGTATTATTAAAAGAGTATACTTGTACTTAGCTATAAATAAAAAACTAACAAGAAATATATGTAGATCTCTAGATGAAAGCTAGAAATATTTACTAGAGACATGGCTCAAAAAGGATTAGGAAGCTTCGATCAAGTTACTTACGATCGTCTTTGAAAATAATTACAATATATATCCGTATACATATACTTACATCGACTTCGCCAAGTGTCTGTGAAAAGAGGGTTTATAAAATTATGAAAGGTCCACTCAGAAGAAATAGCATTTGCGTTAGAGATATAGAACAATAAATCTAGATTGTTTCTCTGCAGTGAGAGAAAAAGGGACTTTTCCATTCCACGATATGTTACCATCATTGCAATGAATTCATAACACGAATGTTGAAAGGAGGTGAAGATGAACGAACAACAGAGATGGAAGTTAAACAACATATGGGGTGACAAAACAGGTACTTTGAAAACCAACTAACGATTTATCTATATAAAGCGTTCGAAGAGTGTTGGTAAGGTATTTGATAGTAAAGTTAAGACGCTATGACAACGTTTTGTCATAGGAACGTGACATTAGAAAGAAAATTACGACAATGATATTTCATCTAGTTCAGTTCTACACAGCAGCGACACACTCACGAAATTTGAAAGCCTATCTACAAATATTAGCTGATTATAAATTAGCTACAAGAATAAAAAAGTGATGAAATCACAAAGTTATTGAAAATTATAACGTTAATTATCCTTGTTAAAGATTGACTATTTCGCTTCTTCTTCCAGTTTCTCTACACCTGACGACTGAACCGTTGTAAGTCTGTGCATAATCGTGTTTGGGCAGGTAGCTTGTTATTTAACTAAAATGCTTTGATTATATAGATTAAACTGCATATAGAATATATATCGTAGAGTACGAGCAAATGGTGTCCAGGTAAGGTATGATATCTATTGACATTTGGATGATTACCTGAATCCAACGATAGTTTGGTAAATCAGCACCATTCCCTTCATTTGGTTTCAGTTTTCCTTTAGAATCTTCATCCTCTTCATCGTCGTCTTTTATATCCTAAAAGAAAATACAATCATCCATTTTCATTAGTCAGCCATGCTTGCGAATGTGCTGAAGGTCTGTAGCTAAAGCCCTAACAATGGTAGGAAGAGAAATAATATGAAGAGAGGGAGGTGAAAACAATTTTTTTGATTATAAATTGAAGGTATGGAAAATGGGAATTAGTAGTACGAAGAAAGCTCTTACTGGTGATGGAAAGTTTTATTTCATTCAAAAGATAACCTCGATATGAAGTTCCGTTTGTAAGATATTTGAAACCTTCAATTGAAGATAATATAGTCATTTTATGAAGAAGTATTATCATTTTTATACAGTTTAATTATTCAATCATAATCTATAGCCACATTCTCCCTTCATTTTTGATATTCATTCTGTTGTTTCGTTCGTTACTAATTTCATAAATTCGTAACTTTATAACTTTCATGAGCTCCAATTTTCACTTCATTTTCAAACAATAAAACGCAGTGTCTTATCTATTTCTGGAGTATCTTTTTTCTATTTATTTTAGAGTAATATAATCTACTTCATTAATTGATGCAAAGATTTTGATTTTGACGACAATGAAGAGACATCGATAAAAGTAAATAATTATATCCATCAAATCATCCGTCGTATCTTTACACATAACCATCACAGGTAATCTTACTGAAAGATCGATTTTATGACGAAGATATATATTCTGGAACACCTTCCATTTAGCTACCTACTCCAGTGGGTTCCTTAAGAACATTTGGAAATAATTTGTCCAAAGGATGAACCTCAAGAATTGATGGCAGTGTTTCTCAATTATTGAAGCACATCACTTCAAATAGCATCGGTGGACAGACTTTCAAATAAAAGTTTGTCCTTTCTCCTAATTTTGTGCAACAACAATTTTTTTCCGAAAAGCAATGCTCCATTATTCGACGTGCCAGAGAATGTCAGGGTTTTGAACTGAAAATATCTTAGCTTTAGGTGCAAAATTAGGTAATAGCTGCTCTGTTTCAGCTTCTCTATCTCATTTTAAAATTTTGGGTATTTACACTATCAGATCATAATTGTTAAAGAAAGCAGCATCATAGCATTAGCATAGCATCCATAAAAAATGAATTCCAAACAGTTTATGAGAACATACCACCAATGGCGTGTCAGATTTCCCTTTATCATTTAACTCTTCAATTTTAGATTCTGCTTTCTTCTTTTTATCAATTTCAGTTTGAATCTTCTTCGCTTCGTCATCAGTAATTTCTTCGATTTTAGGACCTGCGTCTTTTCTTTCTTTTTCTTGTCTTCTGAGTTCTTCACGTTTCCTCATTTCCTGTTTTTCTCTTTCGTTTTCTTCTTTTTTCTTAAAGAGATCAAACATTCAGACATCAGGACAAAGCATGCTATAATCAATAATTTGAAAACATTCCTGTGCTACAATACACCAGCAAAAATAATGTACCTTCAAGAACATAAAATCGTAAGTAACACTGTTAGTGTTGTGTAGAATTAGACTTTTTTATTTGCTTAACTTTTCATTTATTAACACCTAGCTCCATAATGGCCCGAAATTCTCTAGAAGAAGATTACAATTTTCTTTGCTTAAAACGGTAGCAACGTCTTTGAATTCTTTCTTTCAATGGCTAAACCATCCTTCAATTATTTTAATGACCATTAATTTTCTTTATTTCATTTTCGTTTAAGCTCCTCTTCATCTCTTTCGCACAGGCCAAGCGGTGTAATGTTTGGTGCAATAACTGTTTCAAAGATTGGCACCTAAAACCTCTGATTGACAACAATGTAGGCCCTCGTGAAGCATTTGCCTTTTGCTGGGGAGAAAAACTACAGAATGTTTTTTAAATGAGGCAACTACCTGTCTTTGAGTAAAAGATAATTTGCAGTTCTATGCACAAGGGCCATGCCATTCGAATCTAAGACACTGGGTTGTCTCACTTATTTAAAGGTCTTCTTTTGTTCAAGTCCCCAACAGCCAGATTCTCTTTATACGAATTGGAGCAGCCCATCGATGCAATAAAACCTAATATTCTGCATCATTAATTAGTTCTTTGAGATATGGCAAGAAGTGCTGCTCAAACACAAGAAGGAGGAAAAAGAACCAAGCCAAAGTTGAAAAACTAAGTAGCTTTAAAGACAAAAGAAAAAGAGTTCAAAGGCATGATGACCTTTCACATTGTTTATTTTTTATTTTCTTTTACTTCAAGTTTTTTGATAGAATATAAAGTGGGAAAATTTTCACAGAGCTGGAATTCCATGCAGGTTTGATAAAACAAATTTGCACAAAGTGTGGCATGGTTTGGCCACATTTGGTCGTTATGCAGTATAAAGTTGAAAAATCATGTTGAAAGATAAAGCCTTTCTAAGCAAACACAGAGCAGCATTGCACAACAAGTGATGCAAGCTGTAGTAACCTGTGTAGGAAAACGATGTTTGCAATAATTTTGTTGTACTGATCTTGCATCGTCTGACAGGAAAAGTATTAAGCAATAATATAAAATTTCAGAAGGTATTGGTCATCAACCATTTGACCTTGGATTATCACAAAGGTTGTGCAAGATTATAAATCCAAATACATAAGCTAAGTTAAAATGACTCTGGTATAATGGATTTTGATCAAAATTCATATCAATTAAATATTTATCAGTTCCAAAGCAGCTTCTGTCTTCACTGGTGTACACGATCTTATCAACGTGCATATCAATGAGCTTAATTCATATTGAACAAAAATATTGTTTGAATGAGCTGTGTTTCCATTCATAAGATGACGATGACACTGTAAGAGCTAGTGACTGGCTTAACAACATTATTTCTCTAGCTCTCTCTTTGCGAAAATCAAGAAAATTTTAATTTATGGCACAATGGATTCAATGTTGGGCAAATGTTGGGTTAAATTTGGAAGTTTGTATATGAGGCACAATACTAAAGCAACTGCAAAAATATGGGAAATTGAAAAATATATAAATATGTTGACTTTAAATCAAAAAGCAGAGCCATACCTTCAAGGCCTTCTTTTCATATTCTTTGAATACATTCACAACTAGCTAAAAAGCAAATCATAACATACAAATTTATAAAATTTCTAAGGAATAAATATCTTTTGCTGCATATTAAAATTTGGAAAAGTCTGGAGACATCTTACTAATGTCATATAATAAGAATATATGTGTTTTCATTTTCATTTTGAGAACAAAAAGCCACTGACCATGATTCACTATGCTCTCAGAATTACCAAACAATAGATTCCTACTTCAGGGCATCTTCATACAACAACTAACACACAGTTTCAAGACAACTGAGATTTTATTAAGATGAACTCAGAGATATTACTTGTGCTTGGGTGTCTAAAAATGTTTATATCCCTGGCTGCTGTTAGAGGATAGTCTAAAAGTCTTGGTCGGAAAATGTTTACTGCTGCAATGGGCCTAATGGTGGAGGCCCCTTTTTTCCCAAAGTATCAGGTTTTTTTTGGTCGGTTCTAAACTATGAACTGAAGCCTAATGCCATCATGAAAACAATTCAAATTTAGATGACCATGTTGTTTACAATGCTGTTGTCATTACTTTTTCATTAGACCAGTGCAAAACTTTTCAAACTTTGCTGTATAAAAGAATCCTCAAAAGGCCATATTGCCGTTGAGAATGAAATATAGAACCCAGGAAGCAGCTCAGTGAGAGTTTTGACTAGCATAATCGAGTGGAACAACTAGAATTTCTAGACAGAGTGCTGTATCTGTGAACTGTTGAATAAAAAGGAGCTACAGTAAGATGGGATTCTTAGCACATTTTTCATCAAAAAATTCATGAAAAATTGTTGGCTTAAATATACATTGACAAAAACTGTTTATACCACCATAGTTTGCTTAAAAAAGATTTTGTAAATGGAAGTTTGATTATGCTGTTGGAAAAAAGTTTTAATATTGAAGCTGGTGTACCAGCAACCCTGTTATATGCTTAATATTTTCTGCCTAAAACTTAACACAAAAAGGCTTCCATTGGTGTAGCAACAGGGACATCAAGGAGACTAACCTGAACAACTGTCACACTACATCACATAGGAAAAGTATGAACTATAACAGTAAATATACCAAATGTAGACATATTGATAAGGGGTCTGCATATATGCGTAACAGAGCTCATTTTCTGGCTATGAAACTATTTTTGTCTTGAAGCATATTCATCAAATAAGCAGCTGCAGCAGCAGGTTTTCAAAATATTTCTATTAGAAGTTACTGCCGGATGACTGATCTCTATCTGCTGCCTTTGACTGAATACAAAAAGCAAACAGAAGTTACCGTAAATTATAGAATTAGCCCCTGGGGCCTTATTCACTTTGGATATTTTTGGATGGGAGCTTATTTGAGGGGGGGGGGGGCTTATAAAATTACTGTAGACATTAAGATCACGTTATTAAAAGACCATGTTTGTTTTAGTAAGAAATTTTTTATGAGCAATTAACTAATTACTACCAAAAGTATGAATTTGTTGTGGTAATTCAATAAAACGCCATAGCCGACCTCAGATGGCAAAAATCATCAAATGGAGGGGTCCAATTCGAGAATTTACAGTAGCAGTGGGGGCTTATTTGAGGGAGGCTTATTGAAATAAATATTGAAGATTATTGCTTATTGAAGAAATAATAGACTGTATCATACCTTTTCTGCAGAGCCTTTTTCAGCTCCTGTGTAAAAATCAGTTTTTCTTGCCAAGAAACCAAAAAATGTATGCAGCAGCTAGAACATAGAAACCATGAATAAGAAACTGTCAGAAATGAAAAGCTGGAGGGATAGGAAAGTTGTACCATGACAGATCCTATGTTCTTATCTCCCAAACTCTGTTCTATTTTTTCATAACTGAGCACTTAAAGAAAAGCCACTATATCAGCAGCCTTTGATATGGATATCATTCTGACAACTCTAAGTTCCTTTTGTATATTAAAGGCTCAGCAACTGGCACGCTTGGTCAATTTATTTTTGAAACCAGCCATAAATCAATAGCATGAAAATACAAAATATTCCCTCCCATAAAACTTCTAAAGCTTGGATACAACACAAGATAATCATACTGCTTTAAAAGATCATTGTTTCATCTCAGGTGATGGTAGAAAGCTAAAAAATATCATGATTCTTTTAAATGTGATACTCCTGTCCTGTCTTAGATCTTGCTTGCACGTATTAGGTACCAGACCAACATGGGCTGACACTAGAATTATATCTTTGGTTTGAGCAAATCTGTTTACATGACACTGCTACTCAAAATATGGCAGAGAGAAAATCATATAGTCAAATTTTTGCTTTAGTAACCATGCTTAAACCCCTTTGAAAAATTATTACAGCTCTAATTTTTGCTCTTTCAAGGATAATTTACCTATGAAGAAAATCTCAAATTTTCTGTAAGGCAGAAACTACAACTTCCTTATATTTGATTAACCATCATTATTTACATAACTGATTTTAACACTGAAGATTGACTTCAATCTAATAGTTTTTTATGAATTTTTTTCAGCAAACGACAAAAATACAAGAAAATGTGTTAACACTTTTTATAAATGTGTAAACCAATACCAACATGCAACCAACAGCAGCATTTCAATGTTAAAAACTGCCAGTCTTCCTTTTAGACATGAAGGTGTGGAGTGTTTTCCCTGACCACGAACAAATTATTGTCACTACTGCTAATTAATCACAAAACGTTTGAGTTTGTGCAAACTTCTGTGCTAGTTTTACTAGCTTAGCTATACAGAAAAAGTTGGGTCTCGACAAAAAAAGTGGAATTCGAGAGTAAGCACCTGTTGTATACCCCCTTCGTGTTGCTGTGCCATGGCTAGCAGCATTCCATCAAATGATTCTTCCTTAGAGCTCGCCATTATCTTGCTTTTACACAAATCCTTGCCTCTACAACTCTTGGAAGTCTCCTCACCCGACCAGTATCACATTGGAAAGGGTGCCGTTATAGAAAAGCCTCGTTTAAGATTTTTGCCTCTCTTTCGGTCAGTTTCTGAGAATCACAACAGTGAATTTAGTGAAGGAACCACTGATCTTTCTTTGGAACAGAAAATGTAAAAGCTAAAGTAAAAGTAAAAGATTAGAAGCCTTATCAAGAATGCATTCACTTGAATTTGTGAAATATGGAGGGGGGATGTAACCTATCATTTTACCGATAACCGAACTATCTACTGGGTGTGCCAATAGGCGTGGTTATACGAAAGGCAGAAAAGAAAAATATGAGCCTTAGACGTTACAGTATACTTTAAAATGTCTTTTTCTATGTGCTCTCCCGGAATATGACGCTAAATGCGTGCGTGTAAACATTCCAAACAAGGGAAGCTAAAAAGTCTGCCCAACTACACTGATAATCTTGAATTCACAATACTAGAATAATTTTCATTCTGTTGTTAAACGGTCAACAAATCATTTGCCAACTACTGAGTTCACTCAGTTATTCTAAAATGTAAAATGAAATTTTGAGCCAAAAGAAGAAATGAATACAGTAAGCAACGCCGATTTCTGGCAAATAAAGTGATCTTTCAAATTCCTATTTCACTTGATTTCGCACGTTTAAGCAATTTTAAGCATCGCTTTAAACATATCAAGGCTGAAATTTATTCTCTTGGCTAACATGTCAAATTATAGTTAATACTATAAGATATGATACAGCAAGTCTTTCACAAAAATTGTCTGTCCTAGCTAAGCAATATAACCTAGACTGCAGGAGTTTTGCAGGATATGCTTAATAGCGCGAAAAGCTATAGCAAAGGGCTATACTCAAAAATAGCCTTATATAGCTAAAACGTGCATTCTTTGACTGCACGCGAAGAATATCACCATGACAACATCTAAGTTGGCTGTTTACATCCCTAACAACGTTCTCGCTCATCCTCTTCTTCATGCAGTCTTTACATCACAGCTACTGACGAGGCCTTTTCCTAACTCTTCGATCAAAAGCTTGTTTGGTGCACTGCATACTACCTGAGAATCCATACCACGTTGTTCTTTAACTTTACATGTTAGTGACACCTAGTCTAGCACGAATGCTTTAAACGGAGCATTCATTTCAACATACTTTATGGCTCTCCCTCTTTAGACACATGTAGCCAGAGTCGAAACTCAATAAGAGAATACTTCTAGTGGTTACTTGTATGAGATCTATCACAGAATAACCAAAACACAACAAAACAGAATTATATACAAAGGTGGATATTACGTAATGTTCTTAAGGCGAATACCGGGGGTAGATGTAATGCAATAACTATACTCTCTAACATTTCCCCCTTCCTATAACTGAATAGCTGTCCATGGAATGTTCTCGGGAAAATGACGTGCTCTTCTTTCCCGCAAATTATATCGTCTGTAGGGTCGTTCATTGTCATCATGGAATTCCTCATTGTCCGTATCGGTAGTGTAGTCTTCGTCAGAACTGGTATACACCCTTTCTTCATCAGATTCAGAGTCATTTGTCTTTGATGCGAAACGATCCAGAATATCATCTTGACGAAAGGAACGATCATGAAACATCACGTCTTGAACTGGACGATCTGTGTTTTTGTCCATGGCAACTGGTGTTAAGCGATCATGATGAACGGTTTTCGTTTCTTTAGTCTGGTCGTTTTCAATCTTAAAGTTTACTCCGTTAGGCAACTTTTGAAGGACTGTCCATGGACCCCGGCGACGGGGAGCTAGTTTACGATTCTCGCCGGTCTTATAATACTTTACTTTAAGCCATACCTTTGCACCTTGGGGAAAGTCATTAAAACGAATATTCTTGTTATATTGTTTTTGCATATTTGATCTACTTAATTGGAGATTGTCGATTACAACATCATAGGCCGTCTTTATTGTTTGATTGCGATCGTTTGCATACTCGGTAGGAGTGTTAGAATCCATCGGAGTATGGTCAGCAGTAGCGAATAGAACATCGATAGGGAGGCGTGCAGATCTGCCAAACACAATATCAAAAGGTACATGATTTATGGCCTTACTGACACTCGTATTTAGGGCAAAAATTAATTCAGGCAATATTGTAGACCACTTGGATTGGTTCAATGAACGATGTAAGAGGGCAGAGCGAAGCATGTCCTTGACGCTACGAATATTTCTCTCTGCGAAACCATTTCCCTGAGAGTGGTAGGCGGATGAACGTCGTTTCTCGATGCCAAATATATTGCAAAGCTCGTGTAATGCTTGGCTATCTATATTAGATCCTTGGTCACTGAGGATATATAATGGTATACCATGAATGTAGATCCATTTAGACAAGAGTGCTGCAATAATCGAGGATGTCGTTTGATCTTTTAACGGAACAGCTTCAATATATTTAGAGAAAATGTCACCTATGAGCAGAAAATATTCGAAACCTTTGTTATCTTTCGGCATATATGCAATATCGATGCAGATGAATTGCATTGGGGCATCAGGGGTGACCATGTCGACTAGAGGTGCTTTAGGAGGGGCAGTGTTGCATTTAGTTTGCTGACAATGTACACAAAGAGAAATGAAATTCTTTACGTAGCCATACATACTTGGCCAGAAAAAACGATCTTTCAAAATTGCATAACATTTATCAGTACCAAAATGTGCCGTGTTATGAACTTCAGCAATAACGAATTTGCGTAGCGATGCTGGAATAACTGGACGACCTGATTTTGTTAAAACTCCGTTCTCTATTCGGAGTTGATTTTGGATTCTCTTGAAGCGACCTTGTAAAATCCGTGTTTTATTTTCTACAGCATGTTTGACACTATTAATGACTGGATCTGATTGTTGTTCTTCCAATAATTGTTCTTTAAAAGAAATATCGCTGAAGAAGGCTGCATAAATTTTGTCATTGAATAGTGAATTCGGTTGTGTAGAAGAGGCATTTTTGTTGCGTGAGAGTAGGTCAGCTTTGATATTAGTTTTACCGCGGATATACTGGACGGTGTAATCATACTCTTCTAGCTCTGCAATCCAGCGAGCAAACTTCCCACGTGGATCCTTTTGCTGGCGAAGATGAACCAAAGGGTTGTGGTCGGAATTTAAAACGAATGGGGTACCAGATAAGTACACATGCCAGTGACGAATGGCCAGTATCAGAGCAAATGCTTCTTTTGTTATGGTGGCCCAGTTTCGCTGAGAACTGTTAAAAGCAGTGGAAAAATAGGCTATCGAATGTAAAAGTCCATCGGATCCCTTTTGGGACAAAACACCACCGGCTGCAAAATCGCTGGCGTCAACTTCGATGATAAAAGTTTCATTAAGTTTCGGAAAAGCTAAAATTGGCTGTGAAGTTAATCGACGTTTTATTTCACAAAAAGCGGACTCACAAGACTCTGACCACGCAAATTGGACATTATCACTTGTGAGACGATTGAGTGGCTGCGTAATTGTTGCAAAATTGCGAATAAAGGCTCGGTAGAACCCAGCTAAACCCAAAAATGACTTCAATTCCTTCCTCGTGGTTGGTGGAGGAAAATTGCTGATGGCCTCAGTCAGGCGCTGCTGAGGCTGGATGCCTTCAAATGAAAGTTCATAACCAAGAAAATTTACTTTTTCCGAAGCAAAAACACATTTTGATGCTTTGAGAGAAACCTTGGCAGATCGCAGACGATCAAACACTGTAGCTAAATCCTGAATATGTTGTTCAAACGTGGAATTAAATACTACTATGTCATCCATATACGCTAAAGTCCTGTCCGATGGAAGGCCAGCGAGGCACATATCCATCATGCGCTGGTATGATGCCCCTGCATTGGAGAGTCCAAATGGCATCACGTTGAACTCGAATTTACCGTTTGGTGAAGAAAACGCAGTTTTTTCTTAATCGCTTTCCACTAACGGAATAGACCAATAAGCAGATGCTGCATCTAATGTAGACCAATATCGGGCTCCTGCCATTTTGTCGATGACGTCCTTGATGTGAGGTAAGGGATAAGTGTCCCTTTTTGTAACATCGTTTACGCCACGAAAATCGCATACGAACCGAATACTGTTATCTTTCTTCTTCACTAACAACACCGGAGCATTCCATGGCGAGGCTGACGGACGAATAATTCCATTGGACAGCATTTCGGAAACTTGTTGCTTCAAATCATCTTGCCAAGCAACCGGAACTCTATGTTGTTTGCGGTTGACGGGTAAAGCATCATTAGTAATAATTCGATGTTTAACGAGTGGTGTTTGTTGAGGCTTTTTTGTGTTAGCAGCAAAAACATCTTGGTAATCCATTAGCAATTGTTCAAGTTGTGACTTTTCCTGGGCAGACAGTTTTGAGTTTATGTCAACATCATCAATTTTAAAACTGGAGGCCCTGCTTTCTATGTTGGCTGAGGAAATAGTCTCTCCGGCTGGTTGTAAGGTACCCATCGTAGTTTGAGATTTAAGAACCACATCACACGATGAGACATTCAATGCAGTAATACAAAATATGCCATCAATGTTGGGTACAACGCGAGATCTAGTAATATATAAGCCACGTGACTTTGGCAGTCGATTTGGTTCAAAGTCTCCAGTCAACATAAAGTTATCGGTGGTAGACTCCACTGAGAGAACCTTTTCTGAACGAGCAGGGATAGTGGTGTCCTCACATAACCGGACACTGGCGTTCTGAGTTGATAAGCAAGAGATAGATGTAGGTCCTAGTTGTATTTTGTTTTGAGCAAAATCAAATTTGACTGAGCCAAAGAGACGCATGAAGTCCCTGCCAAGTAGGATATTTGTGTAATTAATTGAGTCTAGAACTTGAAAAACATGTTTGCGGGGTGGCAGGTTAGAAATTTGGACGTTGAGAGTGACAGCACCCAATATTTTCATTTTTTCACCCGAAGCATTAATCAGAGTTTTCAGCGAACTATTATCTATTTCACTGTCCAAACCGATTTTCTTGAGAGTTCCTAAGTCAATAATTGATGTGCCAGAGCCCGTATCTAACATAACATGAGTGTTTACAGTTTGTATCTTTGCAACAATAACGACTAAACATGGGTCTTCTGATTGAAAAATATCGGCACTGGCGGTTAGTCACTGATAGTTTGGGCAGGATGGGTTCCAGCTGTCATGGCCTTGTTGGCCGCAGGCCTGACAAAATCGAGTTGGACAACTTGCAACAAAATGATCAACGCTTTTGCATGACCTGCATTTGTTCTGTTGTGAGGGGGTGTTGTTACCACGAAAGTTTCCAGTGAATCGTGAACCACGGCCCTGACCCCGATTACGGTTTTGAAAACGGCGACCAAAAGGGGTCCCGCGGCCCCTATGAAATGGTTGATTGGATGTGTAATTTACGCCACTCGCTGATGAATTGTTACCCCCGGATTGATCATCCGTTGTCATCGCATTCAATTTTTCAACAACTTTATCAGCTATTTTATCAATAACCGTGGGATGTATTTGTTCATCGCCACTGTCAATACTAATTGCATTAGCTGAATGGCATTTTGCAATTGTCATGTTTGACTTAACACCAGCTAATTCTAAGCGTACGGTTTCCGCTGCTAGGGCTTTAACATCACATGATTGGAATTTTTCCATGGCCTTCAAGGCAGAACGCATGTCAGGGTGGAGTCCACGAACAAAATAATCCTTAGCTAGAATTGCGCGAGCTGAGTCGTCAAAGCCTGGGTAGGCCAGTTTAATCAATTCCATTATTTTGTAGGAGTATGTTAGAGCAGACTCACCTTGTAGACGATTTCTATTAGACAGTTCAAAGATTGCTTCTTCACGATTTAATTGGCCTTTCTCAAATTCTTTGAGAAGCTCCCCCTTTATTTGATCGAAATCTTTTCGTTCTTCTGCAGATAAACGAAGGTAAACATCGAAGGCAGGCCCCTCTAATCTGCTTGCAAAATTCTGAGCTTTTTTCTCTCCTGTAAATCCTTTCAGGGCTGAATGTAATTCTACCTTAGTCACAAATTCCGTAAGATTCCCCTGGCCGTTGAAACTTTTTATTTTGTTTTCCGTTTTGATTATAGCTGAGATATATTCTGTGATAGAAATGTAGCCAGAGTCGAAACTCAATAAGAGAATACTTCTAGTGGTTACTTGTATGAGATCTATCACAGAATAACCAAAACACAACAAAACAGAATTATATACAAAGGTGGATATTACGTAATGTTCTTAAGGCGAATACCGGGGGTAGATGTAATGCAATAACTATACTCCCTAACACACAATGTACGGTTTTGTTTGACGACCCCTCAATATATAGCAATGTCGGCAGCTTCAATTTTCGTAAGCTTTCAACATTCAGTAAATGCGGTTAGCGAAGATTTGAGACCCATTCAGTCGATTATATGTGAACAGGGTTCTTGAAGAACCACTCACATTGAGAACTTGTTGCTTCAGTTTTCCACTGCATGGCGCTAATCCAAGGCTCTACTTTTTCATTCTTGACCCGCGTATCTAGTTATGATAGGGATAAATCAAGAAATATGTATCTTTTGCTCAATTATCAGCCTGGCGTTACTTTTTTCAATATAATTTCAGCCTCAGGTCATTCTTATTTTGTTTCTTATTTTTTTATTCAAACTTAGGGTGAAAATTGGTTGAGAGTACAATCTGAGGATTCTATGACAATCAATGGTTCGACTGATCCATTTACAAAATTAACTTCTTTTACCAAAAACTTGAAGTATACAAGGCTACCTTCACAGCTAGCAGTATCGGTACATTAAAAAAATTGATATCGACGATGTTGAACTTGATATCTATTTTGCTATCATTTTCTGTTTTACAGTTGCTATAATTTTTCACTTGTTACTGGTAATTCATTTCTTGAGATTTGTTGTATCTCAATTTTCAGACTGCCTTGTTCTTATATTGTTCTTATTTTTTGAGCAAATCTCAGTCTGGTAGTCGGTTGTTCTTATAATAAAACCAACATGTAGTGAGATTTCCAGATGTATTGAAAATAAAACACCTCCAAAATAAAGATGTAAATAATTACGATGAGGATGACGAAGCCAGCTTCTTCTCATCCAGTTTTATCCTCTTAAGTACGAGGCAGTGTCAAAATCATTGCACAAAGCTGCCGGATATCGTGCCAGCAAAAACATTTCCAGCAGTTCTAGATGATTAATGGCGTTGTTTGAACAAATGGCCTTTATGATCCAAATGCAGGACGAAGGAAATCAAGGCAAATGTCATTTTGAGCGCACAACAGAATCACAAATTTTGATTAATTTGCAGCGTAGGAAAAAATGTTTACAGCTGTAATTCATTTGCCTTTCTTACAAGAAAGATAATCTTATCGGGCTTTCTTAATTTGGTTTCTACCAATATGACAAGACATTAATCACCAAATATTTATTCTCTGATTTTAACTTAGAAGCTCAAAAAGAGAAACTTTTGTTTAAGATTCGGGAGTCGAGTTTTTAATTTCCTTAACTAAATAGATCTACAAACCTTGGCAATTTCAACCTTAAACTCTTTAATTTAACAACTGAACGTCAAACACAAAAGCTATTTCAAATTCTTCCGCGTCAAACATCTCTTGTGAGTATGCTTCAGTTCAATAAGAGTTTTTACCCAAAGTCAAAGATGAACTTTTCATCCGCAAAAGGAGATATTATATACTATATTACCCTGGGTTTCAGAGCCATATAAATTCGAGCACGGAGAAAGAAGATAGGAGCGGAGAAGCAGGAAAGCGTATTTTTGAGAAGGATGAAGTTTTCCGCTTCTCCGCTTGGTTTTCTATTTACACGCTCGAAATTTTGTGGCTCTGGTACCCAGGGTACTACTATATCTACTTTAATAAATGGGGAGATATCCTGTCTTTTGTATTCCCGCAACCTCCCTAAAGCAAAATAATCTTGGAGAAATCTACCGCCCCTTTTTATACGCAGATGGTTGACACTTTCTCTATAGGGCTTCTTCACATCTAAAACAGCTGTCTTAGGAGCGCACGTGCTTTTTCTGCCGTAAGTACTATATTGCAATGTCTTGAGTAATTATTGTTAACGACAGTTTGTGAAGACAATGAAAATCTCAACTATTAAAGAGAACGAGTAGCAATTTTGCTTTACCGTTATGGTTTCAAATTCGTCTACAAAAGTATAGCACTAGCTGGCCTAGGAAATAGAATTTGAACAGCAGTGGATGATTTTCTTGGGCATGTTTATCGCCCAAGAAAATAATTTTTTTTGTGAAGAAACCAAATTCAGATATACACTTATATTGTAAAACAATGACCTTGTTTAATGTGTTACTATAAACATATGTATGGCAAAACAGAGAGATGCGCTGAATGGCGTAATATTTTCACCAGCCGCATTCTTGAATGTCTTTCAAGATAGCTTGTAGCCTCCTTTGTAGCAATGACGTAATAACATTCATATAAAATTCAAACATAAATCTGTCTTTGAATGGGAGGCAGCTGAAGTTTTTCATTAGCTGTCGCTTAGATCTGCTGCTCCTTCTCATCGGCAATATCTTGCAGATCTCTCTTCATTTTATCTTTTTATCCCTTCCCGAATCTCTTGTTTCCCTTGACCATGTTAAAAATACTTCCATTAATATCATTGCCGGGTGATCATCTTTCGCTCCTTTGCTCCTGACATTTCTACTTGCTGCTAATTCCCAATGTTTTAATTTATCTTTCAATACCGCAAAAGTCACTCCTTCTTTCTATCTTAGAATTCTCATTTCTGTCCTGTCTTACTTTTTCTCATCTTTTCTGGTCAGTGCCCAAGAGCCAATCCGTAGAGCAGTGTTACTTTTGTCTTATCAACTTTCTAGTCCTTCATCCCACTGACCATTAGCCACCAGCAGAACTACCATAAATAGGAAAGCGCTTATAACTGATCCTTGATGCAGGCGTACATCGATATTGATATCGACAATTCTTCTATATGGCGTTCTTACTATTGTCCATGTATTTTCTTACGTTGCTTTACTATTCATATAAGTGTTTCATTGACTTTTCGTTTCCTTATGGCCTTTTCAAAATTCTCGGTACCAAGTCATGGGCCTTTTCAAAGTCCATAAAAACCAAGAATAGGCCTTTCCTTCCTTCAAAGAAATTCGCCTTTAGCTGTTTCACGGTAAAAGTTGCATCCATTGTACCTTTGCCTGGCTGGAAATCCATTTGAACATTATTGATCACTATCAGACCTCTCATTGTCTGGTCTAGCACCCTTTTCATAACCTTCTTTTGTTTTTCGGAAAGTGTTATTCGCCTGCGATCCCCACATACCAATGGGCCTCATTTCTGCTTGCATTCGGGTACATTCTCGCTTTTCCTCAGTCCTTCGGCATTGCTTCCTCGTGCCATAAGCTTGCTTGCTATGACCAGTCTCAACCGCGCTTTGAGATCACACAGTTTTATGACAAAATCTACCTAGAGGGACTTGCTTTTTTGCCAGAGGTCCTTTTCTGAAGTACGTTACTACCTCTTTGCTATGTTTCGATGCAGTCTACCGACATGCCCAGGGTGGCAGGCTTGATTATTCCAACTGTATGCAGCAATCCCAAATTCGCCGATGATATTCTCCACCTATCATGGTATTCTAGAAAAGACACATGACTGAAAATAAGCATCTACTCTCTGATATAAAGAAGGTTTTTACTGCCTTAAAAGTAAAGGTTAGATTACAATGCACGAATTTCTTTACAAAATTCAATAGTTAAATTGTGTATACTTTAGATACAACCGAATAATTGCTTATCTCGATTAAAAATGCAGTCATCGTTTAGTATAAAAAGTGGATGATTGCCAAAGATTTTGAACACTAACTACAACTTGCCTAAATCATAGTGTACTTACTACAAAGTGATGTTTGAGATGGGAAATTTTATTTTCATATGAATTTTATAATATTTCCTTCACTGGGTTAGCAGCTGAAGATAGACAGGGGGTATATGGCCCCCAAATGCTCTTACTAATTGCAATTGTTGCCCTTATGTCAGGTTCAACACGGTATTATTAGTTGCTTTTAGGTCTTTTTAATTCAATTTTCCACAAGTTTTAGTGGTAGTGGTAGCATTCAGATAAAGAAATGATAAAAACGAAAGCAAGGCTAAAGTCAATGGCCGCTCTAAGTACCAAGATGTGTGTATGAAAGTTATTCTGATACCTTAAAATTCCGCATATAAACCCAGGACTTATGAATGTAGATTCAATGACTTGGGAGGAGTAAAATGGGATTCAATGAATGTCAGAAGAAAATGAAAAATAGGCTTTTTCAAGATTTTATGAAAAGATTGGTCATGTGGATAGATGGGTATTTTTAAAAAATTACGGGAATAAAGCTGGTGATGCTTGCAAGGCCCTAGGAGGCACATCGACTCAAGGAGAAGGCATTAAGATACCCTGTATATATATCACGGTTTAGGTAACAAGCAATACAAACTAAATGTAAGAAATGCACTAAAGAAAAATCTAAAAATATAATTCATTGTTTGGTAACATCGTGTATTCGTGTTGAAGGGAGAAAATAGTGCCTCAATGTCTATTTCCTAATATTAGTCCTCGGCTAATATTCTTGATGGCTTACATTTGGAAGAGAGCTTACGTCCCAGGAATGGGGGAATTATATTTGGGGGAGGGCTATATTTGGAAACTTACGGTGTTTAAAAATATTAGAACAGAATTCGGTCAAAGTAATTAAAAATTTCCAAAAGTAATTTTTATGTCATTGAATTTGGGGGAGGGCTATATTTGGAAACTTACGGTGTTTAAAAATATTAGAACAGAATTAGGTCAAAGTAATTAAAAATTTCCAAAAGTAATTTTTATGTCATTGAATTTGCAGTTTAATATATCCAAGCAGCAGAGTATTTGGCTTGTTTTGTCCTACAAAGAAAGAAGATTCAACCACAAAGATAATAAGCTTTTTAGTTTAAAATTAACTACAGCAATCATATTTTGTCATGAATATTTATATGGAATTTTGATGACCAGAATGAAAAGATATGTTTTAGAGCACGTAAGCGAAAACTATAGGCCTCCATAATTCATATTTAAATCGAAACAAAAGAAATAAGCTTCTACAGGCAACTTAGATAGCTTATTTAGGCAAGGCATGGCTCATCTCTTGAAACTCTCTTTATTTTTCTGGCCTGGTTCAGTTTTTGGCATTGTGCCGTTTTTTAATCTGTTCAAAAATGTCATGATGTTCTCGAAAGTAAGTTGCGACCGCTGACAAAACATTGGCTTACGAAGATTTTCGATGTAGAGATAAAAACAATTGGATTCGAATTACAAAATAAACAGAAGATCTAATATTAGTCCAGCTTTATGTCTGTCCTGTGCACCTGCTCCGGGGCAATTAAAAAAAACGTGATGAATTCATCATTACAAACACTAAAAAACCATCTCACACATTTCACCAATATTTGGTATTTGCTCGAGTAAGAGGATCACAACTCTCTTTTGCATATATAGCTAACAACATTTGTAAATCGTGATTTTATTGAAGAAGAAGAGACGAAAATAATAGAAGAACGCTTCATCGGGAAATCACAGTCGACACCAATTATGAAAACTCGAGCCATTTGGTCTTTTTAAGTTACAAAGCAGCGAAAGACAATACAATTAGATACCAACCTTTCATAAGTAATATCCATGGAAACTGCGCGCATTGTCTTGAGGAAGGAAACTAAAGAAGCTTGTCAAAGTTATTATCATAAACACATTGCTTCACCAAGACTTAAGATTCAGCTTCTTTGAATGTGTAAAAGTCAGTAGTTTCAGCTTCCATGTGTGTTCAGCAGCAGTTTAAGCTGGGGAGAAATCGAATAGAAATCAGATCTTGATTACGACAAGAAACTGGTCTACTGGAGTCAGACTAACGACTAACATTCACAATATCGCGTGGAGTAATATTAATGTAGATTTGGTTAAAAAAGACATATAAAAGCAAGCTGAAAAGCGCGAAGACAAGGACACTGAGAAGTGCGCTTCATTGGTCACAGCTTAATTTAAATCGATCGCTCACTGTCGACTACCTTTGTCAATTTGATTGTTATAGAAACTAATAGAAGCGAGAGAAGAAGTTGTTCTCAATACTAACCTGTCTAGGTTGAAAAACTCTCAACCAATGATATTAACGCGGCTTGAAAATATTTAACTGTGAGAATCCGTAGGTCTGTTGATAATTAAGAAAAGCCAAGGAACGCCTTTAAAACAATCGTTGGTGAAGAAAACATAGTGTCAGCTACGGCGCAGAAGGCAGACATTCGGCATGGTTGAAGCTGGAAATGAAGCAGCCTCTAGCATGACCTCTTCGGTAAGTAACCTTTTTATCTGAATGACTTAGTAGCAGTATATGAACAAGTTAACAGGTGAATCTAGTTCGCCTGCTTTTGTTTCAGAACAGGCTGCTATATTTTAAGTCGTTGATTGATCAAAGGGTCTTATGACTTAGTAACGGGTACCAGTTCTTTGCTTGTTTTTTTCCAAATGAAACCTGCTTTTCCTCATTTGAGGCAAATACCAATAAAAGACAGCTTTGTTCATCTGTATTCCTAGGACAGGTTCTCTATAGCGAGGTATATGTCTTTTGCGCTTGATGATTGTTAACATGCAACATTTCGGAGATGAATTCAAATGAAGAGATCTGTATTAGAAGCTCATACTGTGACTGTACATCTCTTAAGAATGGTGTTAACTGTATGTCTGCCAATAACACCGATCTTATACCGATCTTATAAGATCGAAGAGATCTCAGCAAAAGTCTTTATGAAGGTTGATCTGCATTAAGACATTGGCAGCGTAATCGAAAGACTAAATGTTTGCGTCAAGCAAATTAAATCATAAAGACGGAGTACTACCTTTGAATATTGATCAGAGGAAAATGAAAATGATTTCGCTTTGATAGATCAGAAAAGATTGTTTTAAACCTTTGGGAAATTATATGGGGCGCTAAGGAGATGTAAAGATCGTCTGATTTATGTATTTGAAGATGCAGAACAGTATGGAGTTGAAAGCAGCGACATGTAAAATGGATGTTACGAATCAGGAAAGTCTTGATATGCTGCAGGGCTTACAACAAATTATCAAGCATTCACATTACACAAGAATCACCTGGGAATGCCAATCTAACAGAGAAAGTTTTATTCCACAGGCTAGCTATATAACATCAGAAAACTGGAGATTGTATAGAATGTTCTGAAAGAACAGGCTGCTGCTAAAATATAGATAATTCTGAAAAAAGGTTGATGCGAGGTTCGAAAAGCGAGTTTGTGTTTTAGTGCTGATCGTCGTAGCCGACTTTCTTTCAAATCTATCGAGGTTGCTAAGCTGGAAAAGGCTGCGTTCAAGCATCTTTCTATTGTACCGAGAGATATGAGTTTTTGTTGGAAATGTTGCTTCACATAAAAGAGGTTTCTTAGGACGAAAGATCAATAAAAATTAGAAATTTGAACAGCTGCTGATAGTTTTGATAGTGGCTTTGAAAAAGTATTGAGTTTTAGAGCAGCTGAAAAACTTTTCAAAAGCATCTCATTGTGTTGCTGAATTTATTGTTCCCAGTTGAGCTGTCTATCTTAATTCTCCTTTTCATGCTTAGCTCGTATTCGAGCAAATCGCTTGGTTATCGCTTCAAAACAAATGCGTACATGGCTCGAAAACTAGAAATAGGAGATATCAAAGAAAACTAGAGCTGAAGTGGGCAAAAACTTATTGCTTTTTTGTTATGCTAATAAATCTATACAAATCGCTGTACAGGTGCAGCATAAAGTAAGTTGCCTTGACAACCACTAGGAGCTGTCTGCCACGCTCTAAACGTGTTACAAAATTCAGATTGGCGAAATCACGAATTACAAATGTGTTAAATTTGCAGTGAGCCAGCAAGCTTTGTAATACGCGGGCGATCATGATAACACTTTCCAAAATACAGTTTAACAGTTGGCTACGCATAATGCTAGAAAATATGCTGCCCGATGTGCGGAATGGACACACTCCCACGAAGTAAGGACAGAATTAGATGAAGAATAAAGTAACAGTACACTGTCGTGTACAACTAACACCAGGCACGCAACATCTTGTCAATCTGCTTGCAACCACAATGAAATTTTTTGGTTCTTCTTGCGTTTAAGGGTCCTTTACAGAATAATTGAGTTGCATTATAAAACTCACTTAACTCTCACAAGACTGATTTTCTAAGGGACAAAAGCATTTTACAACATTCTTAGTAGGTAAAGCAAATAAAACATTTACGCTCTCTGGGTTGAGAGACGATATGATGATTAACTGAAAGCTTGGCTGATTATTGCTTCTTTCCAATTTACCCGTTATGTAAGAAGAATAGGCACATTTATATCTTTGGAAGGGGGAACACAGTGCCTGTCTTAGAGGTACCTTCGAATAAATGGGTTTAAAAATGGATTAAAACCAGCCTTTTGAGCCTCTGCTAGATTCCTATCTAGAAGGCTAACGTATGAGAGAGAGGCTGTAGTTTCATTTCGAATTTCAACTCGATGTAGCAACATTTTTAGCACCATGTGCGCACCAATTAGACATGGTATGTCCACAGTCACTGGTGATATGGTATCTTCTTTTCAGACAAGCACTTTCACTTATTTTAATGCGATTATGAATATCATATATTGAGCAGGTATTGTACGATATAACAAAAGTCAGTGATCCTTTTCATTAAACTTTCGATATGACTTTGACATGTTTTCTGCGGAAATGCTTTGTGCAGGTTATTATGATGAGAGATTCGATTAGATATGGCGTTTTTACATGTGAAACCTAAATATCCAGAAGCTGAAAAGTTTCATTTAGAGATTCTGCGTTGATTTGAAAACTTCTTACATGTTTTCTTGATGTCTCTATTAGTACTTTAGATTAGCAATGTGAGAATCACAAGGTTTATTAACATCGAGAAGATCCTACCATGTCACTGCACAAAATACCTTCGGACGCCAGCTTGCATCATTAAGGAGAAACTAGAAAATTAAAGAAAATCTGACAGTTATAATTGTGTTTTAACTAGCAATTATTGATCGGTCTTTCATTGCCTGACAGATTTTTTAACCAATCAGATTCCTCAAAAGTAAAACTGTGCTAAAAGAGAGTGTCTTTAGAGTGCTGATTTACACCGTCTGTATGCAAGCTGTTGCAAATAACTGAGGACTTGACTACTCCAAAAGTAAAATTTCAATTTAGCAGTACCTTCTCCATTTACATTTATTCAGATGAAGAATACACCTGTATTGAAAACACCACTACTTAGTGATACTCGTTCACTATTTGACTATCATTTTAGCTCCAGAAGTAACATCTCTATACAGCAATACCTTCGACATTTACATTTTATCTGATGGAAAATACACCTGTATTGAAAATTCTGTTACTTAGTGATACTCGTTCACTATTTGAATATCATTTTAGCTCCAGAACTAACATCTCTATACAGCAAAACCTTCTTCATTTACATTAAAAATCAGATTAAAAATATACCAGAATTGAAAACACCACTACTGGGTAATACTCACTCAATATTCTGAAAAACATTAACAAACAAACTTTTTTCTAACCCTTGCCTTAAAAGCAAAGAATAGAATCAATTGTTTCTTTTCCAGCCTTAATTCAAGATCTTGCATAGTCTTAACAAGTTGATCTCTATTTAAGCTCTACCCTGCTATCAGTAGCTTTATCGTATACATTTCTTCAAACAAAGATCACCTTTGCCACTCAATGATAGGACGTTCAAAAATTTAATTTACGATGTACCGCAATTCTATAGTAGCGGACTATGTTTTAGCAAAATCTTGGGATGATCCTTTTGATGTTTGAAAGCAGAAAACCGCCTTATCGTATTTTCTTTAAAAGAAATAATCTACTATTGTGTGCAAAACGTATTCTTGAAAAAGCTATTCACATTTCGAGAACATCTTTCTGGTCTGCAAAATGCAAAGACTTGCCAATACTTAATTTTTCATCCAATTTTTCGGTTTCTTTCGCACCTGTGCTTTCTTGTGGTTGGGTTCACAATTCGGTTTCAAAATTCTGGCATAGGAGCAGGGATACAGCAATGTAATAAGGAGTAATTGAGAAATTTGAGACCGAGTCGAATGACATTTGAAGACGGAGCTCAAGTAAAAAGATGATTACATGCTCCTGTTGGCTCAGTGCAGAGGCGAGCAGATTCGTCGATGGCCTGCTCCAATTGCTAAAAAAACAAGCTAACTTTATATGATTAAACTTTGGTGGCTACAACAGGTTTCTGAATTTGTGCTGAAAACGGCGACCAAAATCATCAGCACAATATAGTTAAAAAGGCTTGAAATTCTTGAAAAATTGTGGAAATGAATGAAGATTATTTTTGAAATGCGAGTTTTGTGTATTTAATAGACTTTTAAGGAAGAGTAATAATGTAACAGTCTAACAATATGGTGTAACAAGCAACGTCATATTATTAACAACAGATTCTTAAAGATTCTAACAGGTTCTTAAGGATTCCAAAGGATTATAACAAATTCTAACAGATATTGTAAAATAGAGGCTTTGTAACAGTCTAACAATATGGTGTACTAAGCAATGTCATATAATAAACGAAAGATTCTTAAAGATTCTAATCGATTCTTAAAGATTCTTAACGATTCTACCTGATTTTTAAAGATTCTAACAACCTCTTAAGGATTCCAAAAGATTCTAACAGACATTGTAAGATCGAGGCTGTGTAACAGTCTAACAAGATGGTGTACTAGGCAATGTCATATCATAAACGAAAGATTCTTAAAGATTCTAACAAACTTTTAAAGATTCTAACAAATTTTTAAAGATTCTAACAGCTTCTTAAGGATCCCAAAGGATTCTAACTATTGTACGTTCGAAGCTTTTCGACAGCCTATGTACTAAGCGACGTCATCATATTAGGCGACAGTTTATGCCTGGTTTAATATCATAACTTAAAGTTGATCTGGAAAATTGTATTTAAATCAACAACTGATTTTCAATCAATCATGGTCAAACTTTATGCCGTAAACTGCTTGGAGATAATGGCCTTAGGCAAAACAGTCCAACCGCCATTCTTTTCATAAATGCTTCTTTAGTTAGGGCAAAATTAGAACAATCTTTGTATTTCAGCTAACATCAACCTGCAGAAACTGAAAGGAGGCCGTACTTGTTATTTTAATCAAAAATAAGATGTTAATCGTGCTAGAGTTTAAACAATTACTTAACTTTCAATAGGAAAGAAATTTTTTAGTTGAAATATTTTGATAAGAAATTTTCTTGAAATCATCACAACCTTCAGTTTTATTGTGTGTTTAAGAAAATAATTACCTTCTTAGTAAACCAACAGATTATTTCAATTTTGCTGAAGAAATTGCAGCCTTAGTATAAATTGAGGTCGTCCCGTGTAAGGAAAAAAATTGATTGAACAAACATAAGCAAAATGTCCTGAAAAATTAATGATTAGATTTTGTAGGTTCATGCTTTGTTTTTAATCTAAGCCAATCGTGTAAGGGACGATAAAGGTGTTTTGTGCAAAATATTAGGCCTGTCTGGGGTTGGGCTGTCACCTCAAGGTAACAGCAAGTAAAGTAAAGCAAAGTAAATTAAGTAAAGTAAAGTAAAGTAAAGTAAAGTAAAGCAAAGCAAAGCAAAGCAAAGCAAAGCAAAGCAAAGCAAAGCAAAGCAAAGCAAAGCAAAGTAAAGCAAAGCAAAGCAAAGCAAAGTAAAGTAAAGTAAAGTAAAGTAAAGTAAAGTAAAATAAAGTAAAGTAAAGAAAAGTAAAGCAAAGCAAAGCAAAGTAAAGCAAAGCAAAGCAAAGCAAAGTAAAGTAAAGTAAAGTAAAGTAAAGTAAAGTAAAGTAAAAGTAAATTAAAGTAAAGTAAAGTAATGTATAGTAAAGTAATGTAATGTATAGTAAAGTAAAATAATTTGCCAGCCTGTAAACTGCTCAGAAAGCAATCATATTTTGAAATTCAGCAATATTGCAATGGGAAAGGGAAACAGCTTTGAAAAACTGTTAAAGTTTTTTTCTACAGCTATTTTGGCAAGGATTGATGCACTATCATACTGTTTTGAAAGTAAATTTGAATAAATCGAAATATGGACTGTCCGATAAAATGAAGATTGATTAGATCAAATAATATGAAATTTCGCTCCTATCCTTGAAGCAATGATATCAGCAAGAGTTCTGTTTCAAACAAAAAATAAAAAGATAAGCACCAACATAAATAAAGATAAAAAATGGCTTGCATTAGCAGACAGCTTTTTCCATATATCTTATTGACAAAAAAAGATCCAACAAAAAATTTAGTACAACGATATTACAAAGTACTAAAATTATTTTGGCCCTAGCCCTACTTTTCTTGCCCAATAATATATTCTAGAAATTATATAAATGTTAAAAACCTAAAAACAATCTGAATTCTACATTTCAAAGCTCTAGCACCATACATTAATTAAAAGAGGCCTTTTTCTGTTCTTTCTTATTTTTTTCTTTACGGAAGATCTAGTACAGCTAAAAGAAATGCGCTAGCGAATAGTTAAATTCTAAGACAGTCATCTTGGACACTGACCATACGGGCTTTCTTGCAAAAGAGTGACAAATCTTTGGTAGCAATCCATAAAGAGTTTTACTCTTATCTTGGGCTGCATTAAAGGTGGATTGTCTAGCCTACTGCGTGCTAAACCAAACTATTTGATATGTCTATATCAATACAGGTTTTTGCAAAATAAATAATTTCACTATATTGCAAAATAAAGCAATGCAATGCATCATAACCTATAAATTGGATCAGAAAATGTACAGCTGCATAAAATTCCACGTAAAAACGACCGAATGATTTAGATTGAGCTTCATGCACAGCAATTTAAGTAATCTGTTAAAAAGCCTAATACACGAATATCAACATAATTTACTTTCAATCCAACACCAGAAAGTTATTTCCAAATAATGACAAAAATGCTTCAACTACTTAAAACAAAAAGCTAAAATATCATGTATGATTTTATTTCCTTAAAAATAGTTTATTTTCACAACTGAATACTCCAGGAAGTAAAGGAAGTTGACACAAAATAACTAACTTAAATGCTGTATGTAGTAATTAATAGTTCTTTTAAGAATGCGAAAAAAAGAATATTGTTGTTTCATTGATGCATTGATGTTAGAATGTCATCTACAAACTTCCGAAAAATGTTCGATAGAAACTAGTCGCGTTAAACATAGTCTGAATTTCAACCTGTGAACCTTCAAATTCAAGGAAAAATATTACCAAATGATTCACGATTGAACACTATGAGTGGATAAAAATTTCACTGTTTTTCGTCCTATTACTTCTTCTTCTGTGTTTAGCAACGATAAGAATGATCCGTTATGGAAACATTTTAACTCATCGATTCCTGAAAGTTTCACGAACCAACTTTGCGTTTTTCACTATAAACAGCAGGAGGGGGTATGTTATTTTATGTATTTGATATAGTATGATATTTATAACAAAATAACAATTTGTGACTATACAATATGACAAAGGGTGATCTATTTAAAGGCCTTCACCTTCGTTTATACTTTATTCATCTTCAGGTCAAACTGAGAGCAAAACGAAAATACACACGTAAACAAAAAGGCAGTAAAAGCAGCACCAAGCATCTCATTGACGATGCAAAGGCAAAATGTTTGGAGAATAACGAGAACGAAAAGAAAAGCACAGATCAAAATAGAACCAAAGAATCAATTGGTGATGCTAAAGAAAACTGTAAGTAGCTTTTCTGTTACTTTCACAGTTTTGACAATCTATTTGTTATTAAATGACCCGACATTAAAAAGATCTTAAGAGTGAACTTACAGCTTTATCAGCGATAGTCGTGGTGTGTATGATGACTCGCCTCGAAGTGAGAAGCTCAACATCAGGCAATTGCTCTGTAGAAAATGATAAAGTTGTCCAGGTTATAAAACAAAAAACATTGTTTTGGGGAAGTGTCTTCAAAAGTAAGCAAAGAAAACAAATAACGAATAATTTTGTCATTTGTTTAACATATTAACAAATCTTCTGGAATAAAGAAAGTTACTTTTTATGTGAAAAGATGGTATTATGTATAAAGCCGAAAACCCTCTCCGGAAAATGATCCGCGGATCGGATCAGATCGTGTTGTTCTTTCGCTCCGCGGATAGTTTCAGATTGGAATGCACGTTGACATCATCTCCACGGGATTCTTGCCTCATGACGCAAGTGTCCTATTGTTTAAAAAGTTCTAATTCGATTTTGGTCAAAAGAAAACTATTGTACCGGAACGGCTCAAAAAAAAGTTGAAATGATTTAGTGGGAAAAAAATAAATAGTCGGAAAAAGCCATGCCTCACCAAGTGAAGGGCTATGGTTAGCATTCCTCATAAACTTTTGCTTTTAACGTCCATTATTACATGAAACAATTAAAGCTTTAGCTATAATTTCTCTATATGGAATTTAAAACATTACTCACTGACGCTTTCAATGATAAAGTAAGTTTGCCATCGGCTAGAGGCTGTCTCTTCAGACTATCGATGTTCTCTGCAACCTGAAATTTTGGACCTTCTACAAGCTCATCATTTAAGTTTTGTTCTTTAATGAATGTCTTGTCTAAATAGATAGTAAGAAATTTTGAGCCCATTAAGGCAGACAAAGTCAATATACCACTGCAACATTTTGCAAAGTAGCTTTTTGAGGTATCACTTTGGAATCATTCTGTGAAAATTTACCTTCTTCCAAATATCTTAAGATAGTTGGACTAGCAGTTAATCACATAACGGCAGAGAGCCTAAAGCATAAATATCACAAAGCAAGTTTCTATTGTTCAACAAACAGATAAACAACAAAATTGTGTGAACTAACTATCTAAGTTAGCGATGAGCTCTTAGTGTATCATCTAATAAAATAAACGAATCGGTAAGTCAGACATCGTTTTATACAACAGCTTTTTAACTTCATAAGTTGCGGGTGGCTAAGTCAAATTCATAGAGCTTAATATCTACCAAATCATACATGGTCTTCTCTCACTTCATATGTGCCATTCTGGTAGGCAGCCGTGAGCAAAACCTACTCAAATTATGAAAGTCAAAGGAATTTTACTTTGTTGTACCTCAAGGATCAGCTCTGGGCCTAATTCTTTTGACTTTTTATGTTTGAAGCAAATTATTATGCCAAACAGCTAGAATATCAAAGTAACTAAAAACAAAATAACGAAATTTACAAACCAAATTTAAGAATGATTAATTAATATCTTCTTGAGACATTAAGACGTCATGCAGACAAAATAAATATCACTTCCTGATATATTTGGAATTAATAAAGGAACACCTTCAGCAATGATTGATAAGAGATTTAAAACAGAGACTAGAGACAAGCAGAAAAAATGCTCTTCGTGGAAATTGGCGGGAACCGACCTGATGTTGAAACAGACGTTTGGTCGTGGTAGAGAAACATTTCCATAGCGATTGATAAACAAAATTCACGAGAGGAGGAATGCATGTACTTAAACTTTTAAACAGTTTACTCTTTACTCTAATTTTCAAGTACTAGTTCTTCAAAACCTCAGGGTCAGGGCCCGTTAATTTATAGTTCTTCTATTTTGTAGAGTCTCAAAATAATGCGGAAGGGGTAGGGGCTGGGGCTTTAAGTCAAAACGTGTAAGGGGAGGTACACAAACTGTTTGATGTTTAAGCAAAGATGTGCCAGCAATCAATGAATAGGTTAAATTATCATAATAGATCATGGATATATGTCATAATGGAAGCTTGAATTACAAAATTAACTGTATTATTTAAAGGGCGTTTTATCCAGTTGAAACAAAAATCCCCAGTTATGAAAAATTTATTTTTGTTCGAGAGAGAAAGATTCATAAGCAGCGTATTCCGCAGACCTTAGTACTGACATCAAATTTTGAAAATGATATGCCTCACACTATGCGCCGTTTCAAAGATATACTGAAGAGATTTTGAAAACATAAATTAATATGATCCACTCTAGTTCCATTGCTTTTGCGAAGTCTTTGAAAATACAAAGTGCTCTCTGCATATTCAGAGAATTTGCATAAGTACAAATTGTTCTTTGTATATGTAGGGGCAATACTCGCACCGTTCTCTACGCAGTGAAACCCCGTTACACGAAAATCGTGTGGGACCAATGTGTTGGGATCACTATTTCTAGCGGTGCCCCTATCTTATATTTAATGATAAACGAAGTGTAAGATGAAGACTCAGAGAAATATCACCATTTTGTGTAACTATTTTGTATCAAATCCATCAATATTCTGTTTCACATTTCCGCCGATCACCATCATTACTTCAACTCTACTCCAACCAACTAACTAACTTATTACGAGTTTCAACTTAGATAATCACGTTCACTGAGACTTGTCGATTGATATTTTCCATACGTTTGTCCTTATTAGGTATTGAGATTCAAGACATGTAATCTACTACTGCTTTAAATCAAATATAAAATCAACATTATAATTAAAACTCTACATGCCGCCGTGTATCTCGGCACGTATTACACTACCGAATGTAATAACAATAACTGTGTGGGGTCTTAGGATACCAAGGAAGGTCTGGGCCCCAACACAATGTAACAAGTATATTGAAGAGAAATATCCAATGCATGAATACTACTTCTACGCGGCTGAGAAATTTGTCGTATTTCTACGTTGGTTGAAGGTGTCATTTACTCAAAGCTGTCCGTTAACGGGGGTGTAACAGTTCCAAGATATTGAAAACAGGTACAGTTTCTTAAGCCAAAACTGTATGAAACTGAAATTTAAATATGCAAAACCGCCTCCCACCTAGATGTTTTCAAAAATCTATGAGACACTTAATGCTACAATTAATTAGGGAAAGGAGCAAGAGAAAGTTTTTAGTTAGTGTGGCAAACCTCCGTCTGGAGTCAGAGAGCATGCGCACGGAACGAAGTTGCTATCACTTGTTCGTCTCCCCTTACAATTATATGTCTTTTAAATTACGTATAAAAGCATCAAAATGCTCCTCGCGACATCTTTATTGAGAGCAGCCTTAAGCCTGGTTCCCACTTGGTCGTTTGGGTCGTTTGGGTAGTTGGAAAATACCCAAACGACTGAAAAGACGCAATGGAGACATACCTGCCAACAACCCTAAAGACCCAAAAGACTCAAACGACAGTTGTCGCAGAGACCGCGACCCAAAATACCCACGCATGAATGATTTTTGCAAGTGGAAGTCGACAAACGACTCAAACAACTCAAACGACCCACGCTTTAATAACGTTTTCTTCAAGAATAGGAGATTTTCTTGTAACAGCGTGTTTGACTAGAACAAGAACAAGATAGCTGAATATTTCACAGGAAGCATTATGGAAGAAGTTCAAAAATACGAGTGCCATTATAACAATTACTGGAAAGAGTTTAAAAGTAAATACAAAAATAACAAATCATGGCAAGCTATTGCACTGAAGTTTAGTGATCTAACATCGTCGTCTGTACAAAGTCACCAGAGGTAGAAATAGTTGACTTTTCAACATCAGTTGTTGTTTATCAAATGCTCCCACCGTTCCTTCCACGCATGCCGCCAAATTAAATGAGCGATGCATGGTGCAAGCAATGAACAGCATCAACAACAAACGACTCGAAAGACTCAAACGACCAAGTGGAAACCAATGTGTTTTTTGGGTCGCTTGTGTCCTTCAGGAACGACTCTGACGACTCAAACGACCCAAACGACCAAGTGGGAACCAGGCTGGCCTTGATACCTTCATCGGCGATTTCGCCGCAAATTCGGTGCGAAATTCGCGTCGTGGAAATCAGTCTTGAAAGGTTTTTCTTATACTGGCTTTTAACGGAAACTAAGGGTTCGAGCCTTCATGTTCTGAAAGTGGCTTTTATTTCATTAAGGGTCTTGGCCATCGTGTTCGCCAAAAGCTTTTTTAAAAAGAATAAACTTGCTTTGCACTATTGAATCAAACTCTTTCACCTTCAGATAGTCCCAGTGCTAAATTAGATGTTACACTAAGCCTGATAAGTATATTTAATGCACCCTCCAATATTTGTTAATGTTCTCAATAGCTTTAAAATTTATTTGTTAATGTTCTCAATCCCAAACGACCAAGTGGGAACCAGGTGGTCTCAGGCAGCAAATCTGTGGATAATGTAAATTTATATCTGTGACTTTATCCTTGTCGATGTAACTTTATACACATATCCATTTATTTATTCCACTAATATTCACAATACTTTTTCACTCTATTAACACCAAGAAGGTGGAATGCATTTAAAATATTGGACGGATTACGAAAAATGAATTAAAAAGTACTAGGCATGCATCCACGCTAAAATTCAAGTTGTGGTTTGCTCTCAACATGCTTTCTTTAACATTTCTTGAATCTTGACGCATCCAGTTTCGAAAAATGGAAGTTGATATTTTACGTGATACTTACAAGGTTTGCCAAAAGTCTTGGTACATTGAGTTGAAATTTCGCATAAATTCAGTAGCACCGCCTTTCCCCCTTAAACCAATGTTGAATAGAAACAGGGGAATATTGCTGCATCTCACGGCCGGAAACTTCTATTTCATCAAAATCTTTGACCGCAGGGTCTTCCAAGGACTTTCGTCAAGGATTGTAGCTCAGCTATTTGCCTCACGTGTGGGGCTGCTCTTTGTTGTTAGATATTTGCCTCACGAGCCAAACTTTCAGAAATCAAACAAGTTTAATATTTTTTGCCATTCATGCAGCATATTGCTCATGATCCCAAAT